GGGCCGCCGCGGGCGACAGTAGTTGTCCGCGGCCCTTTAGGGCCGCGGGGAAGTGGTGGAGCCCGCGGCGGCCCGCAGGCTCCTGCGATAAGCTTTGAATGCGAATCCGGAAGCCCCCGATGACCCAGATACCTTTCTGGCCAGGGGGCCAGTTTCTCATGCAGGGGGCTTGAAGAAGAAGGAGTGGGACTATAATCAAAAATATATAGCGCCAAAGCGCGGCCCGCAGGGCCGCGCTTTCGCCGCGCGGCTGGTTAGGCTTTCGCGCTGGTTAGAATTTCGCGCACGCATTTGGTTACCAATATCGCCCTCCGGGCGCGACCTTCATACAGAAGGAATTCTTGATTTTGCAGTGCTTGTTTTGCTTGTGAACAATTCTTCCTCTTCGTCGAACTGACACTGCAGGATTGGACTACGCCACCATGGAAGTTTTGAACAAGCTGGAGGAGCAGTCCCCCGATATTGGCCAGGGCGTGCATGGCATGGGCACGAAAATCTCGCCCGAAGAGTTGGGCGCCGGGGATCAGGGGCACATGTTTGGGTACGCCAGTGACGAGACGCCCGAACTGATGCCGCTCACGCACAGTCTCTCCACGCAACTGGGGAAGAAACTCACCGACGTGCGCAAGGATGGCACCCTCCCCTGGGTGCGACCCGATGGGAAGACCCAGGTAGAATTTTTTTCTTTTGTAAGGGCACTAACTGCAAACTTTACATGATAGATGCCTATTCAGTGCTGTAGCTACAGAAACAGAAACACGGTGTGTGTGATACTCGGGTTCATCATCGCATCATCAGGTCACCTGCGAGTACCAGAAGGGGCCCAAGGGAGAGATGCTGCCGCAGAGGGTGCACACCATTTTGATCAGTACGCAGCACTCGCCGGAGGTCACACTGGAACAGCAAAAGAAGGATCTGATGGAACACGTTATTAAGCCGGTGGTGCCTGCGAAGTACCTGGACGACGACACGATTTATCACATCAACCCGAGTGGAAGGTAGACCCCATTTGTTTCGGCGGTGCTGTTTTTGGGCATGAAATAGAAATACCAGCTATTTGATATAGGAACTTGAATGTTGGTAAAAAATCGAATGCTCCATAAAGGTTTGTGATCGGCGGGCCGCATGGCGACGCTGGGTTGACGGGCCGAAAAATCATCATCGACACGTACGGCGGCTGGGGCGCTCACGGTGGTGGTGCCTTCAGTGGAAAGGACACGAGCAAGGTGGACCGGTCCGCCGCCTACGCCGCCCGCTGGGCCGCGAAGTCGTTGGTTGCGGCTGGGCTGGCGAAGCGCGCACTGGTGCAGGTGTCGTACGCAATCGGTGTGGTCCAGCCCTTGTCCATGTTCGTCGACAGTTACGGAACTGGTGCGAAGGACGATGAAACGCTGTGCGAGATCGTCAAGCGTAACTTCGACTTCCGCCCGGGCTGCATCCAGCGCGACCTGAACCTGAAATCGCCGCAGTTCCAGCCCCTGGCCGCCTACGGACACTTCGGCCGCGACGACCTGAAACCGGCCTGGGAGGTGGTCAAAGATCTGAAGCACGAAGTGTGAATGTCGAAAGCATCTTTGTTTTTCAACTGACTTGTCGGCAGTGCGCCTGATGTTGTCATTGTTCAACACTGCAATAGCATTGATATTTGCTGTCCTTCTTGAAGCTTGAATGTAGGTGAACAAAGGTTTCTACTTACGGCCAGGACATGTGGAAAGGAGAAACGGCCGCTTTTTGGACACGCCGAAGTGCAAGTTTTACTTTTAGCGACAGGAGTCAGGAGTATACCATTGATTTTGGATGTGGAGTTTAAAAATGGGTACGAGTCCAGGAATAATTCATCAGTTTATAAATAGATACAGCAGGTATAAGCGCTTGAGGCCGAATTGTTTTGAAATGGGAATATGAAGAAGAACATTTGCAACGTCTCGCGACAAGGACTGCTTGCAATCGCAGGTTTCAGTTCATTTGCACGCCAGGTACTTTGGAATTTTATAATCAGATTTCACTTACGAGATGGGGGTCTTTGTACTTTCCTTGATAAACGGAGAACGACGTTCGGGTTTACAGACGACGAGTCTCTAGTAACTATGGGCAACAAAAACGTGAATCGAATTCTCGCACTTGCACTCCCAGAAGTTCTTTGCTATGCCCGACCGTGTGGCATGTGAGAGCAGTGACTACTTTTTCAAACACAAAACTAAGCTAAGCAGCCCGCATGAAAGGCACGTTATAATTTTGATATTGTACGTAGCTTCTGAAGAAATAAGCGTGAGCGCAAGCAGCATCGCTGTTGCAAAATCCAAAGCCAAAATGCAATACTGGCCTCGCAAACTGTGAAGCGGTGCCGCTGCGTTGACGGTGGTCATCGCAGGTCCGCGTGTATCCATGATGAAACGTCTCGTGCAGGATCACTCTTGCTTTTTCGTGTCGCATTTCAGTTTCTTTTAGCGACTTCTTGCTTGTTCTGTATTGGATGTCTTGCACTATGGTGCACTTGCGGCCTGAAAGTCACCTACATCGGTGTTGCTCTCTGTCAGTATCGGAAGTGTGCGGCTTATGTCACAACGGAAAATAAGAATGTGCTTCGTTACCCTTCCAACTTTCTCAAGTCGGTACGTCGTGGGTGTGCGGATGAAGTTTCGGTTTTATGTACCAACTGCTTTTCTCCAAGTCCAACAAGTTGTTGGTTTCGGTTGTGTGGACATAAAAAAACAGTAAGTAAGTCTCTCGGTTGCTGTCGCACTTCGTTTTTCGTATGTTTGTACTTGCTTACTTATGTGCATGCAGATGCAGCGGTAGTGATGAGTCGGCTGTGTGCAATCTGCAGTCATTGTATAGTTCTTGTTTCAACCTCGCCAGGTTCACCTACTGACAGTTCGCGCAAATTATTTGCAACGTCCTGCACAAGAACCTAGCACTTCCACGAACGTAGTGCCCCAAATCCGCATGAAAAACTTTCTTCGGATCGAAGAATAAAAGAGTCGAACTTCGTTCAATTATACTTACTTCACTGCCTTCTACTTATTTCCACAAATTGATATAGCACAACTTCTGTCCTTCTAAAATGGATGCGAGAGATGAAATTGACCGCCCAGCTGCTTCCAGCACCGCACTGGATTCCGACTCCAATCCTTCCGCAATTATCCCCGCTCGCACATCACAAGCGAAAACCGGTGTGCGCCAAGTCGGCGGGCGCCGCGTTCGGCAGGCGGGGTCCTCGACGAAGCGGGTTATTTTGGTGGATAAAAACCACGGAGCACACGACAAGAAGCGAGCTCTTGCCCAAGGTCTACAACAAGAACTTCGCCGGGTCATTCAAAATGCCTCCAAGAACAACGGGGTCGTCCACGACGACCAGGTTGCGGTCGCCAAAAAGCTTCAAAAGATGCTGGGACTCAGTCCCCGTGTAGTCTTGCGACGCGACAAGCGGCTGGCAGCTGCGATCACTGCGCTTCTGTCTCTGCACTCCTGCGGTCGTGTTCTTGTACCCATGAACATCATGCTACAGCCACCGGCCGTAGCTGCTGCCATGTCCTCCGCCTCCGCATCTTCAGCCCAGGGAACTACAAGCAGCGGCCGTGGACAACCAGGACAGGAGAATGTTTCGGAGGAGAACCTCCTGCCCTTGCTGGATTTCTTGTTGGGCATGAGCAAGGATCGTGGGAAGAACGACCACATGGACACGTTCGAAAAGCTTCGCGAGCGGCTAAATGTGCGGAAAAACCTGCGGGACCACGGGGACGAGCGCCAAGGCTTTTTCAACCTGGTACTTGCCCACCTGGACGCGGTGCTTGAGTTCTTGGGCGTGCACCCCGCGTTTCGGTTCGCGAGAACAACAACTGGAAGTACAACCACGGAAAAGACCTGGAAGTACAACCTCGCAAGTTCGACCATGGAGAAATATCAAATGTAAAAATGTATGGGTCTTGAGGAATGCAACTTGTGATGCTGCATTTGGATTCCATAAAAAATCTGTATTGCATGAGTACCAAAGGAAATGCAACTTTTGCTACACTGAGAAAGCATTTTTCATGCGGATTACGCATCAAGAAGCCCTGAAAAAATCTGTATTGCTAGGGTATGCATCACAGACATCATGGCTCATGCAAAACGTGCATGACAAGTGTCAGAATCTTCCAGACCCAGACATTTTTACAGTTGATAAGAAAATCAAAAGTACTACGGAGGGGCCGTTTGCCGTGTTGGTTGAAGACGCGGAGACCCGACGCGTCCGCCAGGCCTTCACCGCTTACCACCCCCCGGCCGTGACCGGCAAGCCGCGGAAGCCGTCCTCATACCAGCGGGCGTTGGCTAACAAAAAGGAGCCCGCGGACACCTCTGCCAGTGGTCACCTGGAGCAGCTCATCTCGCGCTGGCTGGAACGCATGCGGTTGAAAGTGGTGCACCCGCTCATCAACTTTGCGCAGGACTGGAAGGAATCGGCTATCGCGTGGGACCACCAGATCACATACGACCAGCCGCACCGCCTGTTTCAGAACTATCGGGACGCTCTCCCGTATGACCCCTATTCACTATCAGCTCGATACTCATGATCCTGCTCCCGTGGAAGTTGACTTCTTCTGAACACAACGACCCATCAAGGAAGAATTCTTCAACAAAGTGCTGGCATGAAAGCTGCTGATGCGAGGAGGGTAGTCTTTACTTATTTCGGTAGTGCGTTCTTAGTTTGAACTTATTTCGGTAGTGCGTTGTTGTTTTCGGCACTGGCATTGTCAATAGCTACGCTGCTGCCTCTCCCTCTACGGAAGAGGCATGCGGTTTTTGTAGAGTTTTGACCAACTACCTGAACTTTCGTGGGGCCTGTGCGTGGCTGGCGAGCGAATACTTCGACAAACCGCTGTCTATTATACAGAAAAAGGTAAAGAAGTAATGTCGTTGCACAGTTAGTACGGAAACCTTGAAGAAGTTCAGAACCGCAATGACAACTAGTAGTTCCTGGTCCTCTTCTTGCATAGAACAGCGTATTTATTAACTTCCTGACGCAAGAAAAGTACAACTGCCACAAATTTCGGTTGCATATTGGTACCGAAGGTCGGGCAGTGGTCCATCGGTTCCGGAGGGAAAATTCTTTGACTCGGATGGGGAGGTGAATAAGGAGGTATTGAAGCGGTGGCGGGACATACCCTGGGCGATTCGTCTTTTCGTCTACCCCACGCTGAGCCCGGACGACCAAAACATGGCGACCCCCGTATCAAACGGGAGCAAAGCTGCAAAGGGCTGCTCTATTTTCATCTCCGAGGCGCTTAACGAGTGTTACTCATTTTGCATTTGACCAGCTTGGTTCTTCTGTGTTTGCCTCCTTGGGGAATAAGCGGAAAAAAGATTGATGTCATGGAGTATGGAAAAGGCGACATCAGAAAGAACTGATTTTTAGGTACACACGACAAATCGTGATTTTTATGTTTATTATGGTCTACTTTACGGGGAAAAAGACAAAGAGGAGCCCGTGTTTTGCTGGCGATACCGTGGCGAAAGTGGTATCCCAGAACTCGCAATGGATGACAGCCTTCTGAAGACCGTGGAAGTGCTATGTTGTGTAAGAACGCACCTGCCCCACAGCTAAAACGTAAATTCCGTACTTAGTTTGAGGTGCGAGTTGCCCATGACAAAACTGGCTTCGCAATTTCCATATCGACCAGGTAGCAACGTTGCCCTCATACAGAGCAATTCGCTGCTTCTCCTGATTGGCGCTCCATCCAGGATAAATCCATAGTCTTGTGGTCTACTTGTTGATAGTATTATTACAGTCTAGTCTTATACTCTTGAGAGGTGATCAACATTACACGTGTTTCTTCTACAAATGCAAATATTTTCAAATCTGAATGACAAAAATACATATCGTCCTACTAGCGTGGGTGGGGGCGTTTTTTCCAGGGATAAGTTTTCCTGAACGGGCGGTCAACCGAGCTGTTGGATGAGAACCCACAGCCCGTGGGAACTCCGCGGAGAGCGGCCTCTTCGGCAGAGGAGCTTGCGAAAAATCCGATGAAGCAGTTTCTGTACAAGTTTTTTGTTGGGGACGAAGCGAACAAGCATGAAGTTTTGCAGAAGGCCACGTCTACGCAGCCCGTTCCGGAGCGGCAGCAGACCCGCGGAGTCGAGCAGCCGCAACGTGAAGACGATGCCCGTGCAAAGAAACCGTTTCTGGCCAGAAGCGGGGACAACAACAACAAGAACGCAGGGAGGGACCACGAGGTCCGCGAGCAAAGCCTAAGCGGCGCGTCGGCGGGAACCACATCAACAACGCCGGAGTTGTTGTCGCAGGAAGAGCAGAAGCTCGTTGCGCAGTACCGAACGGATTACCTGAGTCGGTGCGTGTCCCCCAACTTGCACAAACATTTCATCATGGAAATCGCACGGTGGGGCGCGCCGCGCGACTGGTTTGCCGCGATCTTGCAGACGTATGTGGACCAGAAGGCGGAGGACAAGGCGGAGCTTCTGGGGCGGGAATACTTGGCGGGCGGGACGTGCGAAGTTCCCGCGGCAGCTGAGTCTTTTTTCCCACACGCGGGACAGGAAGGCTCCCAAAACGCGCAGTGCAGGGACAGCACCGGCGTATTCCTGAATATTTGGCAGGAAGGTCAACTTTGAAGGAACTGCTTGTCGTGCCTTTTTGAGACAATTTTTCAGTTTCGGTCACGTGCTGAGATTTGTCTTGATCTTGCAAAATGCCGGAAGCTTACTTTTGTTTTCCTCTCCTGTTCGTTCGGAAGAGCCCATTTCGCTTGCTTTCGACGTCTCTTGATGTCTAAACAAGCATCTCCATCAATCTGCGCACATGGACATAAAATCTTCATTCATGCTGGAGCACGGTGCATTCATCTTTTGCAGTGTCTTTCCTTCGCGCACAGATCATATTTGATTTCCTTTAAACGCGAAACAAGCCCGAGAAGGCAGATTGTGTTGAAAATTCTTAACTATTGAAACGCTATATCTTCAAAAATTTCCAAAATTTGTTACCGTTTTCTGTTGTACGCAAAACCAAACACCAGTGGTAGAGTCAGTTTGCTTTGTTTTCTGCCTAGGTACACGTGTTGAAATTAATTCGTTTAACAAGTAGAATTTTTGTTTTGAACATGCGCATAATTTGTCTCGACTTTACAGTATTGATTCAGTATCGACCTCACGTTTGGGTATTTCATCATCATCGTCAGCTTTTTTCTCAAAATCGAAAGCCAAAAAACAGCGAATGTTGAATGTGCTCAAAAAATGTGTAACAAGTAAGTACAGGAAAAATGCTATGAATGTTGGTTAGTCCTCTGGAATTATACAATCATCTGTGGACTTCGTGTATCTGCCATTTCTTTGCAAAGCAGCTCACTGTCACGTCAGGAAATGAGCACTCGCATTGTTCGTCTCTATGTCATTCGTTGAAGGTGTCCGTCTTATTTTAGCCGAAGAACCCGAGTCAAGAATGATGTTGAACAGCTATCAGATCTGAACGTAGGATGTAGCCCAAGAATGTTTACTTCGTGCCTACGAAATAGTTGCTTCAGATCGTCATCGTCACTACTTATCATCTTCTTAATCATGCATTTCGGTCGCATTTCCATGTCATCGATCTCATGATTGACCGCAATATGGAATTCTATGGAATATGCTAGAGCAAAAGCAGTTGTTTCGGGGTCTCACACGGGAAGCAAAAAATCGCGTCTATCGTACTTTTTTCTCGTCTTTTTTCGTGATTCATTTGAATTGTAGTTCGCAAGTGCGCAAAAGCGTCGCGAATTCCTCTCGTTCAAAATCCGCACCAATTTTTGTCACATTCCGAATCTTTCAGTGTTTTTTTTTCGAACCGGGGAACGATTTACGAGAATAGACCACGCGTGAAGACAAGGCGGCAGCAGTTGCTAGGCTAAGTCTACTAAGCCACAGACGACCAAGTATTCTATCTTTCTATAGTGTTGTTCTCCACTGCTTTAGCTTTTGTTGACGCCGACCACCGCGACAGAATTGAACAACAAGATGGTTGTCCAAACGGTTCCCGACCAGGGAAAGCAAGTGCAGCTCGCCGTTGGTGAGCAGCAGGTGGTGGAAAAGTCAGCCGGGCCGTCCTCTCCGCGGCGGTCGCTGTCGCCGAAATTTTCGCAGAAGAAGGCACGCATGCGGGAGTTCGACAAGATTGTGAAGTCCATGCCGAGCGCGCAGTGGATCTTGGAGACCGACGACTTTTTCGCCAAGAAGGTTGCGAAGCCGAAGTGGAACAACCAAGTGTCGTTGTTCGAGAACGTTTATGCATTGCAAAAGTATCGTACAAATCTCCTCAGCATGAGAAATAAAATTTGTCATGCGGATTTACCTTACGAAAAAAATTTGTAATGGCATGACTGCAAATCATACGAGTGCGATACTTTTCCTTTTGCTGAGGATAACGTGGGTTGTTGCGCGAACGGACGCAGTTACTTTGACCGCTTCCGGCCGCGGGCCAAGGACCACGCCAGCAAAACCGGAAACCTGAAGTCAACCTGGCTCATGGACAATGTGGCTGACAACGAAAAGCATCTCATCGGCGGACCAAAACTGAAATCCCGTACACTTATAATTGACTTTACGTAGTTGGATTTGTAAAACAAGTTCATCTGCGCGTGCTTTGCCTTGCCTCTTTTTTGTGCATCTAGTTCAGTTTTTCCTCTGCGGTTTTTTCATTTGAAGCAACATGTGCAAGGAGTCGGCGTGAACATGGTTCTCTGGTATTCATTACTGCTTCATTTCTTACAGCCGCGTGCAAGATCCTGTATTCGCACGTGCACCGAGTTCCGACGCCCCGGCAAAATTATTTGACGAAGCACGGTCTCATATTCTGAGTAAAGACGTCCCCACCCCATAGTTGTCATGCAATTCCGCATGCCAAAAAAGTTTCTCATGCAGAGCCCTATGCGAAGCATTTTCTATTCGTGTTTTGGAATTTGTGACGCTAGAGTCAGCATCTTATGCTAGATCTGTGATGCTTCTTCACTAGCTAAACAGGATTACGCTACGCGGACAAACTTGTCATGCCAAACAAGCAAAGCTGGCTGATTTGTCTAGCAGATTATCCATCTTGACTCTGGTGTGGGGACGTTTTTACTCAGGATATCTCACGCCAGTGGTGTGTCCCGACGACCCGATTCCAAAGCCGGAGATCATCGCCGGGAGCGGGTACGTATCAACTGTAAAAATGTCTGGGTCTGGAAGAATCCAACTTGTCATGCTGATTTTGGATTCTAAAAAAATCTGTATTGCATGAGCAGCAAAGAGAGTCCAAGTTTTGCTGCACGGAAAGAGCATTTGTCATGCGGTATAGGCATCAGAAAGCCCTCACAAAATCTGTGATGCTAGAGCATGCATCACAGACATCAGGAGTCATGCAAAATGTGCATGACAAACCAATAAACCTTCACTAGATCGCATGCAAACAGGCCTCGGCACCTGTTTGCATATCGGTCGACGTGAGCACCGCGGCAGCATTAAGGTCAAAATGAAAACTAGGAATGAGATTCATCGTAAGTTTAGTAGCCAAAATTCAATTCAGCGTCGGTTCGTGCACGAAGCCGACGCTGAATTGAAGCGTCGGTTCGTGCACGTGTGTCGCCCTTCGTTCGTTGCTTCCAGGAGCATGATCGCAAATTCGTACGCTCCTCCTGCTTTGAAAAAAAAAATCCGATCTTCCCGTCTGCCCCCATCTTCCCATGTAGAGTTAGGTCTCTGCCCTTTTATTGCTTCTCTCGTGTAGATGTGTTGTTGTTTTACCTGACTCGCCTTCTTAGCGCTAGCCCGCGTAGCCCGCGTCCTTGCAGGGGCAGCTGTTTTTTTTCCGCCTTGCCAGCGGGTTTTGTCGCGGGGAAGAAAGCAATCTGGGTTCAACGGTCCCCGCCCCCCCATCATCGTGGGTTCGACGGCCCCCGCCCCAAAGGAGACCACTTAGAAATATTTTTTTTGTAGAGTGCAAATTTTCACTGCGATCAACCGTTCACCATCGGCTGAAGCTGCACATGCATCCGGAGTAGTTTTGAAAAATTAACTTTATTGCCCGCGGCTTACGGGTTTCGTCTAAAGGTTCTTCGTCAGGGTGCGCGGTTTCTATTATTGGCGTTCGGCTTGGTCGCACCCTATGGCTAGTATCTGAGATCAGAAGACCATTTATTTCGGGGGACAGTAGCGCGCGAAAAAAGTTCGTCGCGGGGGCACCCCGCATGGTTCGTTTTTATATGCTTTCCGCACCATGCATCGATGGCCGGGGGTTCGGTCGTGTTTCCCGCTGGGCTTTTCAAACGCGGGTTTGCAAAGCCCGTTTGCATAGGGCGTTCCCAGTATCCGCGTTTACATAGATCCCGGATATCGCCCCCTATGGGCAACTATCTCCCTAGACAGTGGCTCCTCCCTATCTTTACTACCGTCAGGTGCAGCGGCTTTCTGCACATAGCGCCTAGTCTCGACCCATATCGACCCCCCTTGCTATTCGTCCCACAGCATAGCAACGTCCGCCGCGGCTTACGGCTATAGACGTTAACTATATCGTGGGGATTTTCTATGCGTGTGTCCGGTCCGAGTTCGAAAAAGGGTTCAGGGGTGACCCCCCTGTATGCATGCGGATTTATGCTTCCGAAGGGTTTAGGGTTTTGATTTGTATGGACCAATGCGGCGCGCACATCGAGTTTCCTGGCAGTGTCGACCTGCTGTACACGGCGTAACCCCCGGCGGAAATAGACCGGAAAACGCATCTGAAACTGAAACTGAGCTTGATCTCGATGTTCTATCGACCACCGATGTCGACCTTTTGCAGTATGCACGCACAAACGAGATTTTCGAAAGCGGAGGGGGGGGGGAAGAGACCCCCATTTGGTTGTCGCGGCGCGAAGCCGCAAATCCTTGGGCCACGTCTACCACCAGAAGTATTCCGCCCGGGGGACGCCTCCAGTTCAGTTCAGTTCAGTTCAAAACAAACTGCCGCCATGTAAAAAAAAAAAAAAAATGTGCATGACAAACCTGGCAATCTTCCAGACCCAGACATTTTTACAGTTGATAATACGGCATGAAATACAACACGGTGGCGCACTCTGATTTCCGGGAGTACTTCGGTCACCACAAGCAACACCGCACGTTGCAGCGAAGCGTGGAGGAGTCAAACAAGGCCCTGCAGCTCAACTCCCTCGAGAAGGCAGGACTCCGCCCGGAAAGAGTACATTGAATGATAAATTGAGTGAAGCAGGAATTTTTGCAAAGTCGTGCTCTTCGTGCTGCAAGGAGTGTGTCTACTTACAATGCTTGTGTTTTTGCTCGCTGTAGTGTCTTGGTCGTTCGATACTTTACAACTGCTCCTTTTGATGAAGCCTAAAAGTTATTCAGTGAATACTATTTCTAGCATCTTCGTAACGCTAGAACGCCAGACACGCAAAATTGTTTTTGAAATGAAACATCAGCTGCCATCGCGGAAGCGGCGGTTGGAAATGCGATACAGTCAATCGCAGCCGATGCTCACGTATCCTGCAAAAGAGCCTCGCACGCGCATTTCAGACTACTAGCGATGTCAAGAAGGGGCATGTGATGCTGACAGCTAGCGACAAACTTAGTCCGACTTATCTACGGTGAGCTGTTGTGTTTCAAATTCAATATCTTCTCTGCAGCATGAAACAAAGAGAATAAACAATCGAGTTTGATGTACTAATCCTAACCGCAGCTAATGCACCGAAATGCGTATGCGAGAAGAAAGTTTTGCGCTGCATACCGCCGGACCGCTGGGATACGAAAGTATGGATTCTAGCCTGCAAGGAACCATGTACAACACGGCCGAATGGACTCAGAAACTCGGCGGAGAGCACTGAGCACCGGCGTAGATGTTGCATGATTTTATTGTTCGTTTGCTTTTTCGTGATTGTGATTGAGATAGAGATTGCATTTTTGCGGCAACACGCACATACCGCATGTTGCGAACGTGCATGCTCCAGCTCACGCTACTGCTGTACAAAAAGTCTGAGTGCACATTCATTCGATAAATACGATATTTTACGCAAGATTTGCTTGTTGTTTTTCGTTTTTCACGCTTAATTTGATATTCTCTACACATTTCCTGTAATTTAGAAACATTGGATTTTTTTTCATATCATAGAGAACCGGGAAAGTATTCTCAGTAGCTTTAGCTTTATACACATTGTGCACGTGCTATACCTGGATGCTATGTATTGCGCGCATTCCGAATTCATTGTACAATATAGTTTTGGTGCTACTGTGGATCCTGATTTTATTTTGGTCTTGGGCACTAAGTGACCCCCTGTAGCAGTCGTCGGCTACAACATGATCGACGCGCAAACTACAGTGCGATGTGTTCGAGCACCAACGATTAACTAGGAAATCCCATCTCCCACGAGGAGACAGCGATAAAAGTGATCCGCATCAACAACGCAAGATCATGACACACACTAAAAGTGTGGAAAAAGAATCTCAATGTTTGAAGATGTTGAACGCCCACCAGCAAAATAGAGGTGGAGCTTAAAGCCTGTAAACTACGTATTTAGCTTAAGTGCTGCTCGACTCTAAGCTTTTATTCGCAGCTGATGCCTGAATCGTGTACCACCTGGTCCTGGTTCTATTATCCATCCTCTCAGTTCCTTTACTTTGTCGATACTTGATAGCAATTTTTATTTTTGTATAATTTTTACGGCGAGTGCTCTTTTTGCTAGTAGATCGGTCGCATTCCTGCTATATATTTGGTGTAGTTGTTATGACTTTCTAGAAACCTCCATGATGAGACCGGATCGCAACTAAAAAGTGTAGATGGGAAACAAGAGGCGAAGGCATCATGTTGAAGCGACGTGGACGACGGCGGGCGGCTGCACTGCCGCGTGACCTGAAAGGCCTCCAGCCTACCGCGGAGCCGTTGCTTTGAGCGATTCGCTTTTAGTGCTGCACGTTGTAGACGTAAAAGTTCGAGCCTGCTTGCCTTCCGATTGCCGATTCATCCTACTTTTGTTTTGGTCGCAACGACAGCACGGGCAACACCCCCCTCGAGCTCGCGAGTCCCGGGTACTTAGAAAATAGTTCGCTGCACTTGGAGCAGCAACGAAAACCGCAGCGCATCTTCTCTGTGCAAGTAGCACCACAGCTCCGGACGACAGGGACTTTAAAAAACGTTTGTTTGAACAAAAAGTTTCTTCATCCCGTGACACGCCTCCTTCAAGATGAACGTTCACGAGATGGAAGCCAAGGATGGCATCCGCATGCCGTGGAACGTTTGGCCGCCAAACCGGCTGGGCATGCAGCGGATTCTGCTGCCTTTGGGGTGTATGTACACTCCCATCAAGCAGACTAATGAGCTGAAGCTCGTGCAGTACGATCCGGTGGTTTGCAACGGCGAGAATCGCCAGTGTGGAGCCATTTTCAATCCCTTCTGCTACATCGACCTCAGGTACTATATTACCCAGACGACGACAGCAGATGTTGATTGTATGAAAAATGTTTGATGAGAAGGTTTCTTTGTCGGAAACGACGTATTGGTGGTCTCCAACAATCTTTTTTTGTTGCATTTTTCTAGCAGGCACCTTGAAAAAACAAAAAGCTGCTCGTGGTAGTATGATAAGGACACTTTTATCTTCAGGTCGAAGTGCTGGACGTGCAACTTTTGCGGGTGCCGAAATGCGCTGCCGGCATTCTATGCGGAACACATATCAGAGACGCAAAAACCGCAGGAGGCCATGTTTACGACTATCGAATACCTGTTGCCAAATTCAGCCGTGCCGCCACCGGTAGGTTTTGTTTTAAAGTCCCTCCTCCTCTTTCCGAAACAAGAAAAGCAACATCAATAGATATTTCCATGTTACATGAATGTTGTTCTGTAGGTCGTGGTAGGGTGCAGATGCTTTATAGCAATCAAAGCAGCGGGTTCGAACTTGGAGATGATCCGGTTCAGTTGTTCCGAATGCTCGCATTTGCACTCTGCGGAGAGTCGCCCCCTCGCGGCCACCGCGTCTATAGAGGTTGAAGAGACCTCCACCTAAAATACCATACTACCCTGCAGGTTTTTCTGTTCGTACTGGACACCAGTTTGAACAACTCGGAGGACGAACCGGAGTTCGAGAAGGCGAAGGAAACGCTGCAGCAGGTGATGCAAAGTATCAAATGCAAATATGTCTGAGTCTGGAAACTTGTGATGCTGGCTGGACAGTCTTGAGGACGTCCCGATTGGTGGCCACGCATGACAAGTGTTTGAGCTGCTATGTGTTGCCTGTTCTGCATGGCAAACCGCGTTTCCGCACGACAGAAAACTTGGATACTTGCCTAACGCGCATGACAGACTTGAGAGTCATGCTAGCCGAGCATGACAAACTCTGCATTCTTCCAGACCCAGACATATTTGCAATGCATACAAACTATGCCGGTGACAAGTTTGGTCGGGTTCATCACCTTTGGCACGCTGGTAAACGTGCACGAGCTCGGGTTCCAGGAACTCAGCAAGAGCTACGCCTTCCGGGGCACCAAGGGGTACAACGCACAGCAAGTCGCCCAGCAACTCGGCCTTCCAGCAAGAATGGACCCGAGAGGAAACACTGCTGGTACGTAACGCTGGTTTTAAAGAGTTGGCAATCTGTGATTGCTGGGGCGGTACTTGAGCTTCGCGGTTGCGGTGTGATAGATTCTTGCATAACTCTTGCACGCGTTACTGCGCTTTTTCAGAACTCGCTCCAGACAGTGCGGGCATCTTGGTCCAATTGAAGGTTTTTCTATGAAGACAGGATCACCACGACGTGGGCATGAAAATGAATGATCTTGGTCTCCTCGGAATAAACTACAACTAGCATATTGAAAAGTAATTTTGACACCGAAAAACAGCCCGATCGCGGTTTCTGTTGCCGATTTCCGAATGCGAATTTAGTCTAAACTCTGTTTTGGACGACCTGCAGCGGGATAGGTGGCCTACGCAAACGCGAGACGTCCGCTGCACCAGGTGTACCGGCGCTGCACTTTCCGTCGCAATAGGATTGCTGGAGTGCACGTAAGCAGATGAATTTTCACAGCTGCATCACCATGGACCTTCATGTTATAGTTCTGGTCGGAGATGATGATTCATTATAGTCGTGTTATTACTGTTACTCGAACTCGTATCCAATTTGAACTTTCTAAGGCACGTAGAAGTGCCTATTTATTGCAGAATTTATTGCGTTCGTCATTCTGTCTCGGAAAGTTTTGAATATAGATCACGGAAACTGAAAACAGATACGCGAACCAGGCGGGAAGGGTTGTTTTGCTCTCGTCCGGCCCCTGCACCGTGGGGCCCGGTCAGATTGTAGCACAAGACAAGGCCGAAGTCATGCGTTCGCACCAGGACCTGCAGAAGGAAAGACCAAACACAAAGTAATTAATGATTCTAGTAGCAGCGAATCAGTTGCAGTTCATTTTCGATCAGAGTCGATACAGCTCCCACTTGAATTCCAGCTTTGTGACTGCGCATTTCTAACCGCTCTTTCAGAAGTAGATAAAGGGATGATTCTTGTTCATTCAACTACAATTTGCTTGCCTGTCCCTGCGCACTTGTGCTGTTCTTTTGACGCCGGCCACTCCCACATTTCACAGGCACACGAAACCCGCCATCCAATTCTATGCGGGCCTCGCAAGCCGGGCAGTAGCGTCTGGGCACGCGGTCGACATTTTTGCGAGCAGTTTGGACCAGATTGGAACGCACGAGATGCGAGTATTGTGCGATCGAACGGGTTATCAAATGCAAAAATGTCTGGGTCTGGAAGAGTGTAAACTTGTCATGCAGGTTTTTCATGACCCATGAGGTCTGGAATGCGGGACCTAGCATGACAGAGTCTGTGAGGTTTCTTCCATGCCTATCCTGCATGAGAAACTCCCTCCAAAATTGGTCGAAAGTGGACAGGTTTTGGCACTCATGCAACACAGATTTCTGCATGATTCGGATTTAGCATGACAAGTTGCGATCTTCCAGACCCAGACATTTTTGCAATCCATAAGGGTGGGACCCTGGTGATGGCCGACGGTTACTCAACACACGTGTTTCGTGACAGTTTTAAAAAACTTTTCGAGACCGTCGACGAGTCAGGTATTTCCTACTTCACACTGCTATATCATTAACTCGCAAACAAGTTTCTGAATCTGTCCCGGTGTAGTCTGGACAATGGCCGATTGCGAAGATTTCGTTCTTCCAACGGGCGGGACGACCGCGCACAATGCTGATAGGGAACAATCAAGAACTTTTCGTTGAACCAACCCGGGGCGTCACCACCCGGAATTAAATCGTGGACCACCACCGCATGTTCAACAATTATCCCTCAGGTTTCCTGCAGATGGGGTTCAACGCGAACATAAAGGCCGTGTGTTCCCGTGAGTTCAAGATTAGCGGTTGCGTGGGCCCCTGCTGCGGCACGCAGAAGAAGAACAAATCGGTGGGCGAGACTGAGATCGGGGAGTCGGGCACCATCGAGTGGCGCATGGGGGTGATGGACCCCACCACCACGCTCGCGTTCTTTTTCGAGATCGCCGGCGACCTGTCGCAGAACGGCGGCCAGGCCATGGGCCAGAACGCGGCGTATCTGCAGTTCCAAACGCTGTACCACCATCCCTCCGGGGTCAAGCGCCTCCGCGTCACCACCGTCGCCCGGGCTTTCGCGGACCCGCAGCTGACCAACATCGCGCACGGGTTCGACCAAGAGGCCGCCGCGACCGTGATGAGCCGGAACGTGATGTTTCAGCTCGAGGGCAGCGAGATGAGCGACGTGCTGCGGAGGATGGACCGGATCCTGATCCGCCTCATCTCCAAGTTCGCCAGCTACAACAAGGACGACGTGTCCTCGTTTCAGCTTACCGAAGAATTCACCCTGTTCCCCCAATTCATGTATGACAGTGTTTTCTCGCTTGCTTGCTATTGCTACTTGCTATTTGTTACTTTGGAAGATCATTCTCAATGGTCATGGTGATGGTCTGCCCGCTTCGCGCTTCATCTCCATCGAGCTGTATGAGTTTCTTTTCCCGTAAGTGCGCATTTCATTGTTCTACTCATGCGCACTCTGATCGTGCAGCCGTAAAGTATTGTGATGTGTACAACTATGAATTTCAGGTACTACCTGCGACGATCCCCGTTTTTAGATTTTTTCAACACGTCCCCCGACGAGTCCGCCTTTTACCGCACCTGCCTGCTCCGGGCCACCACCTGCCAGTCCCTTGTCATGCTCCAGCCCGCACTCCTGTGTTACACCCTAGACGACCCCCACCCCCGACCCGTATTTGACCTGTTGGATTAAGTAACCTCAAATGCTGACCTTGATCTTGATTTTTGGAGCCGGGGTCGACTTTCTCATATCCACTTTCTCGAGAGATTTAGCATCGGTGTGAAAGAATACAAATGAACTATCACCAGGTACTCCTCGATGCCGCAAGTTTGAAAAAGGACATTATCCTGATGATGGACAGCTTCTTTTTCGTGCTCATATGGCGAGGGCAACAGATTCAGCAATGGTACAGTTTTTTTGGACGCTGAATAGTAGTTTTCCGCAGTGAGCGTATGGGAACGAGCTTCTCAATCAGCTGCAGCCGGCTAGACTAGTTCGAAGCATCGTGAGAACAGGAAAATTTGGTTCTTTTGCGAATCCGGTTTGGCTTGAGAGATTCCAGTTCTTTAATATCCTTCAGGTATGACGCGAAATACCACGAGCAGGAGGAGTTTGCGCATCTGAAGGAGCTTTTGGTCGCTCCTACTGTCGACGTGAAGAACATTCTTGCCGAGCGGTTTCCGTCGCCAAAATTTATCCAGACCGCGGAGGGCGGCTCACAGGCACGCTTTCTGATGAACAGGGTCAACCCGAGCCGAACGCACACGAAGGTGGATACCGACGACGGTCAGGGTTGGGGCGGCGTCCGAGGCGGCGGTAACCCGCAACAGGAAAGTTCCATCGTGCTCACGGACGACGTCAGTTTGAAAACTTTCATGCAAGCCCTGATTCGCTACGCTGTGGCTAGTTAGCGGAACCGAACGAGGAGGAGGCGGGAGAATTTCAGCATACGCTCGCACAGCAGTAGTGCAGGAGTACTAGGATTCTTCCACAGAAACTTTGCGAAGTGCGGAAAGCAACGGCCAGCGATCATGGCTGGGGTGTTTCGACGTCCTGATTGGCAACATTTTTTTCTACAGACGACAGATGAATTCCTCATCGAAAAATCATTGATACGCGTTATTTTCACAGAGCGAAAAAAAAAACTTGTGCTTTTTTTCGAAGTAAAATACGTATGTGGGTATTTCTATGTCATTTTCCGAACTCTCTCTCGCGAACTCGTTCAAAACTTATACTTTGTTTTAGTTGGTATCTAGAATGATCTGTACCTGTTTATGGTGTGTTGTTTTTGGAAATAATGAACCGAGAAAAAGACATGTGCTGGAACCATCAAACTACACAAACATTATTGCGACCCAGAGGTTCCAAGAAACCAGCGAGCTTTACTCGTTCCTTGTCATTATTATCCCGCTCAGCTCTTGAGACAAGATGAAGGTGGACGATAAATGAAGAAGATTCTAACGACGGCCGCACGGCTGTCTGATGGCGGGAAGCAACCTTTCTAGTTGCCGTTGCCATTATTTTTCAGACGATGAAATTTGTTTCGCTGTGTGTGCGCTATTTGCAGATCCAGGTTGGCGAAGGGTGCGTATGGGGTTGATTTGCGTCGTGCCTATGCTTGGTGGTTGAAGGGAAAGTTTTCGTCGAGGCCTCATCGTTATGTCGTGACGGAACGATGGACACGCACAGAAAGTTTGTCTTTGCGCTACTATGAATGAAATTCTTCGGGTGATGGAATCATAGCGGGGTTTTACTAGTGCCGAAGATTAGTGTGACATCAGAACCGTTGGTATCAACAAAATAGAAACGGCATGCCTGTTTCTGATGTTCCGGTTTACACAGCGCATCCACACTTTTCGGAGGAGGAAGCGAGCCTTTCCGCTGCCACCGTCGACGAAATATGCCGCGCCTTGTCCACGGAAGCGGCAGACAGTCCGGGCGTCGTGGTCGTGAAAAACGTGTTTCCTCCTGGTTGGGTCCGGGACACACTCGGCCCCTGGATCACCGGTTACTACGCCTCGCATCAGACCGACAGCCCAAAGAAGGACCACTTCAGCAGTGGCAACAAGCGAATCTGGCGTCTCCCGGAGAAACTGCCCGCCGAAATCCTGCTGCGGCTGTTCGATGAGAAGAGCGCACTCTGCCGCATTCTGGACCAGTTTCTGGGACGGTTCCACATTGGCTCCCTAGCGGTGAATACGGTGCTGCCGAATGGCAAGCCGCAGAAGATGCACACGGATTACCCGCCCGGGTTCTACGAGCCGGTGGAAATGCAAGACCTGTTCTCGTCGCACCACCTGGAGAAAATTCTGCCCTTCTTCAGCCTGCAGGTCGGGATCGCTGTCACCGCAGTGACCAAAGAGAACGGGGGCACGCAGTTTGTCTGTGGCAGCCACCGGGGAAAGGGTGTCGACCACCAGCTTGCGGAGTACAGTAATGATAGCATTGACGCTTCTAAGAATTCCAGCTCAACAAAATCCCCGCCGTTTCTGGAAGAAGCCGTAACGACGTGTCCAGAGCTGGAACCGGGTGACTGCTTGTTTTTCAACCGCAAGCTGGCGCACCGCGGTGGCGGGAACGAAACCGCGCAGGACCGGACCGTCGTGCTTCTGCAGGCTATCATGCCATTCGGGGTGAAAATGGAGGTGGTCGATAGCGACCTTGTGATCGACAAACTGAAGAAACATTTTGATGAAGAACAGAGGGACTTGGCTGGAAAGAGCACTATTACAGCTGCTCAGGAAGGAGCTGTGGCACATGTAGAGCTTGAAAAAACAAGAACAGTAGTTGGGGTAAAAGATCATGTCGTTGCAGATGATTCAATTGGAACTTCAACACGTACTGCTGGTGATGATGGAACCACGAGAACGATTTTGACGGAAGAAGAGAAACGTCGTTTGTACTACCGTTTCTCGGGACCGACGTTTCCGCGCGACCTAGACGTGGCTGCAGCCAGTGAAAAAAATGCGTGAAGTGCATTTATCCACCCGACACGAAGCGTCCTCGAGGGGTCTTCTTCGCGAAAGGCAGCGACGCACGACCCTATAACTAAGAGATAGCCCGAACTACTACCCTGCTGTTCTGGGGTTGGGGGACGGGAGAGAAGCCTTCGCTTGTTTCGATGAAATTAGTTGTTGCCGAGCATGTAGTACACGCGCGATTCCATCAACTCATTGCATATAAGTAATTGAGTGACGTGGTCGCACGATCAGGCTCAGGGCTCGTGTAGTACGCGGCAGGTGGAGGTGATTTCAATCAGAGTCTTCTTGCGGTACCGTGAGTTCGGGGCTCTTCTGTTGGCAGAGAAACCTGGAAAAATGCCATGGACTGACAACGCTGTCGCAGTAGTTTGTTTCGCTGAAAAATGAAATTACAGTGATCTTCCAGGCGGAAGTAGAGGAGCTCTACATGCTCAACACTAATATGGCACCTGTGGGAATGCAGGGGGACCCTCCGGGCGGGGAACGGTGCCTTGGAGTTTCGATTGCCACATTCATAAAAATAGCGGCACAGTAAAAGTACACCTCGTTTCTCGGGAACAGCAGGTCCAGGTGTCCCGCAACCCGAGAATGGCAACACCTGTCATTCCGCCCTCCGTTCCAGCGCCGCTGACGGAGCGCGAGCCACTAGTGGGGAGCAAGAAGAACGCAAGCCAGCGCTACGTCAAGCAAGGCCTCGAGTTTGCGCTGAGGCTGCAGGAGTACTTCGTTCACGCGTATGCGGTTCTTATTCTCCTCACCATTGGCGTCTGCAGCTACTTCGGCAGTACCGAGGTGTTACAGTACCTGCTTTCCCTGTCGACGAAGTGGCAGGGGATGTGGCAGAAGACGGCTTTCATGTACGTGTGCGTCACATTTGCGCTCTTTCTGTGTCTCCCTGTGGTGCCGATCCTGATTTTGTGTGGGTTTGTGGTGAACGATTGGGAGCGCGCGATTGCCGCAAACGCGGCCGGCCTCGTCACAGCGACCTACGCCCAGTACTTGATCGCGCGCTCCCATCAAGCGATCGTGAAGGAGGTACTACTTCTTGAGTAGGATATCGCTGCTGAAGGAATAAGCAACAGCGGTATCTTTTCAACATCTAGACCGATCCAATGTATTTTTGTGTGTGATTCTGGGTGCATGTAAAGAATATGAATATCCGATAAAAGAAATTCATCAATTTGAAAAACGCAGTCGCTGTCGACGCGGTTTCCGGCATTTTTTCGCGTCGCGCACGTGCTTGCCACTGATTCTCAGCTGATTTTTCTTTTCCGGTTCGTGTTTTTTCCGCTTTTCGCGAAGAACTTTCTGGCGGGCGTGCTCAGTTTTCCGCCGAATCTGTTTCTCTTTTCCGTCGTCCTCCACTCGGTCTACCTGGGTGGGCTGTTCGCCTGGGTGGGGTCCGTGTCGCGCGACGTCACGAAGACGGTGCTGGACACGACGGCGCACAGTCCCACCACATCCAACGTGAGCGACTACTACAAGATCGCGGCCACCTTCATGGTCAGCGTGGTGGCGACCATCTGGTTCGTCCTTCTTCTGTATTTTTCCCACCGCCGAGCCCTCCTCGGCGACCACCAGCAGGGCGGGTTTTGGTTTGAATCTTTCGCGATCGGCAGGAGCTCCACCATCACTGGGATTGCTGACGAGGAAAACAATGACGATTATCCCCTGCCAGTGGACACCACGGACGAGACCAATCTCGGCCGCAAGGAAATGACGCCCCGGCACGAGACTTTTGACGAAGCCGATGCCTATCATCGCTACCCCGAGGTGCGCGTGCACGATGCCGAGGCGGGGGGCACAACTGCGCAGAGAAGTCGAGAAGACCGCGGGGCGGCGGGTGCTCCAGGAGCTGCAAGTAGGTCAGCGCAGGGGCAAGGGTCAGCAAAAAATACAGCGCCCTCCTGACAGAAAGCCAAACAGGCGCCACCGGGGCGAAAAAAGTAGACGTAAGTAGTTGATGTGTGCAACAACATTAGAATCGACAGTACCTAACTGCGGCGCTTTTTTCGTAACACGAAGATACTGGGTTGCAAATGCAATATGTATGCTGGCTGTAACTGTAAGGCAGATAATTGTTTTTCAGCAAGCATCTGGAATATGGTGATACCCACAAGAATCATCTTTCATTCAATCATGCTTTCTTGATGTTGAAAGTAGTGTTGTTGCCTTCCTCGGTTCTGAGGCGTGAATAATGAATTTTCGGTGTCCTCTAGCTCTACTTCGGACTCTCTACCTCTTCGTGCACATAGATGTGGCTGTTGTCATCTTCAGCCTCGTGTAGTTGTATCAAGCTCGCTTTCGTACTACGTTCGGTCGTTCATTGGCAACCTGAAACTTCGTGCAGCACATGGCATTCCAATTCGGTGTGTGGTCATCTTTCGTCCTCTGTCAACATCGTGCAGCAGTACAGATTTTGTCGTGCGTTTCGCTGTATTGTCGTGCTAACCGTACCATCAAAAAAATTTAAAATACTAGCAATTCTTTACCTGGTTCGAGGATGCCCGTTGTACGAAACTTTTTTCCCAACAGGTGCGTCAGCACTCCCCAAATTATCTTTGCTTCCCCGTTTCATCATCATCTCTCTGAACCCTTTTTCACTGAACGAATTTACGAACGGTAATCACAATAATTTTCGTTTCTTCTTCAGAGAATAAGTAAATGTATCGCAATTACGACCCGGAAGCGGGTCCGCCTTTGTACACGGGTTCCATTCCGCCCTTGATGCCCCGTGTTCCGAAGGGCAGCAAGAGCCGGCAGCAAGTGCAGCCGCCGAAGCTGCGGGGCGGCGCTCGGCCGGCGCGGATGGACCAGTCCCCGAGTGACACCATCTCGGTGCGGCGACGGTGGTCGGACGCGCGCGACGACGGCATGATTGCGCACGCGCGGCGCAGCTCCTCCCTGGACCAAGCGAGCCCGCCCTCTGCGGTGGCCCAGATGTACAACATCGGCAGCGTGAAGAAGGAAAACATCGCCCCCGAGTTCAACAGCATGTTTGCGCTGACCGACTCGCGGTGGGCGCCGGCGAAGTACGAGATCGTCGGCGAGAACGAGACCATGGACATGTGGACCGTTCAGGGCATGATGGCGCTGTTGAAGCACGCGTCCGGCATCTACATCACGGTGCTGTTCCACATGGTGGTCATATCCAAGAAAAAAAAATTGTAGGTGTAACTTTTTTGGAGGAACAGCATTACAAATTTGTCTTGCATGACAGCAAAAATAACCTGTCATGCGCAGATAGTACGTGAAAACGCCCTTATTTAGTGGACCCTACAATGCATGCCAAGCATGACAGACGCAATCATCTTGCATGTTCCGCATCACAAATTTACACTAACAGCGTTTTTTTCTCTCCATAGGTCACGGTGTGTGTACTTGTCGGGCTTCGGCTGGCGGAGAAGGCGCTGGACGAGAACATTTTCCGCGACATCGTCGACGAGACCGTGGTATCAAATGTAAAATTGTCTGGGTCTGGGAACTTGTGATGCTGGTTGGCGTATCATGATGAGGCTACAAATGCTGGCTCAGCATGACAAGTTTCTGAGCTCCTAGGTGTTGCCTATTCTGCATGACAAACTGCGCTTCTGCATGACAAAAAAACGGGACTCTTGGGTAACGTGCATGACAAACTTTGGGGTCATGCTGGCAGAGCATGACAGACCTTCCATTCTTCCAGACCCAGACATTTTTACACTTCATACGTGGTGAACCTGGTGACCGGCATCGTGGCCTTCGCGCTGGTGTTCCGCATCAACTTAGCCTACGCGCGGTGGTGGGACAGTCGGCGCAGCTGCGAGGACTTTGCTGCGAAATTCTTCATTGCCTGCATGCTGTCCTACAGTTTCGACCAGTTCACGCTGGCCACCGCCCGCTCCAAGGCCGCCTTCCGTCTGCGCATGGCCGGGGTGTGCTCCCTCCTGCACGCCGAGGCGCTCAAAGAGTTGGGGTCCATGGTAGAGCTGCCCTGTCTGGGGTCGCGGGTGCTGAACCAGAAACAGGTGCAGATGACGTTGGGCGGCCCGGCGGGTGCCTTTGACCAGCACGGCCGGCTGCCCAAGGGCCTGCAGGGCCGCTACTCCAGCGAGTCGGTGGCGCACAACGTGCCGGCCACGCGGAACGGCGTCGCGCAGGGATACATCTGGACCGTCATGCTCATTTCCGGCCGCTTTAACCAGCACATGCTCGCGTCTCCCATCATCGCCAGGCTCTACGCACTGCTGGATGACGGTATAAAAATTTGTTTTTGGTTAGCTGAGCTGAAAGCCATCTGGATCTGTCGTGTGGCACTCTGCATGTTCATGATGAATTTGTTCGCGGTAATTTTGAATGAAATTGACTCTGACTGTACAACTTATCAAAATTCAGGTGTCGCCTCTTACTTCGACGCGCTGGTGGTCCGCACCACGCCGTTCCCCTTCCCGTTTATGCAGATCATCAATTTTGGGTTGTTCCTGATCAAGATCATCGTTCCCGTGGTGGTGCACCAGACCGGCGTGCCGTTGATTTGGGCCATTCCCCTGACGTATCAAATGCAAAAATGTCTCGGTCTGGAAAAAAGCAAGGTTTGTCATGCTAGGCTAGCAGGACTTTCAAGTCTGTCATGCAGGGTACCCAAAGACCAAAAACCCTGTCATGTGATGCAGAGTCGCTGTTTGTCATGCAGAGTAGGCAACACTTAGAAGCTCAGAAGCTTGTCATGCTGGGCCATCATTTGTGGGCTCCTCATGCTACGTCACTTAGCATTACAAGTTTCCAGACCCAGACATATTTGCAATGCATATGACGTGCTGCTGCGTGTTCGGGTTTTTCGGGATCGGTCGCGTCGCGGAGGAGCTGGAACAGCCGTTTGGGTCGGACTTCTACGACCACCCGCTGGAGAACTGGCAGATCGACTTTGATTTGTGCCTCCTGGACCTGGTGGAGAACCAGTCCTTCGAGGTGCCGCGGGTCGACCTGGTGCCGCAGATGGCCCCGTCCCTGGACGGCATCAAGGCCGAGGTGGAGGAGAAGCCGGACCTGACTAACGAGGCGAAGGAGGTCCTGAAGCTGGACTGGACGCAGCTGGTGCACCCGGCGCTGGCTTCGGAGTACACCAAGGAGCTGGACCAGCGGGTCCCGCACAGCATGCGGGAGGTGTCCAAGGATCACGTGCACACCTCGCCGCTGGCGGAGGTGGCCGCGCCCTCGCCGAACGTGAAGCCGCTGATGGCCCAGAACCAGAACAACCTGCGCAGCTCTTTTACCACGTTCTCCGGCATCCCCGGGGATCTGGGCGGCGTGCCCGCCTGGCAGGCGCAGTTCGACGTGGTGGCCGGGTTGGGCCCCGAGGCAGTGGAGGAGGACACCATCGCAGACACGGAGTCGGAGCATGGTGGAAGGCCGGTGCTGCCCGGCCAAACCACGCAGTTCAACCAAATCATGCCGAACGGAAGGAGATGAGAATGAATTTTACAACCCAGCCGTCAATAAAGTAAAGTTTGTTTCGTCTAGAACTACTTGATAGGCATGACTTTTTTTTTACATTGTACCGTAACCACTTTCTTGTTAGATTATGTCGACGCACTGTACGTACACTTTTTTTGCTTTTTCTACCCCAACTTTTTTCAGAAAGACCATTTTCCATTTTTTTGCAGTTCGTTCCCTAATCCCGGAGGAGTTTTTTTAGATAGACGGAAGATCCTAAAAATCCTACATGCGAGGTGGTCCCCAAAGAAAGCCGCAGTTCTTGCTGCGCCTTGAGAAGGTGCTAAGAGGAAGTTCTTGCCCCAAACCTTGTACAGTAACATTCCTGACGTTCTTTCATCGACGCAGATGAAGGAGGCAGTCAGAGAGTAGTTTGGATTCGCAAGATGATACGTACTGCTTCGCTTTGGTCAAGGTCGTCTCGGCCACACAAACGACGTTCGTGATTGTTCCAGAAGCGCGATGATCACACTCCGCTTGTGTGTTTGTCAGTTTCATCCTTCTTTACCAGCGTAGATCGTAGCGGACGCGTCACGAAGTACTGCTTGTCGGTCCAAAAAAGGAAAATCAGTATCTTCGGTGCAATCTCCCTTTCGTCACGCCATCCTCTGTCATTTCGTCCGCAAGAAAATGTCGTTCGTACGGTTGACACAACACACGAATTTTCGGTAAAAGCACAATTCACGATCGGTGTCCTCGTAGCGTCCACTTCGTGCAAAAGAAGCAAGGTTCTTCATTTGTGGATTTGTTTGTTCGTTTATATAGAGGTTCGGTTCTCGTGCCCTTGCGACGTCTCCGGTTCTGTAAATACTTACTGTGAAAAACCATTTGCAACGTCACTTTGATTTTTCCAAACCTTCTTCAGTGTTTGTGATCAAGCTTCCAAAGAACTTGGAAATTGATTGTCGCGACCTTTAAGTAAGTATCCCAAAACTCTTTACACCAACACCGACGACCCCTCATCAAACAGCCGAAGAGCTCAAGTGTAACACATCAAGAAGTCTACAACTTCGTACAACGGTAACAAAAAATCCGAATAAAAAATTCCACATACTCGGAATATTTTAAACACATTTTGAAATTATAATCCACTTCGTTTCCGCGCACATTTGTTTCTAAGAAAATGGCAGACACCGTTGAGCAACAAGTTTCTGTCCCGGCTTTGGACAGCCAGACCCAGGAGGAAGTGAACCTGTTTCTGCGGAAAACGCAGGAAACCGACGTGGAACCGGTTTTGGCTGCTCCCAAGGCCGCCCCCTTCTCTGACATTGTTGCCTATCAAATGCAAAAATGTCTGGGTCTGGAAACTTGTGATGCAAGTCCGTGAACAATAAGTGCTCTGTAATGCGCCGCCAAGCATGACAAGTTTTTCTTTTTTCGTGCTTCTGTGATGCGTATTTCGCATGAGAAACTGCGCTTTTGCATGACAGGCAAGAGGACCTCTTGGTGGCCGCGCAACACAGAGTACAGAGTCATGCCAGACTAGCATGACAATGTTGCAGACCCAGACATTTTTGCGTTTGATATTGCCTCCATGGCTGCGATTCCGGAGCAAACTGCTGCCGAGTCCCGCAAGGTGGAAGTCGCGGCCGGTACCACTGTCGCTGTGCCAGCGAAGAAGGACGAAGAAGACTCTGCCACCGAAGCACGTATATATATATACATAACTTTGATTATATGGAGCTTTTGCTTTTTCTAGCAGCATTGCGTTGAAAATCTAGCAGCATTGATTTTTTATTTTTACCTATTTGAGCATGGCATGCGATGCAAACTGAAACTTTGACTTTCGTAAAACCACTGCACAGTGCGCGGCTCCACCAGCGCGGGATCCAGCAACCCGTCTTCCTCTTCCAGTGCGGGCGCTTCCACCGCGACGGATGCGTCTTCTTCCGCGGCCGAGACCGAAACCGAGGGCGCCGGCGGCAAGAAGGGCGTGGACCTGAAGGCGTTCAAGAACATGCTGAAGTCGTTCGCGGACTACAAGGATCCGGACACCTGGTCGCAGGTGTTGAACCCGAACAACAAGGCCTACAACCCGCAGTTGGCCACCCTGCACAAGGCCATCCAGTGGGCCACGCAAAAAACCCGCACGCCGAAGGACAAGAAGAAGAAGGAGGAGGAGAAGGCGGCCGCCGAAAAGCAGGCCGCGGGCGAAAACTCCGGCTCCGGCTCCTCCGCCGAGGAGGGGGAAGCTTCGTCCTCCTCCGGCAACAAGAAAAAGTCCGCGACCACCCGCGCCAGCGCCGCGACCGGAACCTCCTCCGGCGCGGAGTCTACGGATGGCACGGAGCAGCTGCTGATGGGCAAGTTCGCGCAGCACCTGATGGCCGCCAAGGGGCTCACCCCGGCGAACAAAGGGGCCGCGAACAAGGGAAACAACGGTAGTTCTGCGGACTACCACTACGGCGCCGCCTTTTTCGGCAAGAACGGCGGCTCCTGGGGGCAGCACGGGAAGCACCACTTCGGGAAGAATGGCGGTGGTCACCACCCGCAGGGCTACAACTACAACAAGGGCGGCAAGTACTACAACAGTCAGTACAGCCAGTACCAGTACGGCTCGGCCTACCAGCAGCAGCAGGCGAGCAAGGGCTACGGCAAGCAGGGCAAAATGAACCACTATTACAACAACCAGTACAACAACCAGGGCAAGTGGGGAAACACCGGCGCGACCAACGGCTACTACAACGCGGCGGGCAAGGACCAGAATGTCACAGCGTCCTACAACAAGAACGGCCAAACGACTACGACCTACTACCGTGCCGGCTTTGTGGATGCGCAAGCGGGTGAGGGTCAACAGGCGGGGAACAATGCGGCTTCCTACCAGAAGGGCGGTGCGGCTTCCGGTAGCCATTTGCAGTCTACCGCGGCTCCCTTCCACCCCAACAGCGGGGAACAGGGTGGCGCAGCGGCTTCCGGTGCGCCGAGCGAGATGCTGTCGCCCCTGCCCACGTCGCCGTTCGACATGGCCGGAATGCCCCCGTTCGCGCTTCCGCCGATGGACCCGTGGACCATGTCCATGATGATGGCGGGTTTGCCCCCGATGGGCCAGGACCCAGCCGCCTGGGCCGCTGCGGCGCACAGCGCGGCTGCGCCGGGCGGTTCGCCAGCCTGAGCGACTGAAAAAGTATGAGAAATGTTGCTGAATATTATGATGAGCCAGATCGATAATTTATTATTTGATCGGGCGGCGGCTTGTTCTTTCGCGCAGCTTTCTTGTCACTACTGATCGTCTTCAAGGACGAAGATGAAACAATCCAACGTCGAAACCGCACTGGCTGTCTTGACCGGTTGTGTCAAGTGGAGGCTACTGCGGTTGGAAATAGAATGGACGATAGATTCGATCGATCCTTTTTTGCCGAGCACGAAAGGAATCACACTTTCTGCTTTCTCACGAAAAGCAGAGTATAACTTTTTTCTAGATGTTATCATATTCCGCGACAAGCTAGTGGAAGAGGATAGTACACTACTTGTAGGAAGTATCGCAAGAAAAAACTGTTTCACTGTAAACTTGTGATGCATAAAATGGAACACAGAAGTGTTTGTCTTGCTACATATGCAAGAAAGAGGATTTTTAGCTGTGTTTTCCCTTAGGAAGCTTGCATGGCAAATTTTCTCTGTCATGTAGAACGAACTTGTGATGCAAAACCTGCAAAATCCTTACAGTGAAACAGTTTTTTCGTGGGATAGGAAGGACGAGGACCGGATTTTTACGTTTCTGAAAAAGGAAGGACGAAGGCGAATCGCCCTCGATGAACACGAAATGCTTTCTTTAAGGAGTAGATGAGATGAAGACTCCATCGATTTCAAAAGTAACAGTCTAAGCTTTTCTGTATTTCACGGCCTTCATCTATTTTCTTCCAACTCGCAATAAGTAAAGCTTATATTCACTTCAATTTGAAATCAATCTCACCACAAGCTTCAAACCCCCATTCACCTTTTTTGAACCGCATTTCAAAAAACATATCAAATTCACATAAACTCTCTCCCCTTTGTATTTGTTCCCACGTTTCCATCTTCAACATTGTCTCTCCCCGGACCATGTTTTCATATTGTAAAGAATTCTTTTCGATTTTCGCGACCCTTGACGCTCTTTTCTCGGTAGTTGCTCTCTAATCAAGAATTACTTTCCTAAAACCCAGCTCTTGTTTTGAAAAGTAACATACTAAATCAGTAGCTCCAGAAGTTGTTGAAGACATACCACGTTTCGCGTGAAAAAAAACCCAATGTCATATCTTGGAAAATGAATCTTCAGAAACGAGGGGCGGATGATATCTTGACGGATATGCCGCTCGACGTGTCTGCAGATTGTTAAAAAAACAAATATAAAAAATTGCGCATTGCTATGTCTCCTATGTAAAAATAATCGCTACGTAATTACCTCAGTAAACACGACACGTTGTGTGCCGTTCGTTCCCCGGACGAGCCTGCAACTACCGGAAATTGAACAAACATGCCAAGAAAAAGCGGAGAAGTACAGAACCCACAGCTGTCCCCCCGCAATGCAGAAGTTTCCGAAAGAAAAAATCGTTTTCGCAATCGCGGCTAGCAGCTCTGGACGAGAGATGAGCTTTTGTGACACGAAGAAGTCGTCATCACACTTGGATGTTCTATCACCTTTCCGCTGCGGTTTGAATTTTTGTTGATCTTTTCTTCCATCACCTGTCCTGGGTAAAGTAATTAGAAGTTGAACTCGGTATAGGGGCAATCGTTCGTGTCGCACCTCCCCCCGCGCATCATCAAACAGCCTCGTTTTTTATCCTGGCATGGCGCTCGCCAGCTCCCCCAGCAGATGGCGGATGTTCGTGGCGGGTGGGCACACGACTCAATTTTTGGGCAAGGGCCACCCGAGTTTCATCCACCCCAAGCACCCGGAGTTTGGAAAGAAGCACAACCCCTCGTGGCGGGACTACATGCAGGAAAGTGTGGTGGGTGCGGTAAAGGATGCATTCGGCCTACCGGACGACGACCCGGGGGCGCTCGACGCCGCGTGTGCTCAGGTCGACCGACTGTACGTCGGCAACTTTGCGGGCGAGCTCTTTGTGCAACAGGGGCATCTGGGGCCCGCCCTGGTCGGGGTGTCTAAGCAGTTCCAATACAAGCCGGCCATGCGAATAGAAGGCGCCTGCGCGAGCGGTGGCCTCGCGCTTGCCGCAGCGGTCGACGCGTTGCAAGCAGGGCAGGGAACCGATATTGCACTCGTCGCAGGGGTCGAGGTGCAGTCGACAGTAAGTGCGCGGGAAGGAGGTAGTACTGTTGATTCGTTAGTACGTCTTGCTGTAATACTTATATCGGGTTGTAGATGCTCTTCTACTTCTACTCGCGCATCCATTTGTGCTGTGAAAAATTTCTAGGTCATTTTCGAGTACTCAAATGAAAAAGTAACTTCTACAGGTACCTTTCTCGCGCGCGCGGCGGATTTTGACCGACAAGCGAAAATCGACGATTTCGCGTTTCCGTGTTTGCTGGCGCGCCGGGCCAAGGCCTACTTGGACAAGTACCCGCGAGCGACCGGCATGGCCAGCCTGAATCCTTTCGTGGAGAAGGCCTACCGCAACGGCAACCTAAACCCGAAGGCGCACATGCACAAGGTGCAGGTGAGCAGTGAGGCCTTGAATTTGGACGACAAAAATCCGTGTTTTCTGTCCAACGACGACTACAAGAGCTTCGTGCGGATGCGGGACTGCATATTGCAAGGAAAAATCCTCCCTCCCCATACCAAAAGGGGACACTTCTGAAAATTTGTGATGCTGATTTGAGACCACAAATCGTCTCTGTGTTGCAAGAAGGCAAATCCAAAATCTCCGCCGCGTTCTGCAGGCAATTTGTAATGCTGTATGGCCTACGGAGGACGCGCCTGCCTTGCCTCGCATTAACACCAAAGCGCCCCTACGCCGGCTTTGTATCTGGTTGCAGTCTTTCACTGCAAGACGCAGCCGATTTGTGTACACAAATGCCGCATCACAGAGCTCCATTTCGATATGGGGAGGGGGGGCGTTTCCTTTTGATACTGCAGTCAAGTTTCTGACGGCGGCAGTTGCTTGGTCTTGTGTAACGAGAAGGGCGCCGAGAAGCTTCGCGGCGGCGTAAAAGAGAACCTCGTGGAACTTTGCGGCATCGAGTACGGGTGCGGGAATCTGTACCAGGACCCGGACGACTTGGCGAAGATGGACACGGCAGCGGCTGTGGTGGGGCGTTTGCTGAAACGCACGGGCGTTTTGAACCCCAAAGAGGAAGTCGACGTGTTCGAGGTGCACGACTGTTTCAGCATCGCGGAGGTGCTCATGTACGAGGCCATCGGGCTCACAAAGCCGGGTGAGGCGCTCGCAGAGGAAGTGGCAGCCACGGTCGGCAAAAAAGTCAATACCGGTGGTGGATTGCTCAGTTTCGGACATCCAGTCGGGGCGACCGGAGTCAAGCAGGTGCACGAGTGCTACCGACAGATTCGGGGACAGAGCGGCGACTACCAGCTCGCAGGAGAAGTAAATCGGGGCCTTGCTGTGAATATGGGCGGCGACGACAAAACCATTGTTGCAACACTGCTGCAGAAGTTGTAGAGGTAAAAGCCTTGCAAGCGACGCAGCCCGCCACGATCATCAGCAATAGAAATGCTCTTTTCCGACGTGTAACCATAGTTTTGCTTCGTTCGCTTTTTGTGTTGTGAACGCTTCGCAGAAAAACAAAAATTGCCTTGGCACAAAACAGCTGACGTTGCTTTTCGCATTCATCTTGGTTCTTGCTGCAAATGTTCATACTTTTATCTTCGCATGAATGATTTTTTGAAATAATAATTTGTTCGTGCTGATGCTGTATGTTTCCTTTTCTATTTTCTGACTCTGCTTTCGCAAGCAGAAAAGGGCCAGAGATTCAGTGTTCTGCTACACTGGTGTTTTGCATAGGAATAGTTGACAGCAAGCAGCGTCAGCATTTCTTCCGCTGCGTCCTTCCAAGAGCAAATTATTCCTATTCAGCAAATGCGAAGACTCCAGGGACGAAAAAGAATAGGAGTGAATCGCACAGGGACAATCTAAGGCTTAGAGTCGAACAGATTCAAATCATCAGTTCGCAAGAAATGGATCAGTCCAGTGGCAGATTCAGTTAAGTACTGTAGCTGTGTTGTAGTTCACCACTTGGAGCCTTGCTTGCGATCTTTTTTGGTGGACGAAATGAGTACTGACTCCGACTCGAGTACTTCATTCTGATCTTGAATTTTTTGAAGCAAGATTTTTCTGCTCGCGTTGATCACTCGAGAAAAAGCGACGGAGCCATTGCTATGGGAAAAGTGGTGGATAAAGTACTACAATTCAACAACATTGCGGCCCCTCCTATATAATTCAAAATGTTCTTTGCTGGATCATGAGAAAGCCTTTTCCTTCCGGACTCCACCTCCCGAACGGAACCAGAGTAAACCACCCTCAACGTGCAAGAGCCAGAGTTTGTTCGCCACCACGCGCCAGAACCTCGACAGCACTTTGTCACCTCAGCGACGGCAGTTTCAAAAATTCGAAATCCTCGGAATCCCTCACCACTAGGTTTTTGCTGCCCGCCGTTGTGAAGCAGAACCTAAATCACACAGTAGTTCTTCCCAGGAGGCAATTCGGCGTTTACTGTCGAACAAAACCGCTATTTGCGAGCTACGAGGAGCAGAAATGGTTGGACTTCAAGCGATCGCTGGACGAGGCGGAGCCCGACCGGCGGTTGATCACCGAGGAAGAAGTGCTGCGGTACTACCTACTGACAAAACGCGACTTGGTCGCCCTCGAAAAGATCGAGGAGGAAAATCCCTACGCCGTCGTGGGGCAAAGCGGTTCGTTCCAACAAGGGAACGACCAGGTGGACGTGCGTGGAGCAACAGAGGAAAACGGCCAGCCCACGTCGGATCCGGCAACGGACGCGGCGATCGTGAATTCCTACTGGCTTTCGGACATTGCGCCCCTGGCATTGAGGATACACGGCCGGGAACGACTGGAAACGAACTTTCACCGACATTTCAGGGACCCCGCAGCACAACATCATTTTCAAGGCGACGACCACGAAGCCGGCGGTCAAGTACGAGAACAGGCAAGAACATGTTATACGTCATCAATTCCCGGTTATACATCAGAGGGAGCTGCAGAGGGGACGACGACAGCTGGGGGTGACGATATTTTATTTACGCAGAGCGACAAAACAAGGCCCTTCGAACAACTGCAACGAGAGGTGGACTCCGGGCAGGAGCGGAATGCCACGCCTTCGAATGAGCAGCCGGAAAGTCGGATCTTCGGGTTCTTAGCATGGCACACTACCACCGAGAACCTGATCCAGAGCAAGCGACGATGGTACACGAACCGCCCGGCGGGGTCGGCGAATGGCTCCGGCAAACACGGCGCGCCCGCTGGTGCGTTGGGCGGGCAGGAGCCGCAACAGGAGGGGAAGATCTCTTTGTGGCAAGGGTTGATCTCGAACTCGCTGATCCTATCCATCAAGCTTGCCGTCTTCCTGGTTTCCCGGTCGCAGGCAATTTACGCCGAGATGATGCACTCCGTGGCGGACGTTACCAATTACTCCTACCGGCTTTTGATGCTGCGGCAGGCGGAGCGGCAGGGGCCCAACCTGCAGCACCCCTACGGCTACGCGCCGTTGCGGTACATCACGGCGGACCGGAGCTTCGTCGTGCTCGGAATCATCGGCGGCGTGTTTCCGCTGTTGCACGGCCTGTTGGAAATGTGGGAACTGCACACGAACCTTCTCGAAGCGGTCGCTAGTACGCCAACAGCTGCTTCGGAAGAGCTGACAGCAGGTGTCGTGGTGGACCTACACAGTGGCTCTACTGGCACACCTGATTCTGCTGGGTGCGTAGGAGGAGAGGCTCGCACTTCTGCCGACGGAGCACCAATTGATGTTTCACCTTCATCCCTCGAAGTCCTCGAGGGCACTACGCAGAAAGTGATTCACTGGTCCTCCATTCTGCCGGCGATCACGGTGCTGGGCGCCTCCTGCGGTCTCGAGTTTCGCGCCGCGCAGGTCAGCTTCCGCGAAATCGAACAACTAGCGCAGCGCAGCTTTCTCATTTCCGATCCCGTCGCTAGTGCTCAGCAGGACGTTGGCGTAGGAAAAAATTCTTCGAATGTGAGCAGAAGCAGAATATCGAAAATTTTTACTGGTGGGGCCGCCCGAGGTGGTCATTTTTACGGCTTGTTCGGCAGCAAGTGGTTCCATAATTTATTCGACGGCAGCAAGGTGGTCCCGAGCCCGACACAACTCTTGCAGGGGACCACCGCAGCACACCAGAGAGCGAACCGGTACCGCTTAGTGTACAAGTACCTGCACTCTGGCACGGATGTGATGTCGATTGCCACGTTCCTGGAGGCCAGCGTGGGGGTGATCGGGTGCGTGGTGGGTATGGAGGGACTGTTGCTCTCCTTCCTGACGCAGAACCCGCTGTACGACATCCAGGCCTCGCTGGCCATGTCCACGATGGTGCTGGGCACCAGCTACTTTCTGCTCACCCGCACCACCACGTCATTGCTCGGCCAGGCACTGCCGGAAAAGACCGCCGGGTTTCTCGTGCGCAAGGTCGTCTCGGATTTTCGCACGGTGTCGGACCTGTACGACATCAAAACTGAGATTCTAGGCACGGACACCGTGCGCTTCAAAGCCGAGGTCCGCTTCAACCCAGAGGCCATCACCGAGCGAAAAAAGAAAGCCGCGGACGAAAAAATTCTGGCGCACATTCTCCAGAAAAATCAAAAAGCAGCGGAAGCCGCTGGAGATGATGATCAGGGTGGTAAAATCAACTCTGGCGAGCAGAACATGAGCGACGGAAGTTACTACACAACATCACTCACGGAGAATTTGCAGCGGGTGCTACTACGCCCTCGTACAACTCTAGTAGAACAAGTGCAGAACCAGGGTGACGACGAAAGTTGCGAGAAATCAGACGAAGCAAAAGTAAATCAGCTGAACCAGTTGCTGATCGAGAGTGATGCGGAATTTTACGTGGCACTCACACGGGAGCTGAAAAAGGTGGAGGCGACGATCAAGCAAGAACTTGGGAAAGAGTTCAAATACGTGCACGTCGATTTAGAGCCGCTTTGAGTTCTTGTTCGTGGATGGAAACTTTTCTTGCTGCTGGTAGTTTATCTACTTGAAAGGCACGACTGCATAAGGACTACACGCCCGGGGCCGGATTTGAAGAACCTGAGGACGCTCGTGCCTAACAAAGAATGTATGCTTTCGACTGTCAACATGTTCCTTCGTTTGCTTTCCACTGGACAGCACACATTACAGGTCGGTACTAGTCCCTCGTGCCTCTTACTGGACAGCAAACAGGTCGGTTCAACTGGACAGCAATGTGAAGCATCGTCCCTCGTGCCTCTGAAGTAGATAATACAGGTCGTCGTGGTTTCATCAATCCAGAACTGCAGGTTGATGACAAGAAGAAACTGTAGTTGTACGAGACAAAACTTTTCTAGTGCGTCGTACAAGTGTAACACTTGGACTTGTTTCTCTCCGCATTCGGTTTCGTCGTACGGTATAAGTCGTTTGAGCACAACTTCTAGATGACTGCGCACCGTGATCGTTCTTGATCGCTCTCTAAAAACGGAGGCCCTTCATCGTAAACTTCGTTCACTGATTCGTGCTGTTTGGTGACTTCGTAAGAAGTATGGTCTTAGCTCCCGTCCTCGGTCGTGTACCGTATGAAAATAAAATGCCGTCGGACGACTCACCATCGGTTTGGATCTACGTTACGCGTACTTTTCTTTGACTTTGTCTTCACTTACCTAAGTACTGTCCTCTGTCTTCACTTATCTGCCATTGGAAGCAGCGCTTAAAAATAGAATTGGATTAGTTGAGTAATCGAAATCAGGACCACACGAGGAAGACCCCGAAGCCCCTTTTCATTTTATTTTCTTACGATTCTGTATGTAAATCTGGATCCGGTTGGAAGTTGATGATTGTGAACATGTTTTTGATGAAATTTAAAACAACTTTGCGTCGTTCGGCGAGCGCAGCGAAAAACCCCTGACAAAGAGGACGAGGACAAGGACCCCGGGTACCGACACCGCCTCAACGCAGCGTTTTTCGGAGTAAGTAGGGCTGGTGTACTGATCCGAAAGGGTTACGAGGGCTCTCTTACCGAGGCGGAGCAGCGGGCATCATAAGTATTGGCTTTGTTCCATCCCCCGCATCTATAGGAAGTAGACTAGCAAGAAAATGCTGCCTGGACAGAAGCCACTGTCGAGCCGGAACTGGCACATTTTGAAGGCGGCCGGGCATCAACTCCACCAGGATATGCTGAAAAAGAAGGGACTGGTAAACGGTCAAGGCGGGTCGACGTGGGACGACCCAAGCTTTTTGCCTAACACGAAAGACAAGGCCCGCAACGTGTTCCGGGCCCTGAAGAAGCTCCTGCTCTACTGCATATACCCCCTGGTGATTCACACGCTTGCGTGGACGGCGTTGGTTTTCTACTTTGCCCCCTGGAACGGGGGGTTTTGGTACGCTCTTGGCGGTTGCCTGCTCGCGTTCCTCATCCCGGTCCTTGGGCTAGTGTTGCCGATCTACCTGATGCGCCGGAAGACGAAGCAGACGAGGGTAGACACCGGGTTTGTCGACTACGGGTGGGCGTCCCACGCGGCGGAGCATCTGCGCTCGCGCATGAATTCCCTGCGAATTCTGCTAAGCGTCGCGGCCATGGTCCTGTTTCTGGGCTGCGTTTCCCAGGGACTCACCGTACTGTACTTCTTGACCATATGGAAGCGTCAGGTTTGAAATCGACAAAGTTGAAATGATTTGTCATGCATAAAATGGATACCAGTTGGAAGCCCAATTTCCAAGCGGCGCATGACAAATTTGCGGAGCACCGGAATCCACTTTGTCATGCTGTTTGGGCACAGAAGACTGTTTTTGTCATGCTCCTTTAGCAGCTCTATCCCAAACCCTAAATAGGCTCTTAATCTGCCTCGCTTGCTATCCCTGCAAGAGAGGGACTCCTTGTCTTGCAATTTATGCATGAGAAATCATTTCAACTTTGACGATTTCGATCCTGACACTCCCATAGACCAACAGCACTAACCGCAACGTGCTGGGACTCGAATCCAGCACCGAGCACCCCGCCGCGCAGAGCCGGCCCGGCTGCAAGTACGATCCGGCGGACTGCACGGCGTCCCTCCCCGAAGGCAGCACACCCTCCCTGGGGCCCGCACCCGCGAACGAAGATAGCTGGCGGGGCAGCGCGCAGCAAAGCGACCTCCCTCCGGGTTCCACGCTCAACCGTGGGCGGAACATCGAAGCGCTCGACGCGCCGGAAAGCGCGGACCTGCTGACCGACCGCGCGAAGTACCAGGGCAGCGCCAACGTCCAGTTTCTGCCTCCCGCGCTGCTCTACATTTGCACCTTGAACGACCGTAACACTCCGCTCTTCTCGCACTCGCGGCTGACCATCCCCACGATTTACACGAATTGCGACAAGACCTCCTCAGCCGCGGTGCAGCCGACCTGGTGGAATGGTATCCCCCGGAAATAAGTTGGTCGTGGAATATTTACACATAAGCATATACAATGTGCATCGATCATAGGAATAAGTGTGCCGCAAGAAACTTGATGGAACTAGAAGCGGAGAAATTGAAGCAAAAGTATCGCACGAGCAAGCGCACACCAGAATGCTACTCGATGCAAGGCAAGAACGTTGATTGTTTTGTCGCAGATGAATTATTTTCAAATTTCATTCTCTTTTCCGCGAAATAAATGTGTACATACGTGTATGTCTACCGCGCACCAGCTTTTCTGGGGGATACGCAAGTGGGTGCACTACGACCGGCTCCAGTTGTGGGGGGTGAACGAGCGGGATGAGACGTACGGGGTTTGTCGCCACGACACGTCCACGACCGCGCAGCGCAGCTTCACGAACGTGTTTTACCGGCCCGAAAGCGTGGTTCCGGCGGTGTCCGCCTCCTTGGACTTCGCGGCGCAGGAGCGGTCCGCCGCGTTCGCGACGCCCGAGATCGGGGTGCACACGGGCGGGTGGACGCTCGGCGTGTTTCCCAGCAACTGGCACAAGGGCGAGTGGCCGGACACCAGCGACCCATACATCCGGCACGAGGTTCGCACGCAGACCGACGGCGTCTCCGTGCAGCGCGCGCAGGAGGTCTGGAACACCGTCGAAGCGTCCAACGCCAACACTGCGTGGACCAACACCCCCAACGGGGGGATGGGCACCGAGCCCTGGTGGCGCATCGAGGCTTATGTGGGGCTGAAGCCGCAGATGGCGGGCGGGTTCTTCGGCGCGGGCAGCGAGTGGGTGCTCTCCGAGAAGCTGTTCGCCACGCAACTGGCCATCTTTGACTCGGTGACCACCCCGGCCCCGCACGCGTCGCGGCTCACGCTGCTGGACTACGTGACCCTGAACAACTGGGGGGTGCAGTGGCACTACGACGAGGTGCACACCGACGAGCAGACCGCTTTCCGCAAGGCCTGTGTGGTCGTGGACACCGACACCGAGGTGCTGCTGGGACCGGTCACGGACGCGGACAGGGACGACGGCTACGACTACGGTTACGCCCTCAAGATGGCCAACTGCGGGGACATGTGGGGCTTCGGTGTGTTCACCAACGACCAGTTCTACTACGACACCGAGACCAACGAGATCGCGTGGTGGCGCCCGTGGTTCTTCGACTCCAGCTACCGGCTCGCGTTTTTACCCTACGTCACAGGCTCGGGGGAATCGCGGACCACGGAGGGCAGGACGGACTTTCGCGTCGGCGTGGTCCACCAATCTTGGAGTGCGTACAACAACCACGCGCTCAAGTTTCGCGGGCAGGTATACGACCACGGGACGGACGGCTGGGCCTGTCTGCTGGTTCTCACGTCCCTTTTGGCGCTCGGCTCCTCGCTCTACGCCTTTTACATAGCCATCCACGCCATTCGAGATTTGGGCAGAATCAACGTCACTATGCACACCGAGATGATGGCCATGGGCTATTAGAAGTGAATGGGAGAAGAAGTTTGTTTCAAGTTGTCTAGGAATTATGGATACGTGATATGCTGCACACCCCTTTTTACCCCTGATTAGTTTATGTTGAACTATGCGCTGGTTCTTATTCGACATTCCATTGCCCCAGGTGCTCTAGAGGTCAAAGCATCGGCCCAATTAGATCTTCTACAAGTACAATAGAAAATGTATGAAGGCATTCGCTCCATTCATCCGAAATCTTGCAAAAAGAAAAAAACTCGTACATTAGAAGTACCCACCCCTGCTAATAAAAAATTCTGCGCGTCTTCAGGAAAACATAAGAAAAAAAAATCGCATTCGCATGCATGTAAGTAAACCCGAAAGACACAACTCCCTTTAGAAAATCAGCTGAACCGAAGATAAGAAGTTGTGTGTCAAACTCCAAGCAGGACACCGCTGAGATCGAAGATCATGTTTCCTGTTGTCTTTGTGGCATGGATAAGAGTTCACTTTCTTGAGCCTAGTGCCATCTGCTTGAAGGATCGAGATCGCAAGAATCTGCGGCTGAATTTTGTCATAATTGCCTTGATGGTCACTGCGAATTTCATCCCCATCCTAGCTACCGCTTCTGTGTGAAGAGGAATCTTTTGCAATAACACAACGAGGATCCACCTTTTTGTTTCAAACCAGAGCACTATTTGATGATCATGTAAGAACAAATGCGTTTTCCTTTTCCTTTTACTTAAAACAGCGATCAGAAAAGACAAGAGAGTAGCGACAGTAGTACAAGGGTACTCTCACGCATCCGAACCAGATTTTCATGGTTGTCTTTAGTTACACCAACAACGAAAAATATCACAATCGCCGCACGGTAATCACTTGATTAAGCGGCAACAATTTTTACTAAAGACAGAGCTAATGGTATTGGAGGTTTCACATGTGCCGCTCAGCAATCGCTGACCCCAGTTTTTCCGCTCCGTTTTGGGCAACGTGTGCCCGCCGTTTTTGAAGTTAGTTATCTGTTAGTGTTTGAGAAACTGAAATATCACAAGTAGTCAACTTCAAGAACCATGGTGGTGACTGTGTCGTCTTCCCCCGCGACCTCGAGCTCCGGCGGCGCGCCAGCGTCCAAGCCGGCGGCTGCGGAGAACAAGGGAACAACGAGTACGGGGAAACCAAAACTAGTCCTCGCGAACTTTTCGGAAAAATCCGCGTTCACGCGCGGCGAGAGGGAGATCGTTTCCCGGCGGGCCGGCATGCCGCGAATTCTTTGCCCCAAGATAGTGGCGCTGAGCAACCAGCGATTTGAGGAGGTCATGGCCGCCGCGAAGAAGCAGGCCCAGGAGCTGGTGAAAGAGAAGGGCCAGCCGGTCCCATTGGCGTCTCCGCGCGGGGGGCCGAGCATGCTGCAAGCCAGCGACAAGTTTCACATTATCCACACCCAGCCCAAGGGACGGGAGGAGACACTAGTGGCCACTCTGTGTGAGGAAGAGGACGAATTCTTCAATGAAGACGAGTTTCAGATGGATACCGACATCGACGATCCAGAGAGATGGGACCAGGTAGCGGAAGAGATGGACACGCTGGTGCAGGCTATCACCGGCGGCGACAAAAAGGTATTTATTGTTGCGTAAGAAGAAGAACATGAAGATGTACGCGAAGTTGTACTACAGGTACCAATTCAAATGAGTAAGAACTGCCCTAACATCAAAATAGTTCCACTAACACATCACTGAATGTCCAAATACTTTGCAAAAAATACTCTCTCAACTACAGCCCGACACGCTCGGTATCGGTCCTCTGCCGCTGGGCTGGGTCATTCCGGACCGCCAGTACAAGCCAACGCGGCCGACCCTGAAACTGCTGCCCAACAGCAAGTTTGAGACCTTTTTCCGTTCCTGGGGACTCGTGGAGAAGGCCGAAATGGTGTTCCAGCCGGACCGAACCATCTACTTGCTGGTGAGGTTCAGTCGGTGGGAGGTGATGGCACAGGTACCAAGCGAGTAGCTCTTTTTTTGTGACATTGATGGTATCTTGCTTTCTGTACGGGAGCTCCTAGTGGTACAAGTGTAGCCAACTGCAGCTACCTATCTTTAGTAGCGAACTTTCGAATCGCAATTGGAATCGACCACGACTATTTTTACGCACGACCACCTTATCTTTCAGGCCGCACTGTCACTGTGGGGTGGGCGATATTTTGGGTTTGTGCCACCCTCGAGCGACGCAAAGCACGAGGAGATCCGCCCCATCAATTTGGCGTTTTGCGATTACGAGCAGCGGAAAAAGGAGCTTTTGGCGGAGCAAACGAGTTTTGAGGAGATCACGCGCGGCCTGAACCCCGTGCAGGCCAAAGCCTTTCGCGAGCTCTCCGACGAAATCGCAAGACTAGAGGTGGAGAATCGGCGCCTGGAAACAGAGGTCCGGCAGCACGAGGAGCGGAAGCGACAGCGCGAAAAGGAAAAGCAGGCTGAGCTGGACGGCGAACTTGTCGATTTGAACAAGCCCGACAGCTATCAAATGTAAAAATGTCTGGGTCTGGAAGATTGCGAGGTTTGTCATGCAGATTTTCCATGACCCATGAGGTCTGGAATGCAGGACCTAGCATGACAGAGTCTGCGAGGTCTCTGCCATGCCTATCCCCCATGAGAAACTGCCGCCCAACTTGGTCGAAAGTGGACGGCTTTTGGCACTCATGCAACACAGATTTTTGCAATATTCGGATTTAGCATGACAAGTTTTAATCTTCCAGACCCAGACATTTTTACAGTTGATAACAGCCGCGCAGGAGCAACAGCACCAGTTGTTGGCGGGGAAGCTGCACAAGCCTCAAAGGCTGTTGCTACAACTGTCCCCACCTCCGCCGCGTCCTCCTCGAACAATGGGGCCGCGGCCCCTCTTCAACCTCTCGCTGACGCCACCGTTCCGAAAGCCTCTGCGCCCGCGGTCGCGGCTAGTAGTACCGCAGGGCTTGTTCTTGGTCTAGAGACCGGCACGAGCAGTGGGCAGCCATCACAACCTCCAGCGGCAGCTGCCGAGGACACGACCGATGCTCACAAAGTAGGTGGTCCGGCTGTAGAAGAAGCAGCAGCTGCGATGGACAGCGCTGCGGCTCCGGCTGCGAAGCGACAGAAGACGAGCGAGGTGCGGGGTGGCGGAGCCGGTGCTGCCCCTCCTGCGCCAACAGGCGTTGCCGACCTCGGAGCACTAGACGACGAACTGTAACTGTACATCGATATTTTCATAGAGCCGTCACGTCGAATGTGATTGTTGTTGTTCACGATCATACATAAGAAGCGCGAAAGACGTTGGTAGACAAGTGCTTACTGAAGCTAAAAATGCTCCTGTGGCAAAGGCAGTGCGCTTTGTGGTGTTCGCCATTCAAACACTTCACGCAAGAAGAAGAACTGACCTGTTCGCGCAGTCTGACATGGATCCACAGAGGCGAGGATGAAGAATTTCTGTGCCTTCCGAACGGGGTATGCGCATGCAGCATGCCAAGGATCAATATCGCTATCTATGCTTCCTTATAGTTCCCCCCGCATCTTTTTCTCCTACATCGTATGTCCTGCAAACGCGGTCCGACCGCTGGAAACCAAATCTTCTTTGAGCAGACTCACTCTTTCTTCCTGCATGAAGCAAAAACAGAAATTATAGCTGTCCTTCTAACTTTACATCTGTTGTGCGATTCATCAGCGACCGATCAATATTCCACCATTTTCAACAAAAAAACGTAAGCGACGCCTTCCTAAGATTATCCCACTTTTCTAGTATTTCTCAAGTAAAAGCGACATCAAGTTAGTAGTGAGAACAAGTCGGCCGAAAGCGCTTTTCGTTTCAGCAGTACCCGCTTAATACTGCCACCGTAGTCAACACGGTTCGTCATCACTACAGCGAAGATTAGTACTAGAATAGTTTAAACCTGTACCAGTATCAGCAAAATGTCGGCCTTCGAGACGGTGTTCGGACTGAAGGGCAAGGGATTCGCGATTGTGTGCGCAGACTCCCAGATGCAGGCCCATTATCCAGAAGAAAAAAGAACTGCATCACACCACGTCGTCTGATTTTACAAGTTTTCTTTTTCGATTTTCATGTGCAAAGAAGAGAAGATTGATTGTCGATCCTATCCGAAAAATAAGGATTGGAATCTCAATTTGCAGCCTAAATTGTGCGACAACGAACAGTGGTGGGAAAAATGGTGCACTTCTCCCATTTCCATACTCGCCAGATTATTGCGATTAAGACGGATGAGGACAAGATTATGGAGGTAGAAAACAAGCTCTTCGGCTGCAACGGCCCCTCCGCGGATCGAACCAGCTTTATGGACTACATTTCCAAAAACATCACCCTCTACAGGCTCCGAAATCAGGTCGGGCTCTCCACAAAGGTAAGGTCTTCCCAATGCATGAGCAGATCGAAGTCGAAGATCGTTGTTCTTTCACTTCCTGGGTAATCATCAAGGAAATATCTGAGTGATTTTTCAGGGTGTCAGCCGAAAATCAAAATTCGGCTGGACATAATAAATTGTAGTCAGTGATGAACAAGTAAGTCTGCATGCAGAGAGCCAAAGCGTTGGTCATTCATTCTCGTTGGAGATCATTTTTCCTCGACAAGATATGAACAATCTTGCAGGCGGCAGCGACTTTCACGCGCAACGAGTTAGCGACGGCATTGCGAAAAGGACCCTACCAGTGCGACTTGGTGGTGGCCGGTTACGACGAGGAAAACCAGGACGCGGAGCTGTACTTTATGGACTCGTACGCCTCATGTGCAAAGGTATTGACAGTTTTTCCGCGTCGATACGTGACTCCTTCTCTGCTCGTCCCACTCTCGCGGTTACACTTTATAATTTCTACTTCGCGCAACTAGCTTCTGCGCAGCGTATTTCCCACAAGGAACGCAAAAGAAAATCCGCGCCAAATACTGCCCCACCTGATTTTGAGTCTCGCACCACGCTGTGCAGCATAAAGGAGAGCATATGATTTATTTTTGATTTTTGTCGCATCCCCAGGTTAACAAAGCTGCTCACAGCTACGCCGGCAACTTCGTCCACGGGATTCTGGACAAAGAGTGGAAAGAGGGGCTGCTATCACAGCAACAAAATCTCGGGTCATTGTCAGAAAGTGCGAGTCGAATAACCTGCATATTCCATAGTTCGTTGTAGTTTTTCATGCATGAAGATGAAGCGGTCCTGCACCTGGTCGTTCTGAAAAGACTTTTTTTGCATCGCCAGTGTTTGTACCTGTAACTTCAAAGCCAAGTCAAGCCGAGAGCCAAGGACTTGCGTGCGAGTGTAAAATATGACATGACTATTATAGACAAGAAACAAGCAACTTCTCACGTTTGCTGTGGGTCTGCACGAAACCAGGATCCGTGGAGTAGTAAAGACCGCAGAGAAGGTCTGACAAGCACACAGGTTTGGCTTGACTCGAAATTTTGGCAGTACAGCTGACAGAAAAAGAGGGATTGACGATCATCAAAAAATGCATCACGGAGATCCGGACACGCTTTGCCTTGGGTCGCCTGGACGCGTTCATCATAAAGATAGTGGACAAGAACGGAGTCAGACACATCAAGCAGAAGGACTTGTAACGAGTATACATTGATGATCCGGTGGAGGACGACCTGCGCCCAGCGGTTCTAATCGCTTGAGATGGACTTCATCATCTGACGCAAGAAAACAATAAAACTCTCATGCCAGTTTACTATCGCAAACGCAATGATCAGGCATGAGACCACGAGCGCCGACAAGAAGGACTACTATACATAGTCTACATGAAGATTCCTCAGTTGAGTCGAATTCTCATCGAATCATGCGGCTGGGCTACGAGGATTGTTCGAAATCGAAAATACTCTACTAAGGAGGTACCCAACAGACGACTTTTTGAATCTAGTAGTTGAAATACGCGCAACCATCGTTGCGAACAACTGAACAAGTAGCCTTGTGAAGACCACTACGACCTGCTCCTGTCTGCTGTTCATGCGTCCATTGCCATGTGCCGGCTTCTTTTTACGTAGCTGATGGTCTGCTGCAGCAGGCGCATTTATTGTCGTCTTTTGAAGTACTTGTGCTCGTGATAGGAATACCTAGAATGAGAGAGCGTTTGTCTCTGATTTGTCCAAAAAGGCCCTAGCGCATCGCATTCGTTTTCCTTTTGGACAAAAGGAAACCCGTGTGCATGAGCATGCGCCAGCACGGGGGTGTTCTGATACTACTAGTGCTAGCGAATATGATTTCATGTAGCTGCTGCTTCGTCGTGTTGTAAATGTAATATTGTTTGATATTGTCCGTGGTTTATCTTATGTCATGTACCCCTAGGCAGTTGCAGGTCTCTACATCTTCTTCGTGTTGTGCTCTGTTCATTGGACTAAACCAATTTTTCGTGTGTAGTTGTACAGCTTCGAACCGTTTCGGTCTCGCTCCTTGAACTTGGACTTGTTCGAAGATGTTGCGCGGTGGCGGTCCACCGCTGGCGCTCGGCGGCAGTCATTATCCCGGCGGGCCGGGAACTACCGGACCTTCCGGATCGACGTCGTCCTATCCTGCTCCGCTGGGAGCCGCTGCTCCCCGGATGCAGCTTCAGATGCAGCAGCCGTTTCCCTTCGGAGCGGTTCCGGGACCAACCGCTGCCATGCAGCCGGTGCAGCAGCTGCAGATGCCAATGACGCGTTTCATGGGTGGGTCGTTTGGGACCGTTGGTGCTCCCGCGGGAGGCTTGCCCCGCTCAGGCACCTCCTCCTCGACTTCGTCTACCGCACCCCCCGCCCAGCAGCAGTTTTTCCAACCGACAAACGCGTCGAATTACGGGCCTCATCCAGTGGGGGCACCAGCAGCATCACAGCAGCGGTCCGCAAATCTTACTGTTGGAGGTGTGCAGCAGCAGTGGGGGCAACCCCTCACGGCGGGCAACACGACGGCCAAAGTAGCGGCTCCTGGTGCAGCAACGACGTCCAGCTCTGGTGGCGCGGCGAGTGCAAATGGCGGTGTGGCGCGGTCGTCTGCGGGAGTTGGAGGTGGAGCGCCACCGACGCGACCGACGGTCGGCACAGCGCCTGCCTCCTCGTCAACTTCTAACAAGTTTGCAACTGTCAACACTGGTGCTGGCAGTCAACAAAGTCAAGGTTCTCACGGACAGCTGCAGCAACAGAGCCGCGGCTCCAACCTGGGTAACAGTGCCACAACGGGGCTTGCTCCTCAACATCTTGCTGCTGCACAGACGGGACCAGGAGGGGGCGCAGCAGGATCATCTGCTTCCTCGTCTTCTACCGGCAGCCACAAGCTTGTTTCCGCGTCCGGAGCAGCGGAACAAGGAACCAGCCTGTCGCGGATTCAGGTTCTGAGCCGGCTGACAAAGGAATCCGAGGAGACCATGCGGATGAGCGAGTTAATCGAGCACCTAGCCTGTGTGGAAAGCGTGATTTACCAGGCCCTGGAAGTTTTGAAGCAGAACCAGCCCCACTTCAGCTTCTTCGTCCGCGAGTACTTTCGTTCCTCCTGTTGTCTATCGCACATACCGCTCGAGCACTACCACACCGGGGACAGACAAAAGCGACAACTGCACTGGGCCCAGATCCTGGAGAGCTGCGGCATGTCACTCGCAGGGTACTAGAGAAGTTCTATTGGAGCTACTGTTCCCACTCTTTTGTTATTTTATTAGTTTTTTAGGTAGCTCCTAATCCGAAACCGATACCGAAGAAGCTTGCTCTACATTTTTTTTTTGGCTGCAAAAATATTGAAAATTTCGATAAAGCTGATCTGCGCAAGAACATCCCAGGATTCTGTGTGGGGAGGACGCCACGGAGCTGCACACCGGGGTGCGCACCCGGGTGCGGAACATGATGTACTACCTGCACGAAAATTGTTTGGTGCTCCTGGACCTGGTTTGCCAGACCTTTCTGTCGGAGATGGACACGCAGAACGGCACGAAGCTGAACCGGATCGAGCTGCTCAACATTGACCTGCTGATCCGCGTGAAACGGTACCGGCGCATGCGCAAGGGCGACCACCACCACGCACTGCGGCAGCACAACGAGATGATCACCAGCAGTTTGAAACAAATGATCCGAGCGGCGCAGGACCCCAGCAAGCGCCCGCGGAGCAAGGAGAACGGAACTTCTGCCTCCGGGAGCAAGAACAACGGCGCAGCTGCGGCCGCTCCAGCGCGCCCGAGGAACACCTTGGACGTCATTTGGGACATGCTGCAGGCCCGGAGTCCCGACCAGAAGAAGTGCAAGATGATCAAGCAAAAACTACGGGAGCTCACGCGGTTCGCGCCCATTCAGAGGACCAACGAACACGGCGAGGAATTGCTTGACGTGTACGACCGCAGCAACACGCACCTGGACCCCCCGAACGTGGAGCCAAGTACGAGAAATTTCTAGTGAGAAAGAAAGATGAGCAGTGTCCCTGTCATGATATGAACGACGTTGTTGAAGATGCACCTTCTTCGCGACCAGGTGGCACGTAGTTATGTGAAATCAGAATAACTTTCGTGCACAGTTTGTTGTTTGTGAAGTGTCTTCATTTATTTATAGATTAGTATATGTTCGTGCAGTATGTACCATAGCCAGAGGATGTGTAAACCAAAATCACAACAGCGGAGGGCGCATCAGTCGTGCCGTTCGATGTTTTGCCGCCGATGCTGCCGAATTACGCAAACTCTCCGTATCTGCCCGCAGTCGCCGACAACCAATTCTTTTACACCATAGTGCTGGACCTCGACGAAACCCTAGTGCACTATTTCGAGGACCCCAATTCAGGTGAGTAGATCGAAGGCTTTTTGTAAGATTGATAGATGTTTCTGAACTCAAACCAAAGTGGCAGAAGTCCATGTCGTGCTAGTGCCTGCTACTGTTTTGCACCTTACTGTTGATGTAATCCACGTTAGGTGGCTACTACGACATGCGCCCCGGGTGCGTGGATTTTCTGAGCAAGCTGCGCCAGATTGGTTGCGAGGTCGTTGTTTGGACGGCCGCCACGATGGACTATGCGGACTGGGTGCTGGACCAAATCGATCCTGATAATAACCTGATTCACCACCGCCTGTACCGGCAGCACGCGGTCCCCTGGGGCCCGCTTTTCATCAAGGATCTCGCGAAATTGGGAAGTACTTTTGAAATAATGAATGTGGGTTTGAAGATATCTTTAGAGTCATAGGGGCAGTTGGAGTTGTAGTTCGACGGTTCCTCTCTCTACCACGTAGACGTACCTGGCTGCCGTACTGCCCGTTCCTGGAAATAGAGGACCGAGTTTCTTGTATTGTACAGCGTTGTACTAGTGGCCCTCTGAGTCCGATAGCAGGTCGTAACGTGAAAAAACTTGAATCAGACTTCGTGCTTGGTTTTGCATGAAATAAAAAACCGTTCTTCAGGACCGCTTGATCGGACCATGATTATCGACAACGTGGCCGAGATATGAATTGCAAATATGTCTGGGTCTGGGAGATTGCGAGACTTGTCTTGCCAGTCTGGCATGACTCTGAGCTTTGTATTGCGCGGCCGCAAAGAGCTCCTCTTGCCTGTCATGCAAGAACGCAGTTTCTCATGCGGAGTACGCAACTCAGAACCACGGAAAAACTTGTCATGCTTGGCAGCGCATCAGAGTGCGCTCACTATTTCCTTTTCTTGCATCACAAATCTCCAGACCCAGACATATTTGCATTTGATACGAGAATTTTATGTTGCAGCCCGACAATGGAATTTTCATCCACGCCTGGTTTATCAAATGTAAAAGTGTCTGCGTCTGGAAGATTGCGAGATTTGTCATGCTGATCTGGCATGGCCCTTAAATCTGTATTGCGTGGCCACAAACAGCCTCTCTCGCCTGTCGTGAAAAAGCGCAGTTTCTCATGCGGAATACGCAGCACAGAAGCACGAATCAACTTGTCATGCTTGGCGGCGCATTACAGCGCATTTGTTTATTGACTGACTTGCATCACAAGTTTCCAGACCCAGACATTTTTGCATTTCATATGGTTCGAGGACCCGAACGACCTGGCGCTGCTGGATCTGCAGCCCCTGCTGGAGGAGCTGGTTGCCTCCCGCGTGACCGTCCCCTTTTTGCTCGACAAGTACAAGCTCGCCATCCCCCACTGGGCGGGGCACGTGATGGCGGAAGACAATTTTTACGGGGAAGCAGGCGGGGATGGCCAAAATGGAACGCAGGAAGCAGGGGACAGACAACCTATTCAGGGCAACGTCGACCATGTAGAAGTAGTACAGCAACCACCTCCACCTCCGCAGGAAGTTGTTGCGGCAGAGCAGCAGCAGCAGCGGGCTGCCGGTTCGCAGCCGAAGGCGGCGCCCTCGTTCGGGCCCTACAGCGGTGCCTTCCAGGTGCAGCGGCCGGGCGGAGTACAGAGCAACGCACGGCAGAACGGCGTCGTGCCCACCACGACCACCACCGCAGCTACTAGTCGAAAGTCGTCCAAGACGCCGGGCGCGGCAGTTCTTGGAGCGGACGCGGGGACGCTGGGACAGCAGCAGCAGGGCGGCAACAAGCCGCGGGTGATGAAAACCAGGAACTACACACCTGGGGCCGCTACGAGTGTCGTCGCCAACCAACCTGGCTCAGCGGTGGGGGGCGGTTCGGCTCTCGCGCCGACAACGTCGATTCCCTACCAGTTCCAGCAGCAGCCAATGCTCGCGGGGACACATCAAAACAGTGGCGCGGTCGTCGGTGCTAGTAGAACTGCAGGGACCACTACTGGTGCTGGTGGTCTTGTTCCCACTTCCACACAAGCGAATCCCTCTGTGTACCATAGTGCCAGTAGTGCGAGTCTGTTGGCAAGACCAGCGCTCTCCTTGTCGCGGTCGCTCCAGCCGATTCCGCAAGTGATTCCGCAGCCACAGCAGGCCAAGACGTCCGCCTTTCAGCAGTCGCTGCTGCAGCAGGCCCAGCCGCAGGCGTACCAGACGCCGCAGACACAAGCCGCGCAGCCAAGTTCGCAAGGGGCGCACCCGCCGACGCAGCAACCGCACGCGGTGCCCGTGTTCCAGTTTGGTGCGGCTTTTCCCGGAAACCAAGCGCTCGCCGCCCACGCGGCAGCCTCGTTCCAACCGCCTTCGCGAGGGGGAATGTTCAAAAGTCCACAACTACCGGCTGCGGTGCGGAATGGTAAGTACAACCACGATTATTTACACGACGACAGATGAACACAATAGTTTTTGTAGCGGTATGAATACAATTAGAGGAGCAGAACATGTGAGAATTATGCTTTTCGCGATCGTTTAAGTGCTAGTCCTGAACAACGATTCGGAGAAGAAGTAAAAACCTGTATAAAAAATAAAATCTCAGTTTCTGGTGGACCGCCCGCCGCCTCTTCCTCTTTGTTGCAGAATCCCGGCCTAACTTTTTCGCCGACGAAGCTAATGTCGCACCGCTTCCACCACTAGCAGATCGCGGTCTACGAATTTGAGTTCCTCTTTTGGCCAAGCGTACGACAAAAGGAAAACGAGACTCAGCCCAATTTTAACGAGTGGTAAAATTATTGGGTTTCTCACCACACTGCACATGAATAAAGCTGGACAAAATTATCGAGAACAAGTTTGCTACTTACCGCATTTGCTGCATGATTACCAAGTCCAACAGAAGATGAAAAATGGGCGAACACATTGTACGTATTTTTGTAGTATGGTCAGCTACTTTACCACTTCGAACCACGTTGGCTCGCGCAAGAAAGTCTGCTCATTATTTTGCTGAAATTTTGTTATTCTACTCTGAATTTTCATAACCGTAGGGAGGTTTCCTTGCACATGTGTTTTTTTGGAAAGTTGTTTTACTTGCTCAGTGCTGTCGTCGATGCAGATGCACGTTCCTGGAACAAAGCGCTTTGCTCATGTCTTGTGGAAAGGCTTACTCCGTAAATGAACTGACCCCACAACGTTTTCGTTGTACCCTCCAGGCACAGGGTGCAACAACGAGCACCATGTTGCATAATAATGAAATTGGGTTCAAGAACTGCCGTCAGTGCTCGAAGTGAATACGCACAACATCAGTGCAAGGTGTATGATCATGATGCATGGCTGAGAGTGAAATAGAGTCATATTCTCTGTGAGCAGGATGGTAAAATCACGAACATTGAGTTTTTCAGCTGCAACAAATAAAAATATCTGCCTGATTGGTTGGCAAATACACGAAAACTTTGAGTTACACAGTGTATCCGCAGCGTTATATATCAATACGAATTGAATCATGTTGATCCCGCTATGAGATGAAGAAGTAGTGCATTGTGGAGGTAAAAAATGTGTGTTTTGCTTTTGCGCTAGTACATCTTTCTTCCGCTAGTACACACAAACAAGTTCGGTTGATATCGAAACTCTCGTTGTCTGTGCAGTTCCACTAGCTTCTTCTACTGTTGCACGACGTTGATTATATCCCGCCACAGGGCGAGAGCAACAAACCAAAAATTTCGTCTACATCGCACTATCGGATTCCTACATACGAATGGAGAAGTCCGGGAGCAGCAGGCGGCCGGTTTCCGCCAGCCACCGTGGCGGCGGTACTACAGATGCTGACCACGACACGACCACGGAAGATCTCAACACTGCGAGCCTAAATGTTGCTGATGTACGTGGTTTGTCTGTGTCCGAAGAAGAGCTTCTTCACGGAAAACTGTCAGTCAATTTTCGTTCTGTCGAACCAGCTGGTGAATGCGCTCAGGAAGAATCGGGTGAGGAGGGAGATGACAGCAAGTCTTCCAGTAGTTCTGAAGAGTCAGATCGAGAATCAGGATGGGACCGACATCAGAGTCTAGGCGCTACTAGGGCTCGGTCCGTCCTCAGAAGAGGACAACTGCCGCCGCCCAAATCTTCTACCAACGTCAGGGATGGCAAAGCTGGCGAAGGCACTCTGTCGGAAGACAGCGACGCCATTGACGACGAAGATGGCGCCTTTGAAGATGACGAAGGTGAGGCTGTTGAAGAAAATGACGGAGAGGAGCACGAAAATAAAGACGGTGAAATGAAAGGTGATATCGGGACGAATTACCTCCGGGATTGCATCTTCCCGACTCACATAGCGAACGGCCGTGCGAAGACTGCCTGGGCGCGGCGCATCGCGGAGCTAAACCTGAGGGACAAAGACCTCGTTTACAACGACGGCGGCCCGAGCATCAACTTGTTGAGCCAGCAGGATGGTCTCGAAAAACAAGGGTCAGATGGCTGCAGTGGCAAACGGGCTGAGCAGCAAGAACCCCAAGCTAAGGTGAGAAGAGTGTTGAACAATAAACCGCCGGAAGACTTCTTTGCGACAATACTGAACAACCCTGGTCGTGTGGCCGTCAATAAACGCAAAAGCCTCAGTACACATGATAACGCGACGAGCAAAAATTTTATTTCTTCTGCTTCTTGCAGCAGTAAAGCCAGCACGAGTACGTCAGCAACCTCGACGAGGACCACGGGAATTTGATTTGATGAAAAATCTCAACAGTTATTAAATTACACAGCTTTATCCGGTTTTTTGCGAGCTGGCTTTTGGCTGAAATAGGTCCAATGTCGACCATAGCACCGGGCCCCAGGAATGCTAATCAGATGGCTTTGCTGAGTAGCTTCGGAATTTTTTCTGCCCAATGTCGAGCCTAGCAGCGGGCGCCGGGAATGCTAATCAGACAGCTTGGTCCTCTTTTTTGCGCGCTGGCTTTGGGCTGAAATAGGTCCAATGTCGACCATAGCACCGGGCCCCAGGAATGCTAATCAGATGGCTTTGCTGAGTAGCTTCGGAATTTTTTCTGCCCAATGTCGAGCCTAGCAGCGGGCGCCGGGAATGCTAATCAGACAGCTTGGTCCTCTTTTTTGCGCGCTGGCTTTGGGCTGAAATAGGTCCAATGTCGACCATAGCACCGGGCCCCAGGAATGCTAATCAGATGGCTTTGCTGAGTAGCTTCGGAATTTTTTCTGCCCAATGTCGAGCCTAGCAGCGGGCGCCGGGAATGCTAATCAGACAGCTTGGTCCTCTTTTTTGCGCGCTGGCTTTGGGCTGAAATAGGTCCAATGTCGACCATAGCACCGGGCCCCAGGAATGCTAATCAGATGGCTTTGCTGAGTAGCTTCGGAATTTTTTCTGCCCAATGTCGAGCCTAGCAGCGGGCGCCGGGAATGCTAATCAGACAGCTTGGTCCTCTTTTTTGCGCGCTGGCTTTGGGCTGAAATAGGTCCAATGTCGACCATAGCACCGGGCCCCAGGAATGCTAATCAGATGGCTTTGCTGAGTAGCTTCGGAATTTTTTCTGCCCAATGTCGAGCCTAGCAGCGGGCGCCGGGAATGCTAATCAGACAGCTTGGTCCTCTTTTTTGCGCGCTGGCTTTGGGCTGAAATAGGTCCAATGTCGACCATAGCACCGGGCCCCAGGAATGCTAATCAGATGGCTTTGCTGAGTAGCTTCGGAATTTTTTCTGCCCAATGTCGAGCCTAGCAGCGGGCGCCGGGAATGCTAATCAGACAGCTTGGTCCTCTTTTTTGCGCGCTGGCTTTGGACTGAAATAGGTCCAATGTCGACCATAGCACCGGGCCCCAGGAATGCTTCTAATCAGATGGCTTTGCTGAGTAGCTTCGGAATTTTTTCTGCCCAATGTCGATCCTAGCAGCGGGCGCCGGGAATGCTAATGAGACAGCTTGGTCCTCTTTTTTGCGCGCTGGCTTTGGACTGAAATAGGTCCAATGTCGACCATAGCACCGGGCCCCAGGAATGCTTCTAATCAGATGGCTTTGCTGAGTAGCTTCGGAATTTTTTCTGCCCAATGTCGATCCTAGCAGCGGGCGCCGGGAATGCTAATGAGACAGCTTGGTCCTCTTTTTTGCGCGCTGGCTTTGGACTGAAATAGATCCAATGTCGACCATAGCACCGGGCCCCAGGAATGCTAATAGTTTCGACGTGTCCCCTTAAGCCTTAATTCAGTATTGATTCTTGACATTGTCCTTGGTGTTATCTCGTTAAAGCCACGACCGCGGGCCGAACGGGGCCCTAAAGTTGACCCACCTGTTGCAGCGACAGCAAGCGGCCCTGTCTCCGTTCCAATATCTTTCATTGCAGAGTACCTAACTCACGTAGGGTAAATTTTTCCGATGCGCAAGCTTCAGCTCAAAAATTAATTTGTTCGCAGCTTTGCGTTTGTCTGCTCCCTGCTACCCGAACTATACAACAAATTGAAACGCGCCTGATTGATGGAGTACTTGTTAAAGGAGCTGGCGCATTGTAGAGTGATCGAGTGAATCTCATTCTCATAATGGAGCAAAGAGAGAAATACTTAAATCAAAGTTGAATGTCGACCACGAAGTATGAACAACAAATAAGAGAACGGCCGAGGAGAAAGGGTCATGAACTTGATTCGGCAAAGCGTGTGTCTCTTTCATGAATGAGTCCGCATTGGTGGAGCGCGACGAGCGAGATCTTTCTGATGTACGTCATTGACGAATTCACTTGAATGTCGTGATTGCGTTGTAGTTGCGCCTTGTGACACTTCATTTTTTGCTACTTCACGACTTCCGGAATGTGTGAGTCTGATCCATGGAGCAAACGAAGTTTGGACGAAGATAGGAGACATACTTATCTAGAAGAAGGTATCAGTAGTACAACCTCCTTGCCACGACTCGTACTACTTTAGCACTGCATATTCCACCGAACCATTGTAAAGTCTTGCCGGCCGGGCATCACCACCACATAGTTTCTTCGATCAACTTGGATGCGCAAAAGTTCGAGATTGGGGTGCGGTGCTGCCCCCAAGAATCATTGCACCAAGCACTTTTCCCTGCAGCCTCGTCCGTCGAGCTGCGGCACTCAGAAGTAAACCAACGGGTAATATCGCAGGGCTGGATTTTTTCCAGGTGCTGCTACGCTGCACGAAGGATCTTACGGCATCGGGGTCCGGGAGCTCACAACGAACAAAGTAGGGTGGAAGAAGTGCCTAGGGTGGTTTCGTACAAATACTCAGGGTGCTTGCGTAGAACACAGAACCCAAAAACAGCGCATCACTTCGGGAAAAAACGCACACTTATCAATCTCTACGGAATAAAGTTGCAGCTCTGCTTTCCTGAGGTATCGTGTCGTGGAGTGCCGGAAAACTTCACTCTCGGCCGTGTGGAATCTGGACCGTGACACGGGCGAGAAGCGCGAATTTCCCCCCCTGCTGTAGTACAACACGTTCGTGCGTCTCGTAACATTACGGAGGCTCAGGTCGATTGCTGTGCGTCGCGGTGTGAAAATAGTCAGTGGGTGTCCTTTTTGTGACCGGATCCTGACGAGCACGAGCGAATTCGATTCCACTGCAGGCGAGACGTGTTACTACACTCCTAGCACCAGATCTTCGACGAACCTGGTGTAGCACCAGTACGCGACCATCGCCTACTTGCCTCGACTCCAGCGAGAAATCGAAATACTTACATATACAAGCTACGAAGTTCTTCAAAGTCAACGCAACGCGCGGTGCGGGGTGAACCCATTTCTGCCGCACCGGTAGTGTTCGCTGTACTGTCCTTCGGTAGAAACTTTTTGGCCACTACCCAGGGAGCAGCAAGATGGCGGGCGTGGAGAACATGCGCACCATCCAGCGTGCAAAAACGCAGGATGGACTCAAGTCCCCGGTATTCTCATCGTCCGGTGGACCAAAAAACGTTGACAGGGAGACAGCAGAGTACTTGTTCGATAGTTCGAGTTTGGAGCTGCCGTAGTTTCGATCATCAGATTTATAATTTGCGTGTCGCTGCGGCTCCGGTTGCTGGGCTGCAAGAATAGATTTTTCGTGAACAATTGTCACATCATCATTGAACATGAAAACGAAAAATGCATTTGAATGCAGGTATTTGTCGTACCTTCGGGCAGCGACGCAGCGGGTTTTGCTGGATGAGACGCTCAAGATCGACACGGCAGACTATTACGAGGAAAACAGTCTTTTCGCAAGAATCGCAGCAGACTCGAGGTAAGAAACCCATGCAGGACGAAAAGAATTCTTGTTTGGGAGTAGAACATTATGCATGGTCGGTTTTTTTCTGTTGGGTCGTGCTGTGCGAGGATACATACAAATTTTTCATAGACTACCACTTCAGTAGCAAACAGAGCATTATGTATGATCGTGTTGGGCCCACATCATGCTGTCAGCAACAGTACAAAAGCAGCGACATGGGCAAGGAGCAACGAAAACTTGGCTGTCCGAAATTCACGCAGACATGACGAAAAAGCGCGCAACGGTCAGCGACTGCCTTGATCGAAATCTTTGGCGGCAAATTACAAAGGGAGCGCAAAAAGGCTCCCAACAACAAACAGCAAGCAGCGTCAGCATTTCTTCCGCTGCGTCCTTCCAAGAGCAAAATATTCCTATTCAGCAAATGCGAAGACTCCAGGGACGAAAAAGAATAGGAGTGAATCGCACAGGGACAATCTAAGGCTTAGAGTCGAACAGATTCAAATCATCATGTATGATCGTGTTGCTTCTGAGAAAGACTGTTATTGTTTCTCGACAACAGTCAATGTACATCAACATCTATTCTTGCAGGTTCGATAACTTCACGCTTTTTGTGATTGTGCTGAACGCGGCCTGGATAGGGGTGGACACGGAGATAAACACAGCGCCGGATATATCCTGAGTAAAAACGTACCCACACCAGAGTTGTAATGCAGATTTGCAAAGACAGGAAGACTGGTAATGCGCATCCCCATGAGAGCCATTTCCAATCGTGTTTTGGAATTTGTGACGCTGTGAACAGGATGAGCAGACGAATCTGTGATGCGGCTGCACTTGCTAACCTGCACTACACTGCATAGCGCAACTTGTCATGCGGGACTCACAAAGCTCCTAGGTTTGTGTTGCAAAATCCCCTTCCTGACCCTGGTGTGGGTACGTTTTTACTCAGGATAGGATATATCACGCTACGACACGGCAAGCGTCATGATCGAGAACCTGTTTTGCTACTACTTCACAATAGAAGTTATCGTACGCTTCAACGCCTTCAAGTACGCCTGCAACTGCATCAAGGACTTTTGGTATCGCTTTACATATCATTCTGGCATTCATCAACGTGATGGAATGTAGCATTGAGCATTGCAGTTTTTCTTCTTGTTTGAGCATTGACAGTAAAGAAAACAACGGTTTTTGCGTCTTCATCTTCATCTTCTTCCTTCATCAGTGGCAGCACTGTTGAAAGTCTCCCAATCCAGGCGATTATGAGCGGCCTGAGAGGTCGAAAAAGGGAACTCTCTGGCGATAACGTCGAACAGAATGCATTCATCAAAGAGAACGGTTCTTGGGAATGTCTATGTCAATCTGAATCTATTTATACCCTATCAAGGTTCCGCTTCGACGCTTTCCTCGTGTCGCTGATGATAGTGGAGACGTGGCTTATGCCGTTAATCGGCGGCGGCGGCAATTTGTCCACCTTGGCCATTTTGCGTCTCTTGCGTCTCGCCCGGCTCACAAGAATGGTCCGAATCATGCGATCTGTGCCTGAACTCCTCACACTGATTAAAGGTACACAAAATCGAAATCGTCCTGTTGAAGTTGAAGTTGATTGTGGAAAAAAATATAATATGTTTGTGCAGCAGGAGGTAGATTTTGCCGGGGGCTAGTTCGTTGCTAGGCTATGCGTTTTGCTTGAAAATAAATGATGTATCTATGACAGAAACATCACCGCTAACTCGCAGGTATGGTACGTGCAACAAAATCGGTGGCGTCAACTCTTACACTGCTGATCATATTCCTCTATGTGTTATCCGAGATGAAAAGCGTGCTCGTGCAACGTACTTTTCTCATGTTATGAACCATACGTGCCGCGAGGCGGAGACGTCTGTCATCTAGCTAGCTGGAATTTATTGTATTCTTTGATGATTTTGTTCCCTCCCAACGATGATCTATGTCGAACATAGATAGGACCAGCAAATTATCATCGGAGACGCGGGTCGTACGACGACCTGTGCCACAAAAGATTTTTTTGTCATGCGTACCTACTCACCGGCTCCGTCAAGTGGACAGTCTATACCTTGCTTTCCTGCTTGGAAAGCCCGTAGGTATTAGGAAGTTTCTGTTGCGCACTTTTTCATTCCGATACCGTTTTGGGCTTGTGTTTGCCATGCAGTACAAGGACGAGTCGGTAGATGACAACAACCTCGAGGTGTTTGGGAACATTGGAGAGTCGATATTACAGGGAAAAATGCCCCCACCCCCAAATTTGCAGTAATTTGTGATGCGAAGTTTCCAAATGAAAACTTTTTGTCATGCATGAAAGGAATATGAATCTTTGACTTTGTGACGCAGAGTCTAGGCGTATATAGCATTGCTTGCATGACAAGCGCCGCTCTTGCTGGGATCTTTTGTAATACAAATTTTCGCTATTCGTATTCACGATTGGACAGCTGTGATGCTGATAGATGCAAGAGGGCGAATGTTTCACTTGGAAAGGTTTGCAATACAAATGCTCCCAAGTTCGGGGATGGGGGCATTTTTCATTGTAATAGTCGATGTTCGCGCTCTTCATTGGCGGGACTCTGCTTGATGACTTGACGGCCTTCACGAATATCATCCGGGAATCAAAACAGCCAGCGATGCTGATAGCATGGTAACCACAATATAACTATGTCTACTATGATTGAATGGTGAAATAGAATAGCGATAGCTCTCTCTCCTTTCTGCTTGTTGTGTTACAGTTCAAATGCAGGTCCTCGCTCTTCACAATTACAGTTTCAGCTTTGCCTTTATGACAGTAGCACACGCAGACCGACACAAAAAGTTTCGAAGCACGAAGAACAATTGTGTGAATAAGAATAGCGTACAAAAACCTCCGCGGTCCCTAGGTACCTCTTCGTGCTCTTATCTTCCTTCACGGTGCTCAACATGCTTATCGGTGTGCTGTGCGAGGTGGTGACGCAAACCGCGGAGGCGGAGCAGCAAAAGATGGTAATTGGTCAGGTTGGGTCGACCATGGTGGAGGTGTTTGCCGAGGTGGACGAGGATCGCTCCGGCTTGATTTCCGCGTCGGAGTTCGTAGGACAGTTGCACAACTCCCCCTCCCCCTCATTTGTCATGCAAAATACCCAATGCCAATCCACACACACACTTTGCCTCTTGGCACTGTTTGCATGGTGACAAGTTTTGGTAGCCCAAATAGCACCACAATCCAGTGCAAATTTGTCATGCAAAACCGGCATTCTTGCTGATGCTTGTGTTGCCGTTTATGCCATACAAATGAGGGGAAGAGGGAGTTGTGCACTGTCATAGTTCGAGCTGATGAAGCAGAACGACAAGGTGACCGCTGCGCTTGAGCTGCTCGCGATCCAGAAATCGCACCTGGTAGCACTCGCGGACTCGGTCTTCGGCGACCCGGCCGGGGGCGAGGGCGGAACCGGGCGGGAAGTCAGCTTCACAGAGTTTCTAGAAATGGTATTGTAATATAATCTTCTGTAAGTTTTAGAAGTATAGTTATTCGACGTTTCACTTCCGTTCAGGTTTGGACGCTATTTCGGGGACCCTGCAAATGCGGCTCGAATTCGAAAGCAAATGCTTAGCTTTCGATGCAAAAAGAAAAATTGCCGGGGAAATACACATTATCTGTATCTCTACCTGCAGGCAATTCACCTGCGACCCGAGAACCTGGCAACCGTGCTGGACGTGATTGAGTTGAGGAATGTAATGGGCGCGTACAAAAAGCTATCAAATGCAAAAATGTCTGGGTCTGGAAGAGTCATGCTGTTTTTGCATGACACAGAAGGTCTGGCATGGAAGCTCTAGCATCACAGTTCTCCAGAAGATTCCGCAATGCCGAATCCGCATCACAAATCCCCCATTTAGGTGACAGAAAGTTGGCAGCTTTTGCCGCCTACGCATGGGAAATTTTTCTGTGTTCTGAAATGCGCATCACAAGTTCCTCCAGACCCAGACATATTTGCATTGCATAAAAGCGGTTGGAGAACAAAGTCCTGGACTTCGAGGCGAGCGTGATGAGGGAAGTCTTCCGCAAAGGCATGGGCGTGCTGGACAATGGGCCCTCATTAGAAGACTACGATGACCTCATGGAGGTGAGGGAAAAGGCAGGGCGGGCAACAAGGTGCTGCTTTATTTTTACGAAGGAACAACAACATTGACTTCAACTACTTCAGCACTTAAGACAACCAGTTCTGACCTACTCCTAGTCAATGGAAAGCATGGATTAAGATTCTTTTGTTGGAAAGATATAGATGTTCTTCGGGCCTACTTTCACTTCGCAACAAAAAAAATTATCTGTACTAAATCTACTCCGCCCAACAACTACAGGTTGATGCAAATGCTCGATAACGACTACTACGCCACCAAGCGACAGCTAGACGACCTGAAACGCGCGAAGGAGGCACACCAGATGCTGCTGGGGCGGGGGAAGATCGCGCGGATGATTTACAAGTTTTTGCACGTGGCAGAGAAGATCAGTCTGAAGATCTTCGGGCCGGCCATCGACAAGATGCAGGGTCTGGACGAATACACGGAGCAGATCAAGAGCAAACTCAAGAAGAAGGAGGAGGCACCCCCGCAAACCGCCGACATCGCCCAGGGATCGAGTTCCTAGAAGAAGCGGTTTGTACTTGCTCCAGGATTATCTTCGATCCTGTCTCAGTAGCCAAAAAGAAAAGTACTGGACAGGTCGTTGGATGTCCGTGAAAATTCCGGGAAGCAGAGGGTGCTTTAGCGGCCGTCGCGCACCGCGACCGCCTGTGCTAGATCTTACACTATACAACGATGGTCCTGTATGAGTTAAAGTTGCTTATGAAGTTTGACAGAAAGCTACCATACATCCAATTTCAAAGTAGTATCAAACCAACAAGATGATTTTTTTTTCGCAATACGAGGAGGAACGCTGTGATTTTAAAAGCAGTGCAAGTTCAGAGCAGGAGAAGGGAACTAGAACTGAAAGCCGTTTTATGTAAAAATTGTATCCAAATGCAGTACAGCAAATGCAACTGTCTAAACAGTATCTGAGCACAGGAAGAACTTCCAGTGCAGCTGCCAATGAGCTTCTGTTTACTTTTTGATTCAGAACAGTACTGAGATCTCCTCTTTTTCTCGGGCTAAAGGAAAAAGCGCCATCAACGCTGTCCGCGCAACTGTCAAAGCCTCGGATTCACAAACATGCGAAATAAAATTCGTGAGTAAGTACTAACTTGACTTCAAGCGACGGTGACAGGATCTGACCGTTGCGCAGGAACAGGATATGTTTGTCCTCGAGCTTTACAACTACCTTGTACGAACACTTAATACAATTCTCACAACTTCAAAAATTGTGGGAAGCAATGAAGGTGTGACAGGGCTCCTTCTTTTTAACACAGCAGGAGATTCGAGATTCATCTTTCACAACAAACAATATGTTATGATACACACTACAAGACGCTAGAGGTAGGCCTGTCTCATCGCGTCCGCCACAACTTTCCGATATAATTTGCTGAACTTGTTCGAGGGACCGAAGAAACGTCACTGTCAACCATCCCTCCGTGTATCAACAAAAATGGCTCGTCCCGAGAAGAACCTTGTAGTCTGTCGTTGCATTACCCGATGAATTAGAACCGCCTACCGCCTCCGCCCCTATTTAGAGGTCCGTCGCTGCGTAAAAATCTCCAGCAGCCTGTTACAACTTGAGGTTGATTGAACAAAAGGGTGTCGTTTTCGTACTTCCCTCTCAGTGTTCCTTCGGTGAGGAACGTCAGGACTTTCTGTTGCGATGTAGAACGCAGCTCTCTAGTTGATTTATTCGCATATGTTGCTCTGCTGGCCGCTTGCAGTCGGCTTTCGCTTTTGTAACGTTTTGGCATATTTTATTCATCGTGGCAGTTCGTCGGCAGTACAATGTCCTGGGTCATCAACGTAAAAGAGAAGTTGCACTCTTGATCTGCAACTTTTAGGAGCACGCAGAAAGAAAAAAAGTATTTGAACAAACTAGCACAGGGATGCACGCGAACCAGATCCACCCAGATGTCTTTAGCGCGCCACAAATCTTCACACGCAAATTAGTAAATACCCTTTTATCATCTTCAAGAACGAAGACGATCTTGATGACTTTTGCAAATAGCACGGCTCGTTGTTGGACACTGAATAGAAGGATCTTGGTTGAGGTATCAAAAGCCGGTCTGTCAAACTGATCCCGCCCAGCTTGTTGCCTATCCCTTCATAGCTCGCAAAGTGCCGAACTACTTAGAACTGATTTCTGCACTGATCAACTGCAGTTTTGGAAAGAGAAGCAAAGGTTCCAAAAGTACACTGGCCGTCAAATATTGAATTTCAATTTTGAATACAGCGACTTAGAAGACCTAGTTGTAGGTGTACTAGTCGATGAAATTGAAGCTGTCCCACTTCTTCATCTACACCAGCAGCTGTCTATCGATGTAAGGAGTAGAATGTGCTGGTAACAATTTCTTTCGTGTTTGTCTACTTTGTGAATTGAAAAAAAAAAGATTTTTACCTAAGATCTTTACTCGCCATAAAAATGTCAGACGGCGGGCGCGACTTGTCCCTGTCGCGGAGCGCCAAGAACGAAGAGCTATCCTCGTCGGACGTGGAAAACAAGCAGAAGGCCCCCTCCGCCGCGGAAGAGGACCCCGCGCCGGCGGAAAAGGTTACCGCGAACGGCCATCATGAGGATGAAAAACCCGCGACCAAGCCCGCGGTGGTGTTGGCGCCTGGGGTCGATTATGGATTGCAAATATGTCTGGGTCTGGAAACATGTAATGCTGAAAGTGAATCATAGACGCACTGCAATACGCAGCTATGCATGACAATTTTTTTGACTGCCATGTCTTACGTATTCCGCATGGCAAACTGTGTTTTTGCGCGACAGGTAAGAGGGCCTTTTCGTGCCTATGCAACACAGAGTCTTGAGTCATGCCAGACAAGCATGACAAGTCTCGCAATCTTCCAGACCCAGACATTTTTGCATTTGATATCGATCCTGAGGTGATGGCAATCGCGCTGTCCTGGAACAAAACGGACGAAATTGGGTATTACAGTGAAAAATGCCCCCACCCCCAAATTTGCAATAATTTGTGATGCGAAGTTTCGAAATGAGAACTTTTTGTCATGCATGAAAGGAACATGAATCTTTATGATGCAGAGTCTAGGCGTATATAGCGTTGCTTGCATGACAAGCGCCACTCTTGCTGGGATCTTTTGCAATACAAGTTTTCGCTATTCATCACGTTGGACATCTGTGATGCTGGTAGATGCAAGAGGGCGAGTGTTTCACTTGGAAAGGTTTGCAATACAAAGACTCCCGAGTTCGGGGGTGGGGGCATTTTTCATTGTAATATTGGGAACGACCGGCTGCAAGCGCGGGAAATGTGGTACAAGTGGGCGAACGCCAACGGCAAAATCTCCGCGGCCTTCGGGGACGTGTGGTATCAAATGCAAAAATGTCTGGGTCTGGAAACTTGTGATGCTGGGTGGCGTATCATGATGAGGCCACAAGTGCTGGCCCAGCATGACAAGTTTCTGAGCTTCTAGGTGTTACCTATTCTGCATGACAAACTGCGTTCCTGCATGACAGAAAAATGGAGCGGTTGGGTAACGTGCATGACAGATTCAAGAGTCATGCCAGACAAGCATGACAAACATGCATTCTTCCAGACCCAGACATTTTTACATTTCATATGTGGCGGGCACTGACGAAACACCGCGAAGTGGAAAAGGAGCAGAAGGCGATATCCTGAGTAAAAACGTACCCACACCAGAGTTGTAATGCAGATTTGCAAAGACAGGAAGACTTGTAATGCGCATCCCCATGAGAGCCATTTCCAGTCGTGTTTTGGAATTTGTCATGCTGTGAACAGGATGAGCAGCTGGATTTGTGACGCGGCTGCACTTGCTAACCTGCACTACACTGCAGAGTGCAACTTGTCATGCGTGACTCGCAAAACTCCTAGGTTTGTGTTGCAAAATCCTCATCCTAACTCTGGCGTGGGTACGTTTTTACTCAGGATAGGCGATCGAGGAGCGGGAGCGGAAGAAAAAGGAACGAGAAGAAAAGCGCAAAGCCAAGGAGGAGGCCAAGCGAGGTTCGTTAGTTTGCCCTGATGTTGAACAACATGGAACAAACACTTTCTTTACGTTGATTTTGGTCGTGTGGTCCATGATGGTATCTATGGTGAGCTGCAAAGTCTATCAAACGTCGTGGGGCTAGAAGATGAAGAAAGACTACTTATTGATACAAATAGGTTACGTACGACTTTGTATGAGCGGCCATTCGCTTCGTGATCCGGAAAAATTGCCACACAGTTGCCCCCGCTCTTTGGAAATACATTCGCAGTGGTCGTTCTCAAATAAAACTTCGCTCCTCCTATTCAAATTCAACAGCTGCCCTGGCCGAGAAGGGAAAGGTGTTGCTGGAAGTGGATTTACGGAAAAACCCGCACGACAGCAACTTGCCCGAGGACGAAGTGATCAAGCGGAAGATGGCCGACGTGGAGAAGTATCAAATGTAAAAATGTCTGGGTCTGGAAACATGTAAACTTCTGATGCGTATTTGAGACCAGAAAAAAATCTGTCATGCATGGACCGCAAAAGTTGCTCATTTCTTGCCACCAAAAGAGGAAACTTGTCATGCGGATTAGGCATCGCCTAACCTGCTCAAAACCTGTGTTGCTAGGACTTGCACGCTAGACCTTCCGTGTCATGCACAAACAGCATCACACTTTTCCAGACCCAGACATTTTTACATTTGATAAGAAGTGGATCCCAGTTTTCGAGAAGTGCTGCAAGGAGCACACGTTTACGCGCAAGCTCCCCTTCAACATGCTTCACCTGTCGGACGTGATGCAAGCCGAATTCGGCTTCAAGCCCGACACCTCCGTCTGGGACATCCGCGGCCTCATGCGGCAAGTCGAGCAAACCTACAAGGAAGACGTACTTAAGTTTTAATATGGCCGATCCTTTTTCAATAGTTCCTGATGATAGAAAGGTTGGTAGATTTCTTGTTTCGATTTCAAATGATGTCCTCCTTAAACTATCCCAATACAACATTCTCCAGCCCTTTTTCGAGTTCGAAGACGAGGTGATCACGCGCGCGCGCCAGTCGTCCGCGGGACCGTTTCTCGTGTGGCTGAAGTGGCCGCTACGCATCGACCTCACGCAGGACCCGAACAAGTACCAGACCCAGTTCTACCAGGGCAAGCACCGGAACTTCGCGGAGGAGCATAACCCCGACTGGGCCACTACCAAGGCGGTGGGGGATATGGGAGCGTCAGGATTGAAATCGACAAAGTTGAAATGATTTGTCATGCATAAAATGCAAGGCATGAAGTGCCTGTCTTGCCGGGATGGCAAGTGAAGCAGATTGTGAGCCTATTTAGGGTTTGGGATAGAGCTGCTAAAGGAGCATGACAAAAGCAGTCCTCTGTGCCCAAACAGCATGACAAATTGGATTCCGGTGCTCCGAACATTTGTCATGCGCCGCTTGGAAATTGGTGTTCCAACTGGTATCCGTTTTATGCATTACAAATTATTTCAACTTGGTCGATTTCAATCCTGACACTCCCATAGGGGACAGCCGGGAGGGCTTCGAGTTTTCCAAAAACGCCATGATGGAGCAGTTTGAAAAAACTATCAAAGTGAAAAATCCCCCCTCCCCATATCGGAAACGGAAGATGCGCGAACTTGTGATGGTGTATTTGAGTACACAAATCGACTTGTATTGCTAGAAGGCCAAGAGACGAAGCTGCGGCCCAAATTGCAGGCAATCTGTCATGCTGTTTCCCACTTCCAGTTGCCTCCTGTCATCGTGGAGCTGCAAGGCTTTCCCAGGCTAGACAGCACTACAGTCTGCGTCTTTTGCCTTCTAGCATCACAAAGCTGATTTGTGACCACGAATCTGCATCACAGATTTCCGTTTTGATATGGGGAGGGGGCATTTTTCATTGTAATAAAATCGCTGCAGAAAATGTGCGACGAGGGGCTGCCCGCACCGCTGCCGCTGCCGGCGAAAGAGGTACTGATTTCATGCCATGCCTTTGCATGGTTTTATGCATGACAAATTTGCGAACTTCTATTTTTTTACTTCATCCCGATCGCAGCCTGCAGCTATCATTTCCAGCACATGTCAGGGGATAAGATATTGATGAGGGATTTTTGAACAACATACTCGGATAGAGACACAATGTTCATCAAGATCAAAAAATACTACAAATTACGATGGTATAATGGTGTACCATCTACTTGGAGGTCGCATACTACCAAGTAATTTACAGCCGCTCGTCCTGCCTGGTTGTACGACAGCTATGAAATAACAAAAACACGGATGGAAAAGAAACAGGATTGTTGAATGATCACAATGCAATGGATGAAGGCCTCCATATTACAATTTGAATTTCCAAAACGAAATAATTCAGGTGATGCGTACGATGTTGAACGAGAAACCGGAGATGCAGATTTTGAACTCCGAGTTTATGCAAACCAGCGACATGCTGGCGGAGGCTCGCCGCCGGGGATATGTCCAGATGGACCGGGAAGACATTATCTGGGTCAAGTTTCCCTACACCAGCAAGACGAACCCGCGACCGAGCAAAAACCCGCGGTTCGCCGCGGGGAAGCTGTCCAACTACGACCTGGACCGCGGGTTCGGCAAGGGCAAGGGCAAAAAGGGGAAGTACGAGTGGGAGCTGAACCGCAAAGACTCGCCGGCGCGCGAAGCCACGGTGCAGACTCGCAACGACGTGGATATGCGGGAAAAAAGAAGCAAGAGTCGGGACCGCGGTGACAGGCCGCGGGGTGGTCGGGGTCGCAGCGATTCCAGGCGCCGCCGCGACATCGACCGCACTAACGATGCCCCGAAGAAGGGTGGATCCCGATACGACGACGCACCGCAGAGTACTAAACCCGAACGCGGCGGACTCGCGCCCCCGCCCGGGCCCCCGCCGGCCATTAACAAGTGGGACAACTACGAAACAGCCAAGGATCGCAAACGTATATATAATGCGCTGTTTTCTTTACGCTTTTGCTTTGGCGCGATGATTGATACAGAGTTTGGGCCAGTTGTATCTTTGCGGTTGGACGAAAATGAAGCTGTACCCTGTTCCGGCCTATTGAGCAGTACAACAGAGATTCGCTATGCTTTATTTTCAGACGATCAAATTCGAAATTCAAATTTCAACTTGTCAGCCCCGAAAAGATTCGAATCGCGTGGGGAACACCGTCGAGGAAATAAAATGCGCGACACCTCAGCACCGCGTGGAGGCCGTGGCGGACCACCGGTATTGCTTTTCAAGTTGATAGATGCCCACCCTTGATATGCTAGGAGTAATAAATTCTATGTCTGTGTCATCGAAAAATGGAAATAAAAATCTCGCAGCAAAATAACATGAAACCGCACTGGCATGCACCTGTGTTTTGAGATCGTGAGTCCTTGCCTTGGACAACAGGAAAGCATAATTCCTTGGCTCAACTACAAACAAGTTTTCCGAAAACACACTACAACAGGATAACAAGCGTCGTCGTGACAGTCGTGGAGCTGGCGGACGTGACCGCGAGGAGCCGCCCCAGAAGCGAAGACGGGAGGATTCTCGTGAGCGCAAGGGCAAGGGCAAGGGTCGTGAGGATTCGCGCGAACGGAAGGGCAGGGGAAAAGGCCGTGACGACTCTCGTGACCGAAAAGGGAAGGGCAAAGGCCGTGATGACTCTCGTGACCGCAAGGGGAAGGGCAAAGGACGTGACGACTCCCGTGACCGCAAGGGCAAAGGCAAAGACCGCGACGACTCCCGGGACCGCAAGGGAAAGGGGAAGCAGGGGCGTGACGATTCCCGGGACCGCAAGGGGAAAGGAAAGCAGGATCGCGACACCTCGCGCGGGCGGAAAGGCGAGATGACGAAGGGCCGGGAAAAAGATCGTGACGACTCCCGGGACCGCAAGGGAAAGGGAAAGAACAACCGCTCTCCATCTACCCGTGATCGCAAAAACCGCGACCCTTCGCGCGACCGACGACCGCCAACCCCGAAGGGCCGCGGCAAGGACCGGTCGGAATCTCGCGGTGGTCGCAAGGGCGCAGGAGCACCACCCGCTGCGGGCAAGGATCGCTCGCGTTCCCGCGACGCACCGGCAGCTGCGCGCGGTGGCCGCAAGGACAGCCGCGGTCCGGCAAAGGGCTCGGGCAAGAGAGACCGGTCGGCCCCGCGAGGCGGTCGATCCCCACCCCGCGACCGCTCCCCGCCACGAAATGCTCCGCGGGGCGGCCGCGACACCAGCCGTGGACCGGCGCGCGGCCGCGAGCCGCCGGCCCGGGAACCCGCACGACGCGATGACCGGGAGGAGCGCGGTCGGCGGGACGAACCCAGAGCGCGGTCCGAAAGACGCGGTGGGTCCGCGAGACGCGGCGGGTCCGAAAGACGCGGCAACGACCGGGACCGACGCCCGCCCAGTCGCGGACGGGGGCGGGACGCGCCGCCGCCACGGGACTCGCGCCGTCGGTGAGGGAGCTGGTGCTGGATTCGAGTTTGATCTTTCTCGGTGCGGACGCAGGACGTTGACCATTTTTTATGACACGGATGTCGTGAAAGAAAACACGGCAGACGAACCCTTTTCCCTGAAAAATTGACGATTGTACTACTAGAACAAGTAACTACTAAAATTTTATATGAGTAGGAGTTGCAGCTGCGCATGCTATGCCTATCGCATGAACAAGGGTCAACGACCGAAGCATCGCATGAAGGACAACTACGAAGCAGGCAATAGTACTATGCATGAAGGGTCAACGACCGAAATCCAAGAAATCAAATGATCCGCAATCACCGCTGTCTGCCGGAGTACGGTAATTATAAAGAAGATGATTTAATAAATGTAGAGCTGGAAAAATGAAAATCTTCAACAAAACCACGCGAGAGGCACAAGATTTGTATCTAGGTATTTGCGGCCGGACGCAGCTTCCAACGCAAAAGATACTATACTTACAACAGTTAGAGAGTATGGAGACAGCACTAGCCTCCTCACCGAGTACTTCACCCTCACACATGAACCCCCCATGACGAAAAATTTTTCCCGAAAAATTTGTAGCCCACCGCCCAACATTGTTTCACTTTTTGAAATCAAAATCAAGTTCAAAAGATTTGAAGAACAAGTATATGCTTGTACGCCAACTTGCAGCTGCATGTGTCGTGTTTGTAACTTTGAGTGCTAGATGAAGAGGAGCACAAAGAAGTCTGGTGTGGATCCTATACATCCTGTACATGCTGTACTTCTTGTTTGCGTTCATTGGTTCATCTTTCTCAATGTGTGGATGCGCTGTAGGTTTTCGTGCTGTCAGATGGGCTCCCTCAGAGAGAGGCAATATTTTTGTTCGCTCACATGATATTCGCCTGGCCTTTGCACTCCACGGACCGACAGCCACTGTGAAGTCGGATTATTTTTCGGATTCGCGGGGAATCCATTTTGAGACGGGATACCTGCGTGGCGTTATCATTGGTTGATTCCGCAAAGCGAGCAGCGAGAGAACCTTCAACATGCTCGTCATGGCAAACTGCAGTATGAGTAAACAAAAATTAACATTTCACTTGCAAAGAAAAAGATGAATCAGCGTCAAGTTCTCTGGTCTCCCAACGTGCGCGCGGTCCGGGCGCGAGCAGTTCAGGATGCGCGCGCGCGTATCTTCAACGATGTGGAGAAGAAGGTCGGGGAGCACATGTTCCGCAGGCCTCTGGAGGGGCCGCGGTTGAATCGCCATTATTTCCCGTCCAAATTTCAGTTCCAGAGCTTTCACTTGGACGAGTACTACGACATGCAAGAAGCGCGGTTTGACCCGGAAGTGGTAGCCTACCGGCGACGGCAGCTGTGGGCCGACGACACAGCAGACCGGACCGAATGGATGCAGCGCATGCAGAGGGTCCTGGACAAAGTGCAGGCGGCGCGAAGGAGAGGCGTAGATTTGAAAGCCATGCTTGACGAGAAAACTCGAGCGCACGTCGACCTGTTGTTTTCGAGTGACCCGCGAAAGAAACGTAAGGAAACCGACGTCCCTGCTACCGCACAAGATGTTGAAATTATAAATGTACGGTCTGTTCTGTCCCGCCAGGAAATTTTGGAGCTGCGTGAGGTGCTGGCTGTTGCGGACCAGATGCTGCCACTGGAGGCAACTACAACGTGTGCTGGCCCAGACGATACTTCATCTGCCGCCAAAAATCCGCCGGCTGCGGCTTCGAGAGAAAGTTGCGAAGAAGTAGCTGCGGTCCCGCTTCTTGCTGGTGGAAGTCAAGAGAGAGTCGTCGGCGACGCCGATGTTTCCACTGCTGCGCCGGACAGCGCTGGCGAAGTAAGCGGGGAACAAGAGGATGAAAATGGGGCGAGGAGCACGGAAAACAAAGCGGCGAAAAAGCTGGTCCGTCATAGGTTTGTAGATCCGATGTACCGACGGCGGCGACTAAAGTGGCTGGAGCGGTTCTGCTATCAAATGTAAAAATGTCTGGGTCTGGAAGCTTGCCAGGTTTGTCATGCATATTCTGAAAGACTCATGATGTCTGTGATGCATGCTCTAGCATGACAGATTTTAGAGGCCTTTGTGATGCCTCTACCGCATGAGAAATGCCCTCTCCGGGTAGCACAAACTGGAGTTCTGTTGCTGGTCATGCAATGCAAATTTTTTTAGAATCCAGAGACAGCATCACAAGTTCCAACCTTCCAGACCCAGACATTTTTACATTTGATATCTGCCGGGGATTGCACAGGAAGAAAGAGAAACAGTACAACCCCTACTACCTTACGCACCCAGACGAGAAGCCTGTGTGGCCGGACAACCTCTATCAAATGCAAAAATGTCTGGGTCTGGAAGAATGCAAGATTTGTCATTCATATTTCTCATGGATCATAATGCCTGTAATGCTTGGCCTAGCATCGCAGACATTTAGAGGGCTTTCTGATGCACCTTCCGCATGAGAAATGCCCTATCCGTGTAGCAAAAACTGCACCCCTCTTGCTGGTCACGCAATACAATTTTTTTTAGAGTCCAGAAACAGCATGACAAGTTGCAATCTTCCAGACCCAGACACTTTTGCAGTTGACAACCTCGGCAGTGTCACCATTCGGTGGCCGAATCCGGCGGCATGAGGGATGTGAAGATCTAGTCTACATGTCTAAAATATTAAATTATATAAAGCGCTTTTTCTTTCGGCGTCGGATGGTCAAGAACACTTCTATCGATGACGCTATTAGCAGGTTTTGGTTCACGTACAACATGCGTTGAAGACGTATGAAGAAATCAGGTTTTGGTGCAGTTCCTGAGCAAGAACGGGTCTCGGCCTACAGATACAGAACGATACAGAGTATGGAACAATGTCGTACTTCCGGCAGCAGTGTCCTCGTTCTTTTTCGTGTACGTGTTCTCAATTTTCACAACAAAAACATTATGCGACGGACCACCTCTTGTCTTTGGCTAAGTAGACCGCACCTGCGAACAGGCTTTTGGTCCCGATCGTTTCTGTTTTGCCTACTGGAGCACGCTTTCCGTTTGACACTCTTGCCTGTCACAATCCCGCCCACGATACCGTTTCTACTGCTTGCGTCTTCTACTGGAGCACTTCTACTGAGGCGCGAATCGCGCTGGGTCAGCAGCACCAAATGGCCTCTTTGAATTCATCGAGAGTGAACGCGGCCACTTGAAACAAGGTTTCAGAACTTACTATGCCTGGCCGGTCAGGTATCCAAGAAAAAAACATTGTAGGTGTAACTTTCTTGGAAGATTAGCATGACAAATATCTCTCGCATGACAGCAAAAACCTGTCATGCGCAGATGCTACGTGAAAACGCCCTTTGATGAACCCTACGATGCATGCCAAGCATGACAGACGCAATCAGCTTGAATGTTGCGCATCACAAATTTACACTAACAACGTTTTTTTCTTGGATATCAGGAGGTGCTGTCTCGTCGCCCGAGGATCACGATAACGAGGAAAGTATGGAAGTGTCAGGATTGAAATGGACAAAGTTGAAATAATTTCTCATGCATAAATTGCAAGGCATGAAGTGCCTCTCTTGCAGGGATGGCAAGTGAGGCCGACTGTCAGCCTGTTTGGGGTCTGCGGTAGAGCTGCTAAAGTAGCATGACAAAAGCCTTCTTCTGTCCCTAAACAGCATGACAAACTGGATTTAGACGGTGCTGAAATTTGTCATGCGCCGCTTGGAAATTGGTCTTCCAACTGGTATCCATTTTATGCATGGCAAATTATTTCAACTTTGTCGATTTCAAACCTGACAGCTCCATAGAAAGTCTGTACCGGCACCTCGAGGCCCTGCGCGTCGCGGAAGAAGAGAAAACGCGTCCGCGGGCTTTAGCAGCTGTGTTTGACCCGTCCGGGAACCAGCACAGCACCAGCGACAAATTGCAAAGGCCGTCCTCGTCCTCCGCCGCCGGGGTAGTAGTACAACTCGGCAGCACCTCCCTGAGTCCAAACACGAGGAGCAAGCAAGAGATGCGCGCCTCGGTGCAGCATCTCCTGTTTGCCCGCCAGAAAGCCGAGGTCCGCGTGAACGTGTACCACCTTGGACAGTCCAAAATTATCCAGGGGTTCAACAACTTTTCGGGTTTCGGGTTTTCGAATGCGACTGACACCAGCACAGCCTCCACGGCGACAACGAAAAAATCTGGGCAGCAAACGAATTCCGTCGCAGGGGGCGTGTACCACTCCGGCGTGGAAATTTTCGGAAAAGAATACAGCTACGGGATGACGTTTTGCAAGGTGTCCACGGGTGTCATGAGCGACAACACGCCGCGCGTGCACGAAGATCACACGTTCTTGGAGTCCATCGTGATTGGAGACTGCTTCCTGTCCGAATACGAACTGCATAATATGCACCACAATTTTTTTTAGAAATTCACATATGTACTATACGCATGCATGCAAATCATGAAGAAAAAGGACCAAGATAATATGCTGCGCTCACGGTTTCGCTTCTGACCCATACGCCGTATGGCGAGCTGTTCGGGCTAGTATGCACTCCACATCAATTTTTGCAGTATTGCAGCATGCAGAAGTATATGTTGATGTGCTAGCTTTTTTTGGAGGATACGCAAGATTATGCAGGAGGAATTTTTCGGGAACGCGAAGTGGCTGGGGAAGAACTACAACATTCTGCGCCAAAACTGTCACCACTTCATACCAAACTGAAGAGCGCGCCGCCCGGAGAAGAGACAAATATTTGCATTTTTTCTAAACAAGTCTGCTGCAAAAGGAAATTTGAATAATATTGGCTTTTGCATACGGCCAGCAAGGACAGCCGGAACTCAGCATATTTTTCCCCAGCATGATCGATGCCTTCAAGTCGGAAGCATCTTTTCTACAGGAACAGGGAAGGTACTACCGCCCTTGCTGCGCGTCTCTGCATCGCCAGATTTTCGCCCTTCCTTGTCCTTCTGGCGTTGTAGGGGTGCCTTTGTTCACTCTGATAGTTCAGTGATGCGCTTCTGCAGAGGCTGGACCCGACCTTTCGCTTGCCGGCGCATTTGAACGCGCTGGCCGGGACCTTGTTGGATGCCACGACAAGCATTGCGGGAAACTCGGCAAGAGGCGACGAGAGCGACGGCGATGCGTCTGAAAATGCAGGCGGCAACGACCGGATAAGAGCGATACAGCAGGCTTCGAGGCAGGAGAGTCACAGTGGGTGGTTTTCCGCAATCCTGGGGTCACCACCTGCCAGCGACGAGGAACGCAGTCCGTACACCCGAGGTAGGGCGGCTGCTGAAACAGCTGCAACTCATGCATATGGTACTAACGCTTTCATCGGTCGGGAGCAGCACGGTAAGACAAATTTAGAGCAGACCTTGTTCTTTCACACGCCCGTGGGAAGCGCGAATTCCATGTCTGGGACCACAGACTCTGCCGTGAAAAGTCACGTCCGCATGCCGTTCCCAACCTCCTCCTCAGCCTCGACAACAGGAACCTCTACCAGTTCCTATCATGCACCAAATTCTACATTTGGCACCACCAGTGCACCACTCCACCCGAGCGTGACCAGTGCGTACAGCCACCCCGACACCGCGGTGGTGTCGGGACAGAGCAGTGTCTTTGGCTGGGATCAGCCTGCCGGTCCGGCAGGGAGCAACGAACCGTATAATGATTATTTCCCACAGCAGTTACGCCCGCACATGGACCAAACAAGAAATAGGCACCCCGTCTTCGACGAAGCGTATTACAACGCAAACAACTACTTGCGAGGAGAAGATGATGATCCAAGGAATGGAAGAGGGGCTCCACCCGGTAAAATCCCCGTCGCAGCGACAGCAGGCACAGCGCAATACTTCGCCCAGGGCGCAGAGGATTTTACCCCGGTTAGTTACGCCACGAGTGCCAGAGGCCCACCCCAGAATCTCGACCTGTTCCCGAAACCCAAGCGGCGGCCTTGAAACTATAGACTTGTTTGTGTTTCTCATTTGTAGTAGTGTTCTAGACTATCGCGCGACCGATTTTAACTATGATTATGAAAAAGAAAAAGTATGGCCGATGGCGCACACTGTGGCCGAAGTAGTGTCGTCTGCATGTTCATCGTTGTTCGTACCACTGGAGTCTACTTCTTCGTTCTACTCCCGTTATATCTGTGCTACCTCCTCCTGCGCGTCTTCGATGTCGTCCAGTTTTCTCTACGTCCTGATTTATTTCGTGCAAGCAGAAGTTGATCGAGATTGCGTAACAAGAGAATAACGCAACTGAACTCTGTATCGTGCCGGTGATTCACTTTGTCGGTCGTATTGTCCTCACAGACACAGTGACTCTGCCCACGCTGCATCTCTGGCTCGCTGCGATCTGCTGAAAATGAATTATGTGCCGTGAAGTTCGGCAATACTATAACTATTTATTACATACATTTACTTTCTGAAGAAAAAGAACGTTCAGAAGAGCATTGGCGTCGGCAATTAAAAAGAAAGAAAGTGGTGATGGATCGGTCAAAAAGAACAAAAGTCCTTATCTACTTGATATTGCAGTCGGTCATCTCGTGCGCATCCTCGTGAACACAAGACGTACGGACGTACAACTTCTGTAACGTTTCTCGCGCTCTTGTCTGACGAGACTCGTCGTTCATCATGAGCCTGGAAACATAAGCAAGAGGTGGATCATGCTTTTTTTCATCTGCGAACCCAATACCTCCAGGACCTCCCGAACAACTTGCAACTGTTTACAATATGACCCTTTTCATTTATGAACCGATGGTGAGTACACGGCACTAGCCGTTGTAGTGACAAGCTGCCTCATGCGTTCACTGCTGTTTCTCCATCGTAGTCAACATTTTTTAGAAGGTTTTAGACAATCACTATGCAGCTAGTTACGTTACGCATTATCCCGTAGATCATCAGATCCTCATGGATGTAATGTTTTTCACGCGCTAGTCTTTTACCCCGAGTTCAAATTTTGTATGGCCATCTTGATGGGATGAGTCATAATCTATTTAGTATTTTCCGTTTATTTGACGCGCTGACGTGATTCGACCTATAAATCTGTGTGTGATGAGCGAATATATGGGTTGCATATCCTCACCGAACCGGAGTTTCACAGTTTGAACAGGATGAAAAGCATACGGCTGTAAAGATGGGTGGCGAGGAAAAGAAGAAGAAAGACATATCCTGTGCAAAAATGACCTCAAGACCCCATAGGCAAAATGTATGATGTATGATGTCGTTGTGCTTAAGAGCTAAAGGCTTTCGCTCTGCCGGCAATTATCCCGAAGCAAGACAAAATTTCTCCCCGATCTTCGTGGTGAATTAGAGCATTTCAAGTACTACCCGCTTCCACAGCGAGGCGACGTCGCAGTGAGGGCGTTCTTTTCGCACTGGATAATTTTTTGGCATCACAAGTTTTGAATATTTTCTTTGCCTGGGTCCACAACGTGGGGGTCGTTTTTGCACAGGATAGCAAAAGAAGGAGCGGAAGAGTTCCTCCGGGACGTCGTCGACGGAGAAGAAGGACGGCAAGAAGCGACCCGACTCCCCGAGCGCTTCCTCCTCCAAGAGGCCAAGCACGCCGAAACCACTGGCGCTCACGGACGGCACGACGCTCGGCACGAGCAGCAGCAGCCTGGCCCTGATCCCGCTGCAACGACAGTCCACCACGCTGGTCGATGACGGTTTTGCCGCGGACTTTACGGACAAAAAGTTCTTCTGCGAGTCCGGCGAGCAAATGGGCTTTGTGTTCCGCGACAACGTGATATCCACGGCAAATCGAGGCACTTTGAATATTACACCAGCACGTCGACGTACAAATGGTACCTAGTATACTGTTAGGGTTGATCGATCGGGGAAGATATTCTACCAGACGACCCAGTACAACGTTTACATGATCTCCTGGATTTTAGGTTATATGAAATTTTGAGCAAAGTGCACTCATTGTGCGTCGTCGGGCACTGTAGTAAATAAAGTTTCTCTACTTGCTCTTGCATACGTCATTACGAAAGTGGTACCGGGTCGCTGGGCAGACCGTTCGGGGCTGCGCGAGTTCGACGAGATAGTCCTGATCCAGACCGACTTTTCCGACGACGAGGTGGTGGAAACGTACGAGCGCAAATTGGCGTCTGGGGCCGCGGAACTGGTCAAGTTTACCCCCTTCTTGCCCCTGTCGCAGCGGGACAAGATCATCCGGCTGAAGCGAAAACCCTCGGTAGGCTTCGTTATCGCCCGGGGCGTCAACGACAACGATGTGGACCAGGCCGCCAGAAACATGCAGGCCGCTTTCCGCGGCAGAAAAGACCGAGACTTCGTGAAGCAAAAGAAAGAGGTATTTATTATTTCATGATATCGCTGCCAAATACAAATTGAAATTAGAAACAGCTTTGCTGCGATTGATCTTAATCGACCTTGATGAAGAAGTAGAAGAAGTCGTTTGACAAATCAACAAAGTTTGAAAATAGAGGTGGTTTATGAATGTGGGCATGATGCCATCGTTCTTGTCACGGAAGCAAAGTTTTGCTTTGAGTTTCGCTGCGGAAAGCCAGGAGACCGGAACAAAGCGACCGGATTCGTGACACGATCTTCGTAACGAGTTGTAGTACTCTCCTTACGACGCGGAGAGATGCGTTTGCGTGCTGGAAATGAATCGGTCTTGAACTACAGGACCTGAATTATTGGGCGTTTTTGCATCAGCAACAAGGGGCGACCTCTCGCAAAATTCAAAAAATTGAGTTCAAATTTTGTCAGAACTCAGCGTCTAACAGACCGTGTAGCGCTCGCCGGGCCGGGCTGTGCCCTGGGACGCTGCTGGCTGCTTTCTTTAAAGGAAACTCTCCTCCATGGAACCATCGCAAATTTTGAAAAATCTGGGTCAAAACTTTTCAAAACTTCCCGGCGGCACCTGTCTGCTTCCTGGTGTTGCGAGGTCCGCAGAGTGGAGACGCTATCCGTTGCGTATCGCGCGTCTAAATCTACGTAAAAAACAAGGACAACGCAGTGTTTCAGAAATGAAAGGCAACATTTTTCGGTTCGCCCCACTTCTGATGCGGCCGCTGTTGAGACCACCACCATCCGGCCTCAAACTTTGAAGCGAAAAAAAGGACCTTTCTCGGCCGGAATTCAGGGGCTGAACTCTCGCAAACTTCTAAAAATCGCAGTGATATTTTGTTCTGACTTGGCAACAAGCACAAGCTCGCTTAATATGCAGCCATGGTGCGCACTCACGACAGGCCTCATCTTCAACACGGACAGGCCAGTTCTCATTTTTCTCCGTGCCCTTCAACAAATTTGAAGTCTCGCAAATTTTCAAAAATCAAGCAAAAATGAGCGACTTACTTGCGCTAGCGCGTCGGACGTATGTAGACCACGCTTTGAGAAGTACTTATTTGCACGCCATTCCACCGTTTTACCTTTATTCTATGTATAAAACCTGACAGAACACGGTCTGGGGCTGGTTTTCTGCCTGTTGCGGGATTCTTCATCAAGACGGCAGTTCACCCTCGATTTATCAAATGTAAAAATGTCTGGGTCTGGAAGATTGCGAGGTTTGTCATGCTTGTCTGGCATGACCAAAAAGTTTGTGATGCGTGTCCAAGAAGAGACCCTTTTGCCTGTCATGCAAAAACGCAGTTTGTCATGCGAAAAACGTAGCTCAAAGAAGCGCAGATATTTCTCATGCTTGCCTGTGCATTACAGAGCATTCATTATTCCCAGCGCAGCATTACAAGTTTCCAGGCCCAGACATATTTGCAATGCATACGATTGATTGTCTAGCGATTCATCCGGGGCAGAACCGAGAAAGGGTGATCCGGAGTCAGTCGCCCCCGCCCCCACTGATTGAGTACTACCCCCCTTTGGCAATTGAGGACGCCGTACCGAGTCACATCTCGCTCCCTATTGCGGACGAGGAGGACATGGTGCCCTTCCTCTCAACACCGAGGTACGAGTCCCACCATGAGGAACATATTGCGAGGGACGACGGGGGGATACTAGCGGTCTTCCGCCAAACCGGGGCGGAGCCGGACCTACCTGAGGAATATGATAACGACGACGAGCCGGGCGAGGACCCTGTCAGCGGTAATGTGGTGAATGACAACTATTCCGAAAATGAAAGGAAACCTTTTTACAACAAATCGTCTCCCGAATTAGTAACCACATGATGTATGAGGATGAAATGAAAAGAACACTGCGTCACCTGAGAGTGCGTCGTACGCCTACCCCTTTATTCCACATTTTCCAAGATAAGTTCTCGCATTTTCGTTTGTCGGACGCATAAGAATCTATGGTATTGCTCGCCAAAAAAGTACTTACAAAAAGAACTGTCTTCGTCCGGCACCCTGGAGAGTTTTCGATCTTCGGCAGAAAGTTGCTATCGTTGTTCGAGACCGAGGAAACTTGCTTCTCCGTGTTGTGATGTTTCCTAGGAGAGAGATCTGTTGAGAGACGTGATTGTGACAAACGCAAATGCGGCTCTCTTGTATCCTGATTGTTATATTAGTCATCCTATCTTGTCATCGATCAACCTGGACGACCACGACAAGAGCTATGGATTGATTTTGCAGCAGCATGTGCCTGGTTATTATGGCTGGGACGCAATAGAAGTCAACGAGAAGGCTCCTGTCACGTACGTACGTGCTCCTACTTGCAACATCTTCTTATTTGCTACAGGATCGACTCGACATGGACAAAAGTACTGTATTCGTTGGTTGCTGGTGTTCGTTATTGCACCTGCAGGAGGATCACAGTCATGCGAAATCGCATAAAAAGCACGTGATTTTAGCAGGTTTTTTTGTTCCGTCTGACATCTTTCTGATTGACAATAATACTAAGAGCATTGTACGAGTTAGCGGCGCTTCGCGCATTCTCGACTCCGTACTTTCGTGCAGAAGTATTTCGACTTTTCCCCTACTGTTTCTGCGCCGTCGGAACAAATAATCGTCCCGTCGCTTCTAACGAGCAGAAAAAGGGCGGCTTCTGAAACAAGCAATAGGATATCGGCATCGGCTTCTTGTTGCGATGTTTTTCCCCACCACCTACGCACAGTTTCAGCCGCAGCCACGTGTATCCCGTTCGGCCAGCGCGCAGCCGCGAACGCAGTTTTTTCAGAGCGTTGTCGACACTTCTCAGCAGCATCTCCAACAGCAGCAGCATGCGACTGCCGCCCAGCACCACCGACGCGGGGCAGCGTCTCCCCCGACGTTTGCGTTGGTGCCGCCCACGCTAAATGGGAGCATGTCCTCCTCCAGCGGTGGCAACCAAAGTTTGACCTACAACCAGCACCAGAATCACTCGCACTCCCACTCCTCGACGCGCGCCGAGAATTTTTTGCCTGTGGGACACCAGCCCCGACAAGTCACGAGTGGTAACAAGCAGATGTCAAATGGGGTGAAAGGATCCGCGTCTGGAGGAAATGGACCGCCCGCGGCCCAGCACGGCAAGCCGCTGGCGACCGGCACGAAAAAAACCAGCTCATCTTCCACATTTTTCAGTCCACCGGGTGGCGTGATGGTCGGAAAACAAAATGTGCACAAGGCTGACGAAATAAATTGCAGAAGTGGAGCAGGTGGAAAAACAGGAGCAGCAGTCAATACTAGCGAAGCTGCTGCATTTGCAGGCGGAGTTGGCAACAAGCCTCGCCCTCGTCCAGAACAAGTAGCTCGCGGACCGCCTCCACCCGCGGGGGGCACTAGTGAAGATCGCACTGCTGGCAGCCAAGCACGCTCGTTAATACTGAACCAGTTTGCTCCGTCGCCGCGAGTCGGCGGCCCGTTCGCTCCGCTGGACCATTCCGGAGCGAGTGCCTCCGCGGTGCATCAGCTCGGCGGCGCTGGTCCTTCTGCGCAGCAGCCTCCCCAGAGACAGCAGTCCGCGCGGGTGCTGCAGGCGCCGAATATGGTCCTGACGATGCCCCACCTGAATGCCGTCAGCCGGTCAATCTCGGTGGGCCCAAGGTTGCAGATGCATGGGACGAACAATTACCCCGCGACATCGCCCCGGCCGCAACCGCTACTCAACGTGGTGTGCCGGCTATCCACGAAAGAAGCTGTGTTGGTGTAGTACTACCCTCTGGGCCGGCTGGCAGCATGACAATATTTGCTCTGCATGTTGCCACCCAAGGAAACCGCGTCCACAGCTAGTACGTGTTGAGAATGCAACATGTGCAAAAGAGGACTTCGTGGCTGTCTAACATGAGAAGTGTGTACCGATTTGCATTTATAATGCTGCACCATGAGCTTACACTAACACAGGTTTTCCTCGGATACCAACCACAGGAGCAGATCGCAGAGCAAGACCCTGTGGTGTCTAGGATAAATAGACCGCCTAGTTGCAGCAATGCGGCCTCGTCGGGAGTAGGCAGTAGCACTTCCAGGGAACAACAACCCAGATCCGCTGCTGCTGCCGCTTCTACGTGTGCAACGAAGCAGATGAATATGACGGGATCGTCTGCTTTGCTTGGTCAAGGTGGACAACGTGCCTTCCAAATCGAGCCCCTGTCACCCGTTTTGTTCGGAAGACCGATGTTCGGAGGTGCTGGTGGAGGACACATCAACGCTAATAGTAATTTTGAACATACCCAGAACTACCCCGACGAGCAGGAGGCGCTTCCTCCCGACTCCGCGCGAAGCAGCAATATCACTCAGCCGCCGCCGGACGCACTGATCACGCCCACAGCAGCGCAGTCCGCGTCGTCTTCCTCCACGGCGTTTTTCAACTACGGGAGAGGAGGAAGTATTTACTTAGAATGTTTTGAAGACGGCGCAACAAATCGTCCAAATGCAGTACTGACGTACAGCTGAACCCTGATTCGATGTACTACACTTCCCGACGGACATCGTTGCTGTGTAAGTAGTTCTTTTTCGTTTCGCTATCGATTAAACTTTATTTGTCCGTGTCCTACCTTGTGTGTCGTCCTAGCGAAAAGCGCACCGTATGAATGACTTCTTCCTACTACTTACTTGCAGGTCCTCCGCCCATGCAGATCGGCTGGAACAGCATGACGAGCAGCCGGGCGCCGGGCAACGCTAGTTCGCGCGTTGGCGCCCAAGGTTCGCATCATGGGCCCTCCTCGTCACACCAACCGCAGACCATGAATCGCGCCCAGCGGAGCGCCAGCGTGGTCTCGTTGAACTCCAATTCGAACAACATTGTGCACGCCCCGAAGGGTATTTGCCCCCCGGACATCCACGCACCGCGGCGGATCCGCACCCTGAAGGAGCAGGTGACGAAGGATAGCAAGGACGTGACGCAGAAGCGGGACCTGGTGGACGAGCTCACGGCCATCGCCGAGGACAAGGATCTAGTCCGGGAGAAATTGACGAAAGAGGTTGGGCAGCTGTTCGACGAGACTTCCTACTACAAAACCGAGCTCCGCGGCCTGCGCATTGACAACCAGCAGCTCGCGAACGAGATCTGTCAAATGGAAAACACCATGAAGGAGAAGGACCGGATTAACCACTCCTTCTGCGAAACGCTGAAGAAGTCCGCGAAGTTATCCAGGAAAAAAACTGTGGTAGTGTACCAACTTTCTTTGGCTGACAGCATCACGAATTTGCTCTCCTCTGCATTAAACAGAGAAAACCTGTCATGCGTGAGCTGTACGGGAAAACAGAAACACACACGAAGAGAAGGATTCGTTGTTGTCTGGCATGTGACAGGTGTATAAACTCTGTTGCATGTTCTGCATTTTTACAGAGTTACACTTACCCAGTTTTTTTCTTGCATAGAAGTCAACGGTCATGTCTCTGGAACTGAAGCAGCTGGAACGGCGCGTCGTCGAGCTGCCTCCGAAAATCGAGCAGGAGCGGGCGTTTTACGAAAAGGAAAACGAAACCCTGCTCTTCAAGCTCAGCACCGCCGAGGCGGACCTGCAGAAGGGCCATGACGATCGCGAGCAAGGGATCCTAGACGCGAATCTAGCGTGGGAGGAGATGAAGCAGAAGCGTATACATACTAGTACTTGTTGAAGATGAAGAAGTTCAGTGAAGATCTATCAATTACTCCTTGTCACGTCTTTTCAAAAATCCTGATAGGTCCACCCTTGAATTTTTTGCAAAAAAACGGACGCGTATGAGGCCGTCAAGTACTTATTTTAAAACTACTTAGAAAATTTCATTTTGGTAGCTAGGACCGCACTTTTTTTTGTATGAAAGTTGACTACTTCATTTTAACTAGCTAGATCAGGAGCATCTTCGGTCACGGATGCGTCCCGCGACGCGGCGCAGACAAGTCGGAGGAGCAGCGACAGAGGCCATGATTTTGGTATGTGTCCGGGAACGTAACTAAGGCCTTAGATCTGGAGGACACGAGCCTCCTGCTGCAGTACTCGGTTGAGTTGACCTGTGGATGATTGTCGGTGAGTGGTGTTTTCGATCAGCCTGATGATAAGCGTAAAGCGCACAGCATACGGATTGGAAATTTACGAACCTACGGCGATCATCATTTCTTGCTTGCTGATGAGTTTCAACATCTCCAGGGCTCCGGAGTGGTAGTAGATCACTGTGCCCCTACTTGCTCGTCTTTCTTAGTAGTGCCTTCGCTGAGATTTTAGATCTTGGCCGCGCCGCGAAACCAGCAGGCATGGGAACGCAGCCACGGGAGATCGAGCGGGCGTGCTTCGGCATGTTCAGAGCCGCCATTGCAGAGCACTTCGAGGTGCGGCGGGTTGGTGAGCTTTCCGCTGATATCATCACTCGCCCGCATCACGTTATGATGATCAACGGCGTGGAGTGGAAGCACTGGCTTCTGATCCAGTTCAAGGCTGGGACGGAGCGAAACGGAGCGTGGGTTCGTCGCGCCCGCAGCTGCTTGGTACATCACAAGAACCAGCACCATGGTCACGCGCTCGTGGGAATGTGTCACAACAACCCTGACGAAGTGCTGGTCGAGACGCGCAGCCGCGCAGACCTGCCGAACCTCCTGTTCTCGGTGTGGATGGATCCGCACGCTACGCGCTTCGATGGTGAAGCTGACCTGCTATTCGCGTACTCGCCCGAGACGCTTGTGGAACGGAACGCGCGGCGCCTGTTCTGGTTGACGATCCGGAACTCCGGCTTATCGTACCGGCTGTCCGAGGACGAAGGCACCCCGATTGATGGGTATGCAAACTGAAAGGCACAGAAACACACGCGGGCAGTCTGTGAAAAAAACATACTGCGATACTCCTGTATCTGTCATGCGAAATAAAACTGCGCCAAGACATGCCCTCGTGTGTTTCGCTTCTTTCTCATTTGCATACGTAGTACATCCGGTTCGATGCCGACCCAACCGGCAATGAGTACAGCGCTCAAGAAAAGGCGTTGTCGATTCGGAAGGAGCAGGGGCAGGCGGTTGGCTTGCGCTGCACGATGCGGAGGTGCGTGCTTCTGATGCGTGTCGCTCGAGCCCTGGTATGCACTACTGTTTGCGAAAGGGTCGCGCAATGTAATGCTTTATTTTAATATTAAAACTATCAGGACCAAAAACGTCCCGCACGACGTCAACGACGCCGACTTCCTTCTCTTGCACGCCCGCCGGGACCCCAAAGACAAAACGTTCTCCGGTCTTGCTGGGTCGATGCTGGTGCCGTGCCAGGTCTTGGCCGACCTCGGCATCGTCAAGTGTGAGGACCGGTAAACAAGTAGTGACGCCATTGCTATAGAATTTGTCATGCGTATATGCTACCACACTACACCGCACCAAAAACTATCAAGCACTTACTTGTTCAGGGGATCGATTGGGCGCGCCATCATGTCGGTTTATCCGAACGCGCCGGGTGTGCGTGTGAACCGCAGCGGTGTGTTGGAAGGGTTTTACGTTTCGTGCCACGACCAGGATCAGGAATACTTGGACAAAATGAAACAGACGACTTTGAACTACGGGAACGGCGTGTATGATCACCAGGGAAACTAACGACGAAGCCGAAGGACGACGAGAAGACACAGCAGGAACACATTATCTACAAAGCCACGGATTTTGTACAAGGTGCCGGGCCACCTTCTTGGTTATTTTTCAAAGGATGTCACGCGGGTTCGTTTTTACAATTGAAACTCAAAAGAGGAGCTCACGTCATGATTTTTTATTTCCAGTAAAAAGCATAGCTCTAGTAGTGTTTTCATATCTCCATAAATAATTTGTTCTGTGAGGAGCTCATCCCTCACAGCAGCGCGTACGAAAATAGTGCCGCCTTCTCGGTGGGAATCAATCACGGGTGGTATTTCATAAATATTTTTTAATTTTACTGCGCCCTGGTCTGATTTGCGCCGCTGTGCAAAGCAGCGACGTCTTCATCTAATTTTTTCAAACTGAAAAATAAAAATTGAAACTTGTCTCACCACAAGTAGTATCCACCTCTACAGCTGTTTACGATTTTTGCTGCAAGGATTTTCTAATCTGCATAACTGCCATTATGCAGCTTCGGGAATTTCTCACGCTAGGAGTTCTGCTTCTCCTTCAATAAATAAAACGCGAAGATGAAGCATTCATATTATTTTTTTTTCATAAAACAATTTGTGCTGCAGGTGTCGACAAAAGAATGTCTGATGCGGAGTGCGCACCAGACGAAAACCAAACCAAAGATAGAAGCATCAACAAGAGCATGACTATGATGATTCACATAATTACTTATCCGCTCCGCTTTTGCTGTTCGACTTCGTCTTCGACTTCTTCCTCCTCGGGGCGCCGGTGATGGGGGACGAGTGTGAGGGGGGGTATTCAAAGCTCCCGGCAGAGGCAGCGTTGTCGGACAAGCTGGCGCTCTTTTCCTCATCGGGTTCATTTTGCGACGACTTCTTGCCCTTCCCTTTCTTGCCCTTCCCCTTCTTCTGCTTCTTACCCTTGCCCTTGCTGTTTCCCTTCCCGCCCTTGCCGTTGCCCTTCCCCTTCTTCCCCTTTCCTTTGACCTCCACGCTGGCGCTCTCGGACTGCTTGCTTTTCTTCGTCGGTTTCTTTTTCGTCAGCTGCTCCGGTTTGTCATTTTTTTTCTTGACATTCATCTTCTTCATCGGCTGTTCATTCTTCTTCGCTTTTTTCACGACGATGCTCCGGGGCTTTTTTCCTTGCACGTGCTTGCGGTGTTCGATCCGGTTCGCGAGGTTGTACACGTCGTCCGGGATGTCCACCCGTTCGTACTGTTTTTCACCAGCAGCTGAATCATACCGGGCCAGTTGCAAAGAGCCCGGCTTGAGGCCGAGCTCTTTGATGGCGTAGGGCACGAGACCACACACGATCTTTCTCTGGACATCCCCCGTGCATTCGATCGACGGACACACCCAGACCACATTGATGGGTTTGTAGCTGGTGGGATACCAGTACATGCGGATCCGGTCCTTCAGTTTGCCCTGCGCCTGACGATGACTGCGGAAAGCGCAGCAGATCTTGTTCTCCCCCTCGGTGTAGAACAAGAAGTACTCGTATGTCGGCTTCATGCGGCAGTCCTCGATGCGGTTTCCGGCATCCGTCGCGAACTTCCTCTGCACCTCCTGGTTGGACAAAACGCGGTCGGTGTTCGGCAAAACCGGAGCACTACTCAACCCCAGCGCATTGAGTTCCGCCGTGAACTGAACCTCGTCAACCAGATCAATCACCTTGCTCACACACTCCTCCGTCAGCAAGTCCTCCTGCTGCGCCTGGAACAACACCTTCCGGCTGTGGTCCGTCATTTTCTCCAGAATATCCTTCGAGAGCAACCTGGGGCACATCTCCGTCGCCTTCGAGAGGGCGCCGATCTGCAACTTCTTGGGCTGCGTGGTGAAATATTCGCATTGGAACTCACGCACGGAGATCCAGTTGGAGTCGCGGAGTCGGATGAAGGTCGTGCCCAGCATCACACGGTGCTCATTACGCACTCGGCCGACGTACAATTCGTCGTCCTCGTCGAAAATCCCCCAGGTGATCTGGAAGTTGTCGCCACACTGCGGAAACTTCAGGAGGATGGAGGGGCTGATGGGGTCACTGTGTTCCTTCTCGCTGGTCATGTTGCACAAATAGAACGCCGTAGTATGAGATTGAAAAAGCAGTGAAGCTGGGGAGAAGAAAAATTTGTCATGCAAAAACGCAGTAGTTTGCCATGCGCAAAAAAGGATCCACCAATCGTCGCGTTATACTCGAACACCAGCTCTGATCTTTCTATCCCATAATGGTAGTGACCGTCGAACGTGCGGGCATTTTTCTGGTACTCCCACCCCAGGATGTCCGCGTGGAAATTGCGCGAGTAAATCGGATCGTCGGGCTGTTTTGGAGTTTTGCGTGTTGAATCTACCGGCGCAGATGGAGTCATGATCAACCGACTACAGAGGACGATCGCAAACAACATCAAAACAACAACAACTACTGTACGTTTGTGCCGGTCCGCTTGTTCAAGTTAAACTCGGCGCACAGGCGGGTGCTAGTCGCGACCTTGAACAAGTACTCGTCCTCGTTGCGGTATTTGTTCATCGCGGTCAAAGCTTTCACCGCCCGGAACCCGACATACTTCGGGCTGGGCGTTTTGTTTTTGGGGTCCTTCAAGTAGTCGCGCGCCTTCTTGTACATCGGGTCCTTATCTTTCCGGTCCCAGCCGGCCTGACAGATATTCTTCAGCCCTTTGAAAGCCTCCTGGATAGAAGCCTTCCGCGTCGACGGGTCCAGATACTTCGCTTCCTCCTTTTTCAACTTGAATCCCAAGTCGTTGCCGGTCATGTCGTCGTATGCATTGCAAAAGTGTCGCGCCACAGTGTGCTGCATTACAGATTTACATGTTCTTTTGCATGACAAATCATCATCGTCTATATATATCTATATACGTGTGCTGATGCTTGGGAGTGCGACACTTTTGCAAAAGATAGTTCATCGGAGCAGTTCTCGATCAAAGTCTCCAACTCCATCGGCGACACGCACATGCTTCTCGACGGCTGCACCAGCGGCGGCAGGGCAAAACGGTGCTGGTTGAAGCGGTACTCGAGGAGGTTCAACTGCTTCGAAATCATGTGGCACAAGCCCGGGGAGTTGCGTAACGCCTGGAGGATGTTGGCTTCTTTGAATCCTCCTTCTGTGGTTTTCTCGTACAGGGGACCGGTCTAGATGACGCACTCGAGCCACCGCTCCAGGACATGGCCGGGCTCTTCGAAGCAGGAGAAAATCATGATCATGACCTGGCAGGAGATGGACAACGGGACCGGGCAGAAGTCGAACAACTGACCCAACTGCTGGGGGGTAAACTTCTCCAACCAGCCGAAGTGCTGACACTTCCACAGGCCGTAGCTCGGGTCCAGGCACTCGTGGAAGTAGTCGCTGATCAAGCAGGACAGCAGGATACACACTCCGCGCTCGTACATAGCGCCCTCGTGGAAGTTGTCGCACGTGAAGGAGCAGAGATTGTTCCAGAACTTCCACTGGCCAGTACCGTAGATCATCCACAACAACTCCGGAGTTGTGTACATCTTTCCCAGATGCGCATCCTTATCGAAGTGGAGCTTCATCGTGTCGACCAAGGGTTGGCTCGTCAAGCACGGCGTCATCGACCCCCGCGAGTTCAAGTGCTCCAGCAAGAAGCTAAACTCGAGACGCTCCTTCCCCATCATCTTGCACATTTCCACGTGGTGCTGCGTGAAGTACATCGCGAACCACAGCAGCTCCTTCGGGTAGCCATGCCAGGTGACGTTCTTGCGCGGGTCCTCCGGCTGTTCATCGTCTTCATCCATCGGGTTGAGTTTATGCATGGGAAACGGCACAACGCATCGCATATTTGTCATGCAATTTTCTGCATATATATATTACATATGTATAGATAGCAATATGGCATGACAAATAATTTATACTTATTTATGTATATATGCAGAAAATTGCATGACAAATGTTGTTTTTGCGTTGTATTATTTCACGGATACAGCTCCTCCTCGTCTTCGACTTCGGGACTGTGCATGTCATGGCGCTGCAGGTATTCCTTCGCTCCCTTGTTACGGATCTCCTCGAGGACACCGAAGTCGCCTTTTTCGTTCTCGACGACCCACCACGCCAGGACGAACTTGAAAAAGCCGCAGCGACCGTCGAGCCCCATCATGAGCAACAGCTCCTTGCGCCAGCGGGTTTTGTTCGTGTGCAGCATTTTCAAGCCTGTAGGTTTAAAAATAATATAAAACTTGTTTCTTTGGAAAAAATATAACACCAGACTCAGAGAAAAGAGCTGGCTGACCGACCCTCCGTGGCACGTGTTAAGTAGTTGAGATTTTTTGCCACCATACCGTCGCGGAAGCACCTCTCCTCGGCACCTCATTTTGGACGTCCAAATCTCAACTACTTAACACGTGCCGCGAAAATGGCACTTTGCATGACAGAAACCAGAAACCATCGGGCGAAGTCGTGTAGAAAATCCAGACTTTGCATGACAGATCTACACGAGGAAGCCAGGCTTCCTATTGACAGTACTACTATTTGCATCAGCAGCGCCAGATATTCAATAATACCCAACTCCGGGGCTTCTTTGACGGTTTTCACTTTTGCGTCCCGGGCCATCTCCTCGGCATACTCACCCGGATCTTCGCCCGCCTGCCGTTCCTCTTCCCGCTTGATCAACGCCTTCACGAGCGCGTAAAAAAAGGCCTGATTTGCGCGGCTCCCCTGCGGTCCGATCATGAAATTGCGCCAGAGCAGCACGAATTCATGCACCTCCGGCCACAAGTTGTTGAAATGGTTCGACAGCAAGTGCCCGCAGCACGACTTCCAGACCCCGGCGAAAATGTTGTGGAGCGTATGGAGAGAAAGCGAATGCTTTACCACGGCGCGCATGACAAATTCTTTCGATGGCGCGCGCATCACAATTACCTTTCTTAATTTGTCACGCAGAGCATCATCTTCATCACCGCAGTTGCACAATCGCAACGCATTTTCGCTATACATTAGTCTGTCATGCTAGTCGCGTGGTAAAGCGTATTTTGCAGCGAGATAAATCAGCAGCCCAAATCGCAGATTCCCCCTATCGCCAGACGTGTGCACTTCGAAGCGGCTCGACGGAGACGACTCAGCGTGCCGGTCCATAATATCGTCCGTGCTCGGATCATCCGGGTCGACATAGCACAGCTTCAGTGCTTCGGGTCCGTAGAATGTGTCGGCCATCGCACAAAACGAAGTCCCCTCCTGCGAATACGGTTGGATTGGTTTTTCGGTTGAATATATGACGACGATCGTGCAGATTTGTATAATAAAAAAAGTGCGTCACTACAGCTGCTCACGCATGGCAAGCCACTAAATATGCAAAAGCAGTACGACTCCGATGCTGATGGTATGAGTGCTTGCGTGCAGCATGGGAGAAACAGTCAGCACCGCGGCCGTGTGCGTCAGTGATTCCTTCGGCGCCAGAGCGCCCGCATTGACAGTCTGAAACGGGGCCTGGTTCAGTGTGATGCCCTTGTGCGTTCGCGAGCCCTTGATGATCGGGCGGGATTCGGGATTCAGGACTTCATCCAGGGAGTAGAACTGTGAGGGAGTTTGGGAAAAGATGATCACCGAAAGCGACGAAGCCGAGCATGGAGCACCGCAACTTCGTCAATCACTACCTATCATCTCAACTACAATTACTTTCTTCCGCATGTAATCCCGTCTTGAAGCTAATGAGTCCGTCACTGGTGGAAACGCATAGCAACCTCGTCCCCGAGCAGCATCACACGTATGTCGAATTCATTTTTGCACGTCGACGCGAGGGGAACCTCGAAGACCATGCGAACATCTGTTGCAGCACCTCCGGCACAACAAGCGCGCCTCATGCAAGCCGTTATATATCCGACTGCCCACCAGATCAGGACGAAGATGAGAAACCAAACATAAAAACAACTACAAAACAACAAGCACCGTGCAGCTCTTCACGTTTTCGCCGCGGGTTGTCGAGTCGTCAGAATTGTACTGATGCACGGTGCCCAAAAATCGAACCGCACGGCATTTGGATCATCTGGCGCAGATTCATCACCCAGTGCGGCGGGACCTGGTAGACTTGCAGCCGCAGTAGACAACTCATCTCGAACCAGCATCGGAGCGCGTACATCTGAGTATTTGTAGGAAAGCCAATATGAAATGCATGACACAATAGGGATGGAAATGCATGTCAAGCTGCAGACTTTTTTCATGCGGAAGATGACCATCATGAACTGTGCCTTGCATCTGTCTGTTGTATCTTCAGAGCCCATCCTCCCCAGGTCCCTCTCCATCCAGACGGCGAGGTCATCGGACTTTTCCTTGCGATTCTTGATGGTAATCCCTTTGACGATATTGCGCCACCGGACGTTCCCAAATTTCGTCTCGCTGGTATCACCACTCAAACTGCTTGATGCGAAGACACAGATTTTTATGACTTTGAGATGATCACGACAACACGTCTCGCATGCAAGCACTTCTGCAAAGCAACTCTTCGCATCAAGGCGCTTGAGTGGGATAAAACAGGTCGGGATGATTCTCGGCCCACCACAGGACGCGCCAGCACTGATGTTTGTTGTTATTTTAGATTGATCTGATTATTTACAACCTACGCTGCATGATCATCGTTGACGCGAGCACGAAGATGATGGAGAAGCAGGTGAACAAGATTGATCATACCACGCCGTCCGCGTTGCCTCTGGTTCCAATTGCCGGCATGACGTAGCGGTGTGCCGACTTGGCCCAGTTTGGTACTTTTTTGTTGAGGAAGTAGCAGTAGTTGTTGGGATCCGGAGCAATCTTTTTGAGGTGGGCGTACGGTTTTCCGCTGTGCTCGTCCCGGTAAACGCGATCCATGGGAACATCGCGGGGCTGAAGGTATCGACCTTGATCATGTCCTCCAGTTGCTGCAACACGGCGATCCGCCTCCTGACCTCGACGGGGCGTGGCACAAGCGCGACTATCTCCATCGCCGTGCAGAAAAGGGCACAAAAGATAAGACTTAGGGGCAAGGGATAACAAAAGACGAAACGGGCATCATGTGGGACCTGTTACGTTTCTACACCATCGCGCGAAACCAATTTGCTGACAACATCTAGTAGAGAATCGACCCGGTTTTGCGATGACTATCTCGCTGGTCACGAATCAACTCTCGCCACGTCACGCACGGATCGAACGAGCCCGAAATTATACAACTACGACAAGATGATGACTCTCGCGCGTCTGCTTCTCACGTACGGCAAACCGACCCTGCAGACACAGTTTTCTGCTTTTGGTAGACAAAACCGACGCCCAATCTCTCACGATTCTGCCGAACAATCAACGCAATATCATGCCGCAAGCGAAGATTTTCAGCGACAGCTATGTGGTAGCAGCAGCACACATCCACGCTCATTGAAAGCGATTCTTCTTCATTTGGGCTTCAATAGCGTCGCGCACGATACGAGTCCGGCCCTGAAGATTTAAAATCGCATGACTGTTCATGGTAGGCGCAAGAACATTGATAGAGCTGAATACTATTTGTTTGTAGTGCGAAACGACATAAGCATCACAGTCAACGCACCGTCGGCAGCCGACGAATGCGCCTCCGCGATGAGACGCAAGATATAGACGGGCTTCCTAAAGTAGTAAATCACAAGTAGACTGCAATGCTCTGCTTGGAAGTAAAACTTTACTCACCAATAGATGTAAGCGCGCTGGTTCGCGATTCGAAGTGCAAAATACCGAGTAGAAGAGAGAACTACCGCGCTAGATGTTCAAGTGCCTGTGAGTACTGGTTTTAGAAGAATCTAAAATCTAAAAATCACATCACTGCGCTGGCTGCGCCTTCTTCTTAGCATTCATCCTGCGCATCTTCTTCGGCTTCTCTTCCGACGGCTTTTTCTCTTCGTCTTTGTCCTCGTCCTTCTTCTCCTCGGACTTCTCCTTCTCCTCGGACTCGTTTTTCTCATCGGGCTTTTCGACGGGGGGATCTTTGGTCAAGAAGTCGCCGATCTCCTCGTCATTCAACTTCACATCCTTCTCTTTCTTTGCCCTCGGGAAACACGAACTGCTCGCCATCGTTCACCGGCAACTCGTCCTCCTTCCCCACTCTCGGCTTGCGCTTCATCGGCTGCGCCTTCCGCTTCGGCGTCTTTTTCTTGTGCTCCGGCGGCGGAGACTTTTTGACCTTTGGCGGATCCTTCGCGCCCTCGTCATCCTCCTTCTTGTCCCCAGGCGCAGGCGGATCCCCGCCTTCCTTCTTGTCGAACAGGTCCTTCTTCTTGAGGGGCGAGAACACCGGCTTAGACTGGTCGTGGCCCGCCGGCTTCTTGCCGAATCCGCGGGCGGCGACGTTGACCTGATTATTAAAAATGAGAGGGCTTGCACTTTCTGTAGTTTTTAGGTTTTTACAAAAGGAATCCCATCTACTTCTCGGTGGTTATCAGTTTCGTATGACGATCTTGTGGTGGAGCTGCTCATCATCTCCTGTATAGTCTACTTGTTTACAAAAACCTACTTAACAAAAAACAGATAACACACCGTGCTGGCGGCAGCCCCGTTAATCGGAGAGCGGAAGCAGGACGGAGTGGGGATCTTCTGGCGGTACACCGTGCCGTAACCATTGTGGTCGTAGTCGTAATCGCGGTGCGGGTCAAAAGGACTCTTTTCGGGACCGCAGAATTTGCGACCGTAGTCCGGCAGCGCCGCCGGGTTCTCGCCCGGCACACGCGCCTTCTTGCACTTCAACAAGTACTGTCTCTTCTTAATCTCCTCTTCCTGCTTTTCGAGATCCTTTTCTTCCGCTTCCTCATCTTGCAGCACCTTTTTGATGGCCTGGGCGAACTCGAGCTGGGACTTCATGCTAGCGAAGGCCTGCCCGGTGCCGCGCAGGGTGCGCTGGTTCCGCCCGGGGGCAACAGCGATGCGCTGGCATTAGTCGTTTTTGTCATTACTTAGCATAGTTTCTGGATTTGCACTTCATCATCTAAAGGCAAAAAGAATTTGCATGCGACCTACGTCAAGATATGAATATAAGTAGTACGGTGGTGGGCTTGATCTTCAGGCTTTCCAACAGCTGTTTCCACTGCTCCTTGTTTTCGATCTTCTGGGACACCTCGCGCAACGGGATTCCAAATCTATCCAACCGAAAACTTCCCAACTAGCACCACGCTCTTTTAGATGTCGCGTCGCGATTTATTCAGGCTGGGCATGACAAGTTCCAACATGTATACGAGAAACCTACTTCATGCGTTGCTATTGTGATGAGACGCACATCGCTGGTGCTAGTTGGTCTGCTTTTTGTTGGATAGGACACGGAGGAGTAGATGTCCTGGGCCTGCTCGATAGGCAGTTCGCCGAGGGCTGTTTTTTAAATTTATATTTATATAAATAGCATGAGATCATGCGCGTTTGTAATTGTTTCATGATGTGGTCGAGATGATCACAAAAAAAACAAAAAGCACTTTCCTCCTTCACAGGCATCTGCTTCAGGCTGTGCACCGGAGTGACACCCTTCGCGTTCGCTTTGTTCCGCTGCCGATTGATTTTGAAAGCCTCCTCCCACAAGCACATGTCGGCCTCGGTCCAGTTCTTGGTGTGGTTGGCAATGGCCTCAACACTGCCAAGCTGCTTCGACGGAGCAGCACTCATCTTTTAGAAGAGGCGTTGGCGCGGATTCTAGAACCTACTCTCTCAATATCTAATACCAGGTATGTCGTCCTCCAGGGATGAAGACGCAAGGCCAACGAATGGCACCAAAAGAAAACCAAAAGCACAACGAGGATCCGAACGACGAGGATAGCATCCGCTTTACATCTTCATCAACTTCGCTGAGCACACATCTTGCTTTCCATACTGCTGCGACAAAAGCCCTGCAGCGTATCAAGGTGCTATACTCTGCTTTGTTTTTGTTTTTTGGTTCACCTACTAGCGCTAAAGAAGACGAGCACGTTTTGTTTTCATGTCGTGTTGCTTGTTATTGCGTTCTACTTTTCAAACAGATCTTCGCCGACTGGTGACTGCGCGACCCGAAGTTGCAACATTTCGACGACCGGATGGGGCTTGAGGGGGACCTCGTGCAAAACCAAAAAGTTTTTGCGTCGCGGGACGCATCCGCGACCGAAACAGCTCCTGATCTAGCTAATCAATTAAATGCATGTTTTAAATAAATACATTTATGTGCGGTCCTAGCTACCTAAACAAAATTTTCTAAGTAGTTTTAAAGTAAGTACTTGACGGGCTCATAACGCGACGTTAAAGATGCTGAAGATTGATTGATGTCCTCTTGTCAGTGTCACTTTAACCAGTACCACGTCGTAGTGGGGCTTGTCACGTTCTTACGAAGAGCAGTTCTAGTAGTTTGCGTCCACCACCGCCACATCTAACCCAGGTTCCGACGCTGAGGCCAAGAAGTCGCTCCAGGTGCGTTCTTTGGAAGAGACGCGGCGGAAGTTCCAGACCGAAAAGGAGGCGCTGAACGCGATCGCGAAACAGAAGTCCAGCATGTACAAGTGCATGATGTCCAGTAACAAGAAGGTCGGGGACCAGGACAAAAAGGACGGCGCGGTGCTGCAAAAGATCCGCCAGGCCGAGGGCAAAATTAAGCAGGCGGAAGTGCGACTGGAATCCGCGGCCAAGGGCGCGGACGCCAGGGAACAAGAGTACTACAGAACTGCTTCACGTGGTAGGTTACCTTCAACTAGACTACCGTGCAGTTTGTTGCTATCTACTGTGGTTGTGAACTCGAGGTCCGTCATCTCCGCATTGGTTTTTCATCCCGATTCCATCTGTTGTGAAGCTCCTGCTGCGATGATGCGCGAAAAACACTGCAGCAAGCCTAAAAATTGCAAAAAGTGCATGCATAGATAAAAACTCCACAGCCAAAAAGCGCTGCTATCGCGTAACGTGGAGGCGGAGAAGGAAAAAGAGCAGCTGGAGGGTGATCTGAAGACGCTTGTGAAAACCCTGATCGACCTCGAACGCGCGAACACCGAAAAGGAGCGGCAGGCCACGGCGAGCAGTCCGCTTTTCACCACCGGCTACAACCTGTTGACCCCTGAACAGCAGCAGCCCGTGGCGAACTACCTGTGTCCGACCCCGCCGACGCCGCTCCCTAAGATGTCCTACCTGGATATCAAATGTAAAAATGTCTGGGTCTGGAAACTTGTGATGCTAAAAGTGAATGGTAGACGGACTGCAATACGCAGCTACGCATGACAAATTTTCTGGCTCCCATGTCTTACGTATTCCGCGTGGCAAGCTGCGTTTTTGCATGACAGGTAAGAGGGCCTTTGCGTGCCTATGCAACACAGATTCTCAAGTCATGCCAGACAAGCATGACAAACTTGCATTCTTCCAGACCCAGACACTTTTACAGTTGATACTGGAAACCCAGCTGTCACACCTGCCGTTCGAGATACGCAAGAAAAAAACTGTGTAAGTGTAAATCTGTGATGCAGAAAATGCCAAACAGTTACACTTGTCATGCTCGACATGCATGACCGGCTCGCTTCCTATGTGTTTTCCCTTTGTATCTGCGCATAACAAGTTTGTCCTGTCATGGCAGACAAACTTGTGATGCTGTTTTCCCAAAAGACTTACACTAACACAGTTTTTTTCTTGGATACGAGAAGTTGGTGTATCACAGCGGCGAGGACGTTTTGGTGGACCGAGAGCTGCTATCAAATGTAAAAATGTCTGGGTCTGGATGATTGCAACTTGTCATGCTGCGTCTGGATCATGCAGAAATTTGTGTTGCATGATTACCAAAAGATGTCCGCTCTTGACCAGTTTGATAGGGAGTTTCTCATGCAGGATAGGCATGATAGACAACCCCACAGCATCTGTCGTGCTAGGTGCTGCATGCCAGGCCTCATGGTATCTGGAAAATCTGCATCACAAATCTTGCATTTGAGACCCAGAGAGACACTTTTGCATTTGATAGCTGCTGTGCAATGCCGCGGTCAACAATGGGGGTGGTGGGAGCAGTACCGACCTCGTGCACCCGCCCGGGTCCACGACGAAGATCAAGGTATACAAGCCGCCCGTGCTATCTTCATCAGCCTCCACGACGGCAGCCTCCAGTGCCCGGGTCAGCGCATCCACGATACACGTGCCGCCGTGCTGTATTCTGGACCTGATGCAGATGGCGCACGAGGAAGAAACCAAGGAAGCCGAGCAGTGGCGGTTCTTGGCGCAGACGAGCAAGCAGAGTTTCGCGCCGGTGCTGAAACTGGAGGACGACGGGAAGGAGGCAGTTGCCCGCAAAAAGGCACGGAAAAGGATTTTGTCGGAGCTAAGTTCTTTAACCGGCAACGTCGCGGTGGTGCCCAGTCCGACGGAATTGTGATCGGGAGCAGGGAGTGTATTTGGCGGGGTGGCTTAGGAAGAGCGGATACAGTCACAGTGCCTGCGCCCTTAGCAAAACAAAGCAGCATCATCGTGATAACTCGCCACCTTTTGCAATTTCGTTTGAAGTCTCAAAGTAGAACCAGTAACAAAGAAAACCAACGGCAACGCCAGTCATCATTAATGTTAGGCAAGATATGAAATCCACCAGGATCATAAGCCAAGCAAATTCCCTACGACCTAAATTGAATGTTCATTGAAATCAGGCTCTAAATTTGTCGTTCAAATTTGGATCCAATGTGAAATCAGTGAAATCAGCATGTTCATACAAATGAACAAAAATGAAGTTCATTCTAATCCCACACTGTAAGCTAGTGATGATCAACGATGGTTGATCGGATTTCTCATAAATTTAGGGTGATTAGAACAAATTTGAACTTTCATGTTTTACCCCCTGACTGAGACGTCAAAATTTGTGTGTTGTTTGGAACGCTAAATTTTTCCCCACAGGCTGTGACGATAGTCACCATAGATTGATTGCGACTAAGAAACACTGAATCCCACCTAGATTCTGCTTGACATGCAAGATGGCCAGTGTTCACACCGCCCGCGTTTCTTCGTCGTTGATTGTCTTCACACCGTGAAAATTCGGTTGACATTCTAACGGCACAGCCTTGAGCGCTGACACCAAGACACGACCAGTGCCAACACGACAACAACTACCAAGCCTGGTCCCCCCGCAACACGACAACACCTACCAAGCCAGGACCAGAACCAAACCACCAACCACACCAAGACCCGCAGGAAGGTACTAAAAGCACGAAGAAAAATAAAGAAAATTTTGAATTTTTGGTAGTGTTTTTGAATAGAATTTTTGTTTGAATTTGAACTAAAAATTTAGGCAAAATAACCCCCAGCCACCGAGTTCAAATCAACCAACAGTGGTGATTTGCTGCCGTGATATCAATTGCTGATACACGGTCAGAGGCTGTTTGAAAGTAAGAGAGAATTTGTAATCATACACCTACACAGGTGCAAGAGAGACAAAGCGACCAAAGGTGCGCGCTACGAAGCCCGTAACCTTTGCCGAAGCATCGAGCGAGGAACAAGACAGGTACTAAAATTGTACTTATTTTCGGTCTGTTTTCTAAAATCATTGGAAATTTTGAATGCGAGCACACATGGCAAGAGCACAAAAATCGCATGTTAATCCTCCCCAACAAAAACTATTACAGTTTTGGGCGGCGGATTTAACGTACCGAGCAGCAGGCCGGTACAAGAGCAAGGACCCGACAGCAGGCCACGAAAAAGGTACTGAATTACATCGGTTTTTGAAAATAGAAGTCTAAGCGTAATTCTGATTTTGTCTGTAATTGCATCGTGAATTCAACAAGATGATCGCATTTGAAATGCTGAATACCATCTGAATTCGATTGCAAATTTCTTGTACAGGTAGCCGCCTACGCGTGTACCGAGTACAACAGACGACACAACCGCGACGCGCGTGCTCATCGTGAAAAGATGGGGGCGCCGGGTGATGACCATCGTCCGAGCACTTCCGGCACCGTCGGAATGCTGTACGACGCGGAACACGAGGGAGAAACTGGAAAGGACTTCCAGACGTTCAAGGGTAGCGTGATCGCTCAGGCGTTCTCGTTGAACATCGGTCCCCAGTTCAAAGAGGACTTAGAAGGAAAAGTCTGCATGGACAAGTGGGATGAGGTCGATCAGTTAGCCTGCGACCAGTGGGTTGCTGACGGCAAACACGAAAACGACTTCTGGCCCACCTACACAACCGAAGTGCGCTCAGCTTACGCGAAGTTGTATGGTACAGTATTCAAATCCTTAACCGGAAAGGCCCGAGCCAAAGCTCAGGACATTCAGGAAGAGCCCGGGGCTGACGCGTGTGTAGTCTGGTTGATGCTTCAGATCAAGGAAAAGGCTAACCCGCAGACCGCCGGTGCCCGCCGCATGTTGATCAAGGAATATTTCAACAGCAAGCAGGGTGAAGATGAAACCGTGGAAGAACATATTGACAAACTGAAGAACTTCTGGAATTTCAAACTGGGCGCTAAAGTTACGGCCGAAGAGTTACGCTATCACTGTATCTTCGGGAACATGCGCGAGGAATTCGATGAGTGCAACAAGCGTGCCTTGGCTAATGGATTCAGTTTCGAAGAAACCAAGAATCATATGGTCGAGGAAGAACGCGCTCTGTCTAGCAACGGAGAGACCACGAAGCACAAAGCTAATCTGGTCCGCAACAAGAATTCTCGCAACCAGCATGGCCCGCGCCCGGATCACGTTCAGAAGAACCGTGAGAAGCAGATGTTCTCCAATATGTTGAAAAAAGAGATGCCGAGTCTGATCCAGCAAGCCGCTGCGAATCTGATCGCGCAAAATCCGAACTTGACCCAGAATCACTCTGCTGGTAGCAATGACGACAGTCATGCGGCCAATTACGCAGGAGATTCCAAGTGGTGTTCGAATTGCAATTCGGAATCCCACAACACCAAGGATTGCTGGTACAAAAACGGCAATAAGGTCAATAACAAGTCTTCCAATAAGAATTCCGGTAAGGGTAACAACTCGAATACTGTTCGCAAGGGCAACGACAAGCCGAAGGGTGGAGGTAAGAAAGGAAAAGGAAAGAAGGGTAGGAAATACTGAGTCTTAGATGGTGTTTCGAAGAAAAGTAGCTTGTTACACAAACTACAAAAAGTAAGAAAACTACTCTTACGGCTGACGAAAACTCGATGTTATAATACAAATTATTCGCGATGTTTTTCAACTAAATTTTTAACAAAAATACCCCCCCAAAAGAACCCCCCACAAAAAGAACAGCCACCTGGTGATGAACCACCAGTGACTACAAGTCATTTTGAAGAAGATGAATGTGTGTTCGACAGCAAGCTTGACATCTTCAATCCAGATTCTTCATCATTAATCGATATGGATGATTTATTCTCGAATCTCGATAAGAATGAAGATGAAATTTGTACCAATGATGCAGCTGGTCCAACGAGACAGCTGAAAGGAAAACGAAAAAGAGCAGAGCTGGAGCTTGCTGAGCAATTTGCAACCCCAGAGATGGCAAATATGACACAACAAGTCCAGGCTCTTGAGTCGACCGATCGCGAAATCCGTAAGATTTTATTTCCTCGATCTCATGTTTCGGATGCGTCCAAAGCCGAACGAGTTGAAAAATGCAATCTGTCACAAGATGCAGCATTTTCAATCGTAGCAAAAGAAAGCGAGCAAAATCATTCGCCCGAGTACACAGCAAGAAAGCTAGCACACCTCTACAGCGTTCGCGAATCAGCATTGAGGAAGGTGCGCGAGGCGAACGATGCTCATCGGAATAAAAAGGACGAGCAGCTCCGAAATCATGAAACAGCTTTTAATTGTGTCGATGATGCAATTTGCGACAGTGGCGCAACAAGTCACATGTCGGGCCGACCAGAGATTTTCGAATCTTGGGACGACAGTAATCCAGTGCGAATAACTGTAGCAGACGGAAAAGAGTTGGATGGCCCTGGATATTTTGGCACATTGAAACCAAACGCACTTGGTTGCAAGCGTGCAATATTCCATCCATTCCTTCCACAGACCCTCCTCAGTGTCGAGCAACTGAAGAAAGAAGGCTATAGAGTTGTTTTCGACGAAGGGGGCAACTACTTGCAAAGTAGGAAGACAGGAAAGAGAATTTTTCTTCACAAAGGGATCGGAACCAAGTTGCCGGCCGTGGCACTTGGGTTCAACGAAGATCCAGGTGAAAAGGGTTTGTTGTGCGAAGAGATCGAGACAGAGTCCACTATGATGACAAAGGCTGAGAAAATGCTTCTTGATCATCAGCGTGCTGGACATCGTAGTCTACCAGGAATAGTAGTCCGATGTCCTGCCTGCGATCTCGCGAAAAGCAAAGGCGCTCAACATGCAAAAGCGAAGAAAGAATGCTACAAAGTTGAAAAATTCAATGACCAAGTTGATTTTGACGTTACTGGACCGTGGGAACCTGACTACTGGTCGCAAAGATGGGTGCTAAATGCCATCGATCAAGCAACCAGCTGGCCTCGTTCTTTCATCTGCAAAAGCAAAGCAGAAGCAGGCGCAAAGCTGCAGGTCTGGATAAATGAAGAGGGACCACCGAAAAGAGTGAGATCCGACAATGCCAAAGAGTTCAAGGAACCAGGTAGCACTTGGAAAAAGACAGCACAGAAACAGTCCCCGCCGATTCATACTGACTACTCAGCTCCATACGAACCACAAGAAAATGGAAAAGTTGAAAGATACAATCAAACTCACCAGAACGGAGTGAGGGCAATGATGGTCGGAGTCGATAAGCGTATGTGGAGTTATGCAGCACGCACTTTCTCCCACATATTCGCCCGAACCCCTACAGCCAAAGGAGGCGAGTCGCCATTTGAAAAACGCTTCAAAAGAAAACCTTCCATCAAGTATTTCCGACGTTTCGGATGCTTGGTATACGCGAAGGATCACTCACAGAAGTCGAAGCTTGAAGACCGGTTTACCCGTGGAATCTTTCTAGGCTACGCCCAAGAAAATTCTACATACCTGGTAGGCATGTGGTCCGCAGATGGTCGATGTAAGAAAAGCTCCAAAATCCGCTTCGGAGTCCACGAGGTGAAGTGTTGTAAGTTTGATGAATCAGTGCTGGTCAGCAAGATAGATGATCTGAAGCCGGACGCTGACAAGTTGTTAATTGATTTTCCGAATCCGGCGCGTCTGGGTGATAGTTCGCAGCTCGTAGAGCCGAATGTGCCCGCTGTAGATCATGATCAAAGCAGTCGTGGTCAGGACGCTCCGAGGACCGATCGTTCGAAAGATGAAGAAGATGCGGACAAACGCAGTTCGAAGGAAAAAGAAACCGTCGAAAACGACGAGGGCAAGAGTTTCGAAGGGGGTGAGCAACCTGAGGAAGGGGGCGAGGAAAATCAAAACCCTAATCAGGATTGGCTCGATTTGTTTTCAGAGGAGGCGCCTGAAAAATCCCCGAAGCAGAAAAAGAAAGCTGAGAATGGAAATCGAAAAAGAAAGTCTAATACAGTTGATGCTGATGAAAAAGAGAACGAGACACAAGAAGCGCCTAGGATCCTCGTTGAAGGACCTACACGAAAGAAACTTCGCAAGAAGGGCCGAGGGCATGACAAGAAAAAGCGCAAAGAACGCAACGACAAAGGCCAAAGTCGTGGCCCTCGAGCAAAGAAAAGGCAGAAAGTCAATCTTGTGTCGTCATCTGACCTTTTGAAAGATCTACCGATGGAATTTGAAAAAGAAGCAGAAGCTATATTCCAGATTCGTCATGAATTAGAGGAGGACGAAACTCCTTACCTCTTTGGCTTGCAGCACACTTGGGCCAAGTGTCTGGAAAGTCCTGACGCAATCAAATGGATCGAGTCAGATACGAAAGAACGCCTAGCGCTAGAAGAAGCAAATACGTGGAGGCATGCAACCGCAGAAGACATCAAAGAGATGGGTGATAAGTTAGAGATTATCCCGACGGTATGCATCTACACGAAGAAGAGAGACGGACGCTACAAGTGTCGTCTCGTAGCACTAGGAAACAGGCAAAAGCTATCTCTTCAAGGAGAAATATACAGCCCAACTGTGAGCCATGCCGCTAACAGGTATTTACTTGTTGAAGCAGCAGCACGCGGATGGAAAGTTAGACAGTTCGATATTTCAAATGCGTTTGTGCGTGCAGCTCTAGGTGACGAGATCGTGTTATGTCGCCTGCCCAAGCACAACAGCTGGAGCAAGAACAAAGAAAAAGGCGATGTTGTCAGGCTGTTAAAGTCGTTATACGGTCTGAAGATCAGCCCACGCCGCTGGTATGACGAATATTCCGGCAGACTCAAGAAGTTAGGCTGGGTTGTATCCGAACACGAACCAGGTTTGTTCAAGAAGTTTGCAAAAGACAAACAGGGAAAAGAGCAAGAGCTCTGGCTAGCAGTTTACGTAGATGACAACATTATCTCAGGCGAAGATGATGACCTTGTCGCTGCAGAAATGAATGCAATTTTAGCAGAGTTCCCAGGAAAAGAAATTCTCGCAGAATATGACAAGGAAGGCAATGAGATCCGCGACCTTCTCGGCGCAAAGTTGACCTTCAACGCGAAAAAGAGAGTCATGAAAATCACTTGCGAAGACGCAATTGATAAGCTGCTTGAGAAATTTCACATGAAGGACTGCCGCGCAGTAGTTTCCCCATGTTTACCAAATTCCCACGCAGACTTGGACTCGCCGTCGAATTCCACATTTCCGATAAGATCGCTAGTAGGCGGAATGTTGTATATCAGTTGCGTTGCCCGGCCTGATATCGCATTCGCAGTACAAAGAGTAGCGACGCAGGTAGCTAGTCCAACCGACCAAACGGTAAAAGATGCTAAGCGTATTCTGGCGTATTTGAAAGGAACCAAATCGCAAGGATTGGAATACAGCAAGCAGCAAGAGAAAAAGTTCAAAGAAATCTACACAAAAGCCGCAGAGCTAGAAAACAAGGAATACAGAGACACTATTGCTTTCTGCGATGCAGATTTTGCAGGATGTTCTGTAAGTTTTCGATCCACGTCAGGAACAATCCTATATCGACGCGGAGTTCCCATCTGTTGGAAGTCGAAACGTCAATCGATTCGAGCTACGTCAACAATGGAAGCCGAGTATTGCGCGATGTATGACTGTGTAAGGATGACTATGGACCAAGGATATTTGAACTGGTTTTCAGAACAAGAGTCAGGATCTCTACCGTTGATCTTCAACGACAACAAGTCCGCGCTTGCGTTGAGTCAGACAACCGTAGCCACGAAAAGATCCAAGCACATGAGTCTTCGACTACACCTAGTACGAGACTACGTAAAAGACTTGTGCTATGTAAACACGGATATCAATCTAGCGGATGGATTGACAAAACCACTTCCAGGAGAGAAGTATATCCAAATCTTCAAAGCTCCCGCACGAAAAGCTAATGAAGTATTTGCGAAAGCCCACTTTGTTGACTTCAATAATCTCTAGGATTGATTGATGCGAATTTCACACAAAGTCATCTCATCTGATTCATTTCGATGATTTAATGTTCATTCGGAAGGGGGAATGTTAGGCAAGATATGAAATCCACCAGGATCATAAGCCAAGCAAATTCCCTACGACCTAAATTGAATGTTCATTGAAATCAGGCTCTAAATTTGTCGTTCAAATTTGGATCCAATGTGAAATCAGTGAAATCAGCATGTTCATACAAATGAACAAAAATGAAGTTCATTCTAATCCCACACTGTAAGCTAGTGATGATCAACGATGGTTGATCGGATTTCTCATAAATTTAGGGTGATTAGAACAAATTTGAACTTTCATGTTTTACCCCCTGACTGAGACGTCAAAATTTGTGTGTTGTTTGGAACGCTAAATTTTTCCCCACAGGCTGTGACGATAGTCACCATAGATTGATTGCGACTAAGAAACACTGAATCCCACCTAGATTCTGTTTGACATGCAAGATGGCCAGTGTTCACACCGCCCGCGTTTCTTCGTCGTTGATTGTCTTCACACCGTAAAAATTCGGTTGACAATTAACTAACAGCAACAACATCAACATGCTTACTCGGAGCGGAGCAGTAACAGAAGAGGTAGGCGGAGAAAACTACCAGTGTTGCAGACCAGAACTCATTGTAAAACTCCCTTGAGTGTAGTTATCTAACAAGTCTATAATATATTTCAATTTTAATACCCTTGCGCTACCGTTCCTCTCTCTTTCTATTTCTGATTTCAGTTCGACACCTGGTGGCCACCGGAGGCGAAGGGGCTGCCGGGTGGTTGCGTCGGGGGTTAGGACTAGAGCCATGGATGAGGTGGTAATGGCAATAGTCCCTGAATGCCAGCGGCAAGAGGAGGCGCCAACGGCAAACTCCCCCCCGGTGGCCGGGCACTGCTAAAACGGGCGGTGAAACGTCACTGGGGGTGCAGAAGTGGTCTAACCACTCCTGCAGAAGCATTTACCTTCAGGAATTGCACTACAGTATGTGGGAGGCTTTTACCGCTCACCTTGAGAAGCGCACACGTCATTCTATTTCTGATTCCTTGCTTTGGTCGCGGCCTTGATGTTTATTTCCGAGGTTTGTATTCTTTCTTGTTTTGTCTTTGTCACGCTGAGCTACTGCCGCAAAACGAACAAGGACTTTTCGACTAACGATGCGCTACTTGTCATTTACGAAAATAAAGTCGTCGACAGACAGCCGCAATCAAAAAAGTGACACAGTCCGGGCGGTGAAGCCATAGCTCAAAAATCCCATCTGCGAAATATGGGTCCTCTATGCAGGAAGCTTGCTTTGATCGTCTTCTCTTACTTCGGTCTTGCCATGTTTTAGCAGAAACTGTAATAGGGTGCAGCTCTTTCTGTCATTTGACTTCCACTAGACGCAATGTTTCACCTGCGGTCTGTCTGTGCACTCCGATTGCTGGCACCGATAGCAAAGAAACTTTCGATAAGGTTGACTTGTTGAGCTGACAGGAGCGAAAGCGCTGGAAAGCGTGCGTTTCAATCTCCGGTATGAGTGCCGGCGATAAACGACAAACACTGTGTGTGATAGCTTATTCAATAATTTTTTGGAATAAAAAGCATGAGCGCTTGACGAAGTAAAGAAGTAGGTCACTGAGGAGCTGACGCCTCGCCCAGGCGAGCGATAACGTCAAGACGTAGAGGTAGTAAGTTCGTCGTAGTACTGTGTTGTCTGTCTTCCCCGTGGGCTTCTAGTTCCAAAAACAAGAACATGCCCGAGCAGTCGTTAGCGGCTTTGTTGCAGGGAGCCTCCACGGCTTCCTCCTCCTCGTCGTTTAAGCACGTGTCGTCCTCGGACGGCAATGTAGAGGAGGAAGACCTCGCAACCCGCACGGATTACACGTTTCACTACCTGCCGGACGCGAAGTTTCGCATGTGGACCGACCGCGGGTTCCAGATGCTGCTCACCAAGTGGGGCTTCGGCGAGTCCATGTGCATCGGCAAGTGGAGGTTCGAGGAGAAAGTTGAGCCGGGGAACCGAGAGCAGGGCAAGAATTTGGTCACTAGCTTCTTCAAGTCCGAGACCAACCGCGCGGCGCTGCAAGCGCTCGGTGTGAGTGTGTTGGCACCAGCGAAATTGGAGGTGAGAACAGCGCCGGTTGCAATTGACTTCTGTTGTTTTGTACCGCTGGCACGTCTTCTGAGGCCGACCCGGTTAGGAGTGAGGGCCGTAGTGGTGCTTATGCTTGGTAGTCTCTCATAATAAGCACTTAGGTTTCATCTCGTTCGCGTATTGAGATGAAAGTAAAGAACTCTCTTTAGTGTTTCTGCACTGAGCCGACCGCCCAACACTTCTCTACAAAGGTGGAAGTCGAAGACATATCAACGGCGGAAACCAGTATGCGCTTGTTCGAGAAGCTGGAGGAGTGCGGCGCGGTCGGAAAAACGGGGCACATCAAAGGCCGGCTGGACGAGTTTGTAAACGACGTCGTAGTTATATCCAAGGCAAAAAATCTGTCAGCGTAGGCGTCTTGTTGCGGTAACAAAATGACCACAAATTCGTTCTGCATGGCAGTGACATGCTCATCCTGTCATGCGCAGCTAGTACGTCGTGAAAACACGTATGAAGATCGGACATTATTTGATTATGACTTCTGGCGAGAAAGAATGACAATTGTAACTGTTTCGCTTTGTCGTTTTCCGCATTACCGACTTACAATTCCTTACGCATTTTTGCTTGCATAGGCTAACAGCTTGATTCGGGAGGTGTTCTACATGGAGGAAAGCGACCTCTACGACGTCTATACGGAGAAGGACCGAAAAGAGTTTATACTCAGGATATTCCAGCACCTGCAGATTGGTATTTTTTTCCAAGGTTCATGATCAAACGCATGAAGATCGATCCCTAGCGTCATCATAATAATCATCATTTAATTTTGCGCCTTTTATGATGATTTTCCCGATCATTAAACACTTTGATGTAGTACGCGCAAATAATTTTGCGGGAAAGTTGAAGTGGCCACTTCAACTTTCCTCGGATGAGAGAAGTCGAGGTGGCCACTTCGACTTTCCTCCTTTGCGGGAAAGTCGAGGTGGCCACTTCGACTTTCCTCGGATGAGAGAAGTCGAGGTGGCCGCTGCAAGTCGAATATGATTAAATCATATCAGAGCCACATCACCCATCGTTATGACCTGCGGGCGTGTGCTGTCACTGTGACGCGATTATGAAAAATATACAAACACATAGGCGGCGCAACCAATCAATATGAGGACGACATCGGTGAGTACCTAAAAGCAACGAAAGCTTTGTACCGCGACTTTATCGAATGCAAAAATGCCTGGGTCTGGAAGATTGCGAGATTTGTCATGCTTGTCTTTAATGACTCTGGAACTTGTCATGCACATTAGCATTACCCAAGAGCCCCGTTTTTCTGTCATGCAGAAACGCAGTTTGTCATGCATCATAGGCAACACCTAGAAGCTCAGAAACTTGTTTTGCTGCGCCAGCACTTGTGCTTGTGGCCTCCCTGCTCATGATACGCCACCCGGCATCACAAGTTTCCAGACCCAGACATTTTTGCATTTGATAGACTTGGTGTCCGTACGAAAGAAGGATGACGGCGAGCCGGAAGTCACGTCCATGGTGTTTGAGGTACCAAGAATTCTATTTAATATAGAGGGGCAGGGGTGCGGAAGTTTAAGTTTTAAGTATTTCTACTAGTTTGCGGATTGCATGTTGTCCATGTGCATGATCTCCATGTCCAAAAGGCACGTTGGGTCGTGTCCTACTGAGTCAGAGTCTACTGTCGAACATAAACAAGCTATTAACCGAAACCACGCTTCGAGGTGACTGGGTTTAACGGCCAAAGAAACGGTGGCCTTTTCAAGCGGGACCACACGACGAATTATGAAGTGCACGAAAAATATCGTACTAGTATAGATTGCATCACAAATTTTGGCAAGAAGAAAAGAGGAATTCGTAAAAATACTGCCTTGCCTTTACCTTATCCTTAGGAAGGAGATTTGTCATGCGTATTTGCAATCAGTACGAATGCGATACTTTTGCACAGGATACGGATTTCTGTTACCTGATTGTGGACGGTTTGCTGCGCCACGTCACTATGTGGAAGTTTGCGTACGAAAGTGCGTGGTGAACAAAGAAACAGTGCTGGAAAGCTCTTCTTCCTGCTGTGTCGTGATGAGGGTGCGCGCAAATTTTCGCTCTTGCAACCATTCGCACTTCTATGCTGACGCTAGTTCTTGCACTTGCAGGTGCAGAGTTTTTGAATTAGATCTTCGTCGTCTCTTCTAAGGTTTTTGTTCTTTTCCGCGAGTTTCCTTTCTCTGATAAGACTCAGGGGCACCCTGCACAAGCATTCGATTTCGACTTTCATTGTTGTTTTCGGTACCTATCGTGCTGAACGCTGGATAGCGATGATCGCTCGAGCGACTCGATTTCAATCTTGGAGAGTGCACCACTGCCATGTAAGATGAGAGGTTCTTTCGAGAGGAATAAGCTCGGATCCCTTCCCTCGTCGTTAGCATGAGCATATCATGGCGAATAGTCTTCTAGTGAAGCAAAAGGAATTTGTTTGAAAATGAAACTTCACATCTAGTACCATGCGCATGTGGTCAAGGCGCATGATAGAAACTAAGAAGAGCAACAGGTGGACTTAGTTTCCGCTTCTTTCGCGGTTTCATCAATTGAGTGCGATTAGTAGTCAGTGCTTGACCACAAGTAGAACTTTGCTCGCCGCCCTGCATCACGATCCGGCGAGGAACATGAAGCCGGGCTCCGTGGGTGGCGCGGGCGCGCGCCTAAACCACGGAACGGGAGGCAATTCGGCGGCCAGTGCGCCCATAACTACTCCCCACCGCAGCAGCCCTCTATCCCAGGTCGCGGGAAACGCAGTGCTGAAATGGCGCGGCGTCTTCAATTCCGGAGGGTCTTCAAGCAGCACGGCGGAAACACCGTAAGAGGAACCTTGGTTGATAGATCTGCAAGAAGTTCATGACGCGTATGCTTATCCTTATGCTCGCGCGGCAGGTTTCATGTTGTAAGTACTTCCTCCTTGATTTGGTAAAAGTATCGTATACCAACTTTTATCTTCTAACAAAGCCCGGCTCCGTGGTAGGTCTAGGTTGGCAATTTGTTTCACGAACCACACCAACAGAGTTTTATTTGGTCTTCGTGCTGACAGCTACGCCTTGGACGACTTCATATACTTATTCATCATTCTACCGAAATAAACAGTCCTCCGCGCGTGCTCCCCGGAACGACCCCGGTGACTGGCACGACCAAGAACGGTAACTCGTTTTCCGAGTCGGAGGACGCATCCGGCGGCGCGGTATCAAATGCAAAAATGTCTGGGTCTGGAAGAGTCATGCTGTTTTTGCATGACACAGCAGGTCTGGCATGGACGATCTAGCATCACAGGTTTCGAGGAGCTTCCGCAATGCCCATGACAAATCCCCCATTTTGCTGGCAGAAAGTGGGCAGCTTCTGCTACCTATGCACGAGAAATTTTTCTGTGTTCTGAAATGCGCATCACAAGTTTGTATTCTTCCAAACCCAGACATTTTTGCACTCCATACGCGGCCACGAACAGCAACAGCTACAACGAGCACCAGGCGCTTTCCCGCGCCGCCTACGACCTGGACGAGCTTCTGGCGAAAGTAAACGCAGCAAAGGCCGCCGGGTTACCAGGAACAACCGGCTCTGGTACTTCCACTGCGGAAAACGGAACTGGCGGTCTCGGCGGCGGGGATCATGGCACGACAATATCTTCAAGCGGCGGCGCAGCTGGAACAGGAGCAACGGGGCCTTTGCAGCCAGACGGGGCCACGACCGCAACGGGTGCCCCACATCAACACGTGAACATCGTCGGCGGCGGGACGAAAGTGCAGCTCGGCGAGCGCAGCAACCTGTTTTCGACCAAGATGGAGCCGCGACGCGGCGGCGCGAAGATGAAGCTGACTAGGCCCGGCAGCACCAACTCGTCGCAGGATCCGCACCAGGTGCTACCCTTAAGCTCGGCGCTCGGCGGGAGTAACAACAACAATAACAGCCACAATTCCTTTCTGAACGACGGCGGCGGAACAACCGGAAACCACCACCCAACGACCAAGCCGCTCTACGGAAATGGTGCACAGAACAACAACGGCCCCCGAGGGGCGCCGCGGCGGGCCGGGAACGCGAAAACGAACCTCGCGAACGGACATTTCAGCAACTCCTCCAAGGAGTCGGACCACAACGCCAGCACCACATACAACACCTCGTCCTCCGGTGGGGACAGCATATCAAATGTAAAAATGTCTGGGTCTGGAAGATTGCGAGGCTTCTCATGCTTGTCTGGCATGACTCTTAAATCTGTCATGCACGTTACCCAAGAGCTCCATTTTTCTGTCATGCAGAGACGCAGTTTGTCATGCAGAATAGGCAACACCTAGAAGCTCAGAAACTTGCCATGCTGAGCCAGCATTTGCGGCCTCCTCACGATACGCCACCCAGCATCACAAGTTTCCAGACCCAGACATTTTTACAGTTGATACAGCAGTTCCGGGGGCAACGTCTCGTCTTCGAACAACTCGCTAAACGGAGACGTGAACAACGGGTCCAGTATATCCTGAGTAAAAACGTCCCCACCCCAGAGTTGTCATGCAGATTTGCGACTACAGGAACATCTGGCATGCGCAGACCCAAGAGAGGCATTTTATTTTTAAGTCGTGTTTTGGTATTTGTAATGCTGAAAACAGGATGAGCAGATGGATTTGTGATGCGATTTCCGTTGCTAACCTGCACTACACTACGGACTGCAACTTGTCACGCATGCGTCCCAAAACTTCTGGATTTGTGTTGCCAAGTTCCCAACTTGACTATGGGGTGGGGACGCTTTTACATATGATACAGTAACCAGCCGGGCGGGACGAGGAACAGCAGCACCGCCTCCGGCGGGGGGGGACCACATTTCGGCGGTAGTGGGGAGCAGCAGCCGGGCGGGGCGGGCGGCAGCAACCAAAACACGCGCGAGCGTCGGCCCTTTTCCTTCTTGAATCCGCCCGGCGGCGCGCAAGTGAAGAGGCGGAAGACCACTGTCTTCCGCGACGACCGCTCGCACATCGACTCGAGGCAAGTGGTGAACCGGCTGCTGCTCGCGAGCCTGGAAGCGGCCCAGGCGGGGGGAACAACTGCGGCGAATGTGAAACGCAAGTGCGGGTGGGCACCTCCGCCGACCGCGGTGCTGTTTCCTCCAAAAGACGACGACTTCCTGCTGTCGTCCGATGTCAGCAGTACTACTTAGAGCCTTATCGAACAAAAAAGGGTGGATACATGTTGAATACAAGATCAATACTGCCACGAAAATCGAACAACGGCAGTGATCTTTTTCTGTGTTTCTTCCATCCTTCTTGTTTCAAGTATAGCTATAGTTACTATACTGCTGGTCACCACCAGCAAAAAAAGTCCTGGTGGTCACCACCGGCAAAAAAAGTTGAGGTGGTCACTTCAACATTCCTCGGATGAGAGAAGTTGAGGCGCTCACTTCAATTCTCCTCCGTTGAGGGAAAGTTGAAGTGGCCACTTCAACTTTCCTCGGATGAGAGAAGTTGAGGCGCTCACTTCAATTCTCCTCCGTTGAGGGAAAGTTGAAGTGGCCACTTCAACTTTCCTCGGATGAGAGAAGTTGAGGCGCTCACTTCAATTCTCCTCCGTTGAGGGAAAGTTGAAGTGGCCACAGACATCAACTTTCCTCGGATGAGAGAAGTTGAGGCGGTCACTTCAATTTTCCTCCGTCGCGGGAAAGTTGAAGTGGCCATTTCAACTTTTCTCGGATGAGAGAAGTTGAGGTGGCCACTTCAATTTTCCTCCATTGAGGGAAAGTTGAAGTAGCCACTTCAACTTTCCTCGGATGAGAGAGGTTGAGGTGGTCACCTCGATTTTCCTTCGATGAGGCAAAGTTGAAGTGGCCACTTCAAATCTGCTTCGATGAGGGAAATATGAAGTGGCGACTTCGAATTTCCCTCGATGAGGGAAAGTTGAAGTGGCCATTTCAAATTAATTTCCTTCCTTCGATGATTCAGCGGGCGCGCGGTGCTCGTTTGCCTTCGAATCTATGCAACGCCACTGGCTGCGTATGGGGTGAGTAAATGTGCGCGCGCACGAGCGCGCGCGCGATATTTTTTTGGTTCTACGGCTTGCCACAGCCTGGTGCCCTGTGTCTTGGTGGAATGAACTAACTTTGCGCGCTTTTTGAACTTACTCCCTTGAATCCCTTGAAAAGTGGCGCTGTACTCCTACTCCCTTGGGTGGCGCCAGACACTAATAAACCTATATAGTACGCACCAGGTAGACTTCCTTCCAGTCACCACCGCTGACAGATTCTCATCAAGAATGGAAGCCGCGTGTCCCCTTTTTTTAACTTCTCCACTTTACTACAACAGGCGTCGATGGCCCCACGGCACACGGGCTCGGTTCCGGCGCGAGCGGGTTTCCTCAGGACACATCGCAACTTCTGGATTTCAGTGCGAATTTCGAATCTGCGAACCTGCTCCACGCCGCGCACGTGGAGGTGAATGGGGCCGAGGACCACAACAGCTCGCCTTGGATCACCCCTGGAAAGGAGGTGGAGACGAGCCACGTCGAGGCGCCGCACGGCATCGTCGCGGAGTACGAGCTGCAGATGCGCTCGGACTCGCAAGTTCCGATAGACCGGGCCACCTGCCAGTGGTTTCTGTTCGCCGTGAAGAACAAAGCGCCCGGGAAGAGCTACCGTGCGCGGATGAAGATCTGGAACTTCCGCAAGCCCAAATCCTGCTACCAGGTCGGGCTGCAACCCTACATCTACCGCGTCAAGACCGGGAAGGACACCATCGACAACGTGTGGAGCGGCAGCTCCTGCCGCAACGTCGACTACGCATGCTACGACCCGACATCGGCGTCGACAGGAGCCACCAAGGCAGATCCGTCGGGGCGGGGAAGATGGTACTTAGTTGATAAAGTGATGACGGAAAGCTAATTCGCATGCAGGAGCAGGACCACAAGGTCTCTCTCTGAGTATGTACTTAGATGTAGATTGAATAATTGCACATGATTCATGGGTCTCGTATGTAAAGAAAACCCGTAGAGGTCGTGAACCGGGAAAGATATGATAAAGAAGACGGACTTAGGGTTCAAAAATGAAAGTGTGAAACCAACAGGGGTCCTCTCTACAACGTCGGGAACCCTCTCGGCGTCGAGAAGCAGCCGACCATTCTCCCCACCGGAGCGTACAGTGGCGACACTTTCCCCGCGCTTCCAAAGTCGGAATACTACCAGCTTTCCTTCGACGTGGAATTCGAGCACGATGACGAAGTTGTCTTTTTCGCGGCCTACCCCCCATACACCTACACGATGCTGCTGCGGTTTCTGCGCGAAGTTGACCAGCTGAATTCCCCAAACATCGCCAAGAAGGAAATTGGCCGCACCCTGGCCAACATACCGGTGCCGCTCTTGATTGTGACCAACCCGAAGGTGCAGGGCAGCAGCAAGAAGGACGTCGTCGTGATAGCAAGGCAGCACCCCGGCGAGTGCGTGGGCAGCTGGGCCGCCCAGGGCTTCATAAAATTCCTGATTGGCAACAGCAGTCTGGCGAACCTGCTCAGGACGACGCACGTGTTCCACATCGTGCCAATGGTCAACGTGGACGGCGTGGTGTACGGAAACAACCGCTGTACCTTGCTGGGCGTCGATCCGAATCGATGCTGGGTGGAACCGAATGCGGTACGTATTTTTAGACTTTGATTTTTCTGTCTAATGGAAAATCACGTCTATAAGATTTTGTAGATCTTTTTCGTGTTTTTCGATTTTTCATGAGACACGATCGAACTACCTTGGGAGCGCGTGCGCGAAGATTCAATTCCTTGTTAATTAAGAAACTACTACAAAGTTGTTCTGTGCTAGATGAACGCGCTCGTAGGTGACGATCATGAAGCTGCATAACAATCTGATAAAACAGGTCTTGCATCCTCTGGTGAGCAAGATCAAAGCGTATGTGAGTAGCTTGAACAACAGCCCCGGCACGAATAGCGGGAATAGCGGGAAATATCCCGGAGGCGGGAACTCGAGCGCGACCGCGACCAGTCAGTTCCAGGGCACGGAGAAGATGCAGTCGGAGCTGACGTCGAATTTAACGCAAAAGTCCACCTCCGAGTGGGTGATGCAGAGCGAGAACACGCGAGCAGGCTTGAAGGACGTGGAGGACTTCTCGGATCGGGACCTGGAGTCGATCAAATCCGGGAATTACCTGCAGATCGACTACGACAACAGCAACGCGAACTCGTCCACTCTGAGCGGCGCCAGCATCTCCAGCCGGCCGAACACGGCGACCGCGACCACCGGGACGAAGAACGTGGTGCTGTTCCTCGATCTCCACGGGCACTCCGCCCGAACGCATGCTTTCCTCTACGGGTGTCTGCCGCAAAACATCCGGGTGAATGGGCAAAACATCACGCCGCCGCTGCTGCAGGCCGCGTTCCTGGAGGAGGAAACCAACATCGAGCTGCAGAAGCAGCTACTGGGGAAGAAGTTCGTGGAGGTCACGGGGACCGGGACCACGGTCGTAAACAACGGCCTCGCGGCGGGAGGCGCGACGGCGACCGGTGCTGGGGACGGAGCCGTGGGCGCGGGGATGGGCGCGGGGGCAGCAAATGGGACAATGAACAACAACGCAGGGAATACGGTAGGAGGAAGCGGGCACCAAAGCGGGGGCATGGCGGGGGGTGATACAACTGGAGCGGCAGCGGGGACAGCGGTCGGAGGAACGACAGACGACGCTTCAGGAGCTTCGCAGAACAACAAAGACGCCGTACCTCGGCAAAATCAAATCGTGGTGCCACCAAAAATGTTGCGACTCTGCGCGCAGCACGCCGCGTTCCCAAAAATCTGTGCGCTCGCGTCGACGGACTTCTGTCTGGCGCACTCCAACTGGGCCGTCAGCAAAGCACACCGGCGGGCCGCGCGTTGGGTGTTCTACAAACAGCTGGACATCGTGCACTCGTTCACGGTGGAAATTTCGCTGTTCGGCATTTGCTCGCACGGCAGTCGCAAGCCCGAAGGCCAGCGTAGCATACAGCTGTTCACGCCGCGCCGCGCCGAGTGGATCGGCGTCGCCCTCGGACGATCACTTGTGCCACACCTGCAGCCAGACAGCACCAACGCACTTGAAATCGCAGCTAGTCCGTCGAGCTTGCCTTTTCTTACCTTCGACAAACTTCAGGGCGAGAAGCTGATCGAGAGGGTACGTGTACACCTGCTGGCTGCTGTTGCTGATTGGATTCAGTTTCATCTGATAGTAGAGTACATAGATTAGAACATTTGGTTGAGGTACGTACTTACACATTATGAGTGATGCTTTTCACGCTTTCATTTCCGTTACTAGGATATGGCTATGGGACGGGTGCAGGACACCACCGACGCAAATCAACCCAAGTACTGAAAGTTGGCTTACTGAACTTTCTCATGGTGAAAAAACAGATTCTCCGGTCCTTCGAGATGCAGCTGCAAGAAGTGTTCTCACGCGATAACACTCTTTCTGGCCTCATGTCGAAGATGGACGTGGGCGGGCACTCAGACAGCGACCACAGCGGTGATGTATCACAGTGAAAAATGCCCCCACCCCCAAATTTGCACAAATTTGTGATGCGAAGTTTCCAAATGAAAACTTTTTGTCATGCATAAAAGGAGTATGAGTCTTTGTTTCTGATGGATGCAGATTCTCGGCTTGTATCGCATCGCTTGCATGACAAGCGCCGCTCTTGCTGGGATCTGTTGCGATACAAATTTTCGCTATTCACGATTGGAAATCTGTGATGCTGCTAGATGCAAGAGGGCGAATGCTTCTGTTGGAAAGGTTTGCAATGCAAATGCTCCCAAGTTCGGGGGTGGGGGCGTTTTTCATGGTGATATGATGAGGAGAAAACTTCCAAGAAAAAGAAGAAGGCGAGCGCTACGGGAGATAAAAAGGACTCCGGCGGTGGTGGGGACGCCAAGAGCGGAGGCAACACGGGCGGCGGAGGTGGCGGAAAAAAGAAAACAGCTGGGGGCGCGACCGGCGGAAACAAGAAGAAAAAGACGGGAAAGTAGTCGAGAAGTTGATGAAGCCTTTGAAGGCCTAATTTCCGAAAGAACTTGGTGCAGACAATAACAACTGAGCTATCTGTTGTCGTGTGTACAAAAAACAATACTAACTGGTTTTTCTGCACCGAGTGACCGGCTCATGGTCCGGGTCGTCCGTACGTCGCTTCTTTTTTTTTCTCGAACCCATGCTTTATCTACCTACTCCTACACGCACCGGGGTTCGTACTTACACATTTTTTCAATAAGTTGAGACTGTTGTGTTTCTGATTATTCGGACACTTCTTGACCTATCGCGGCCCGTTTCTTTCCGTATCTATTCGAACTTATGTCATCAAGCTATGAGTATGAAAAATTTATTGGAGCAGTAGAGAAATAACAAGCCGAACTGCAGGAGACTTTTGCATCTTTGATACTGTGACCAAAATTACCGAAAGTACAAAAGCTGAGCTTTTCACCTGAACATGTTGTAAATTCGTCCTCTAATGAATAGCGTTCTTTGGTGGATTTGGCTAGTGGTTTCGCCTCTCGTCAGTCTTTTCCCAATTCACAACTAGTGGTCCTCTTTGTAGAGAGACCGCGAAATTTGTTGAGATGACGCAGTCGCAATCTATTGCTAGGAGCGAAGCTGCAGACGAGTACCAGGCTGAGCGGAGCTCCACCGTTTTTCATGTGTTTTTTTCAACACAAAAATAGAAATACCGGAAGCGGTGAGGCACTGCCGTCAATTCTGGGTACTTGAACTTATGTCATGTTGAGACTGGTTTTGCGCAACTTGACTTCACTTTATTCATTTCTACTACCGAACAAGTTGAAACTGTTGCCTTGTTGGTCCCTAAAAGGAGAACAGCGTGCATTTGCAGCACATCTAGTGATGAATATCAGCGAACTACAAATCCCTATCCTCGAAGATATTGAAATGTGTGCCGAACAGGCGAACCTTGTTCCTCTTGTGTCGCAAAAGGACGCACTCGCATGTTCGCCATACGAAGAAAATTGAAGTCTAACTCGGTTTTGCATGGGGCCGCAACCTTCAAAAAACTGCACACGCGGACAGATGACGACGACCAGAATGCGCTCCGCTGATTTTCTTCGCAAGGTTTGTACGCAACGCATCCAGTACAGATTGAGACTTTATGGAGCGGTGGACTCTTCTCTGCGATTCTGGCGGCACTGGAAATGAACATAACGATCTTGTTGCTTTTGACGTTTGGCACCGGTGTGATAGATCCTTATCCAGATCTCCGGAATCGTCGGTTGGAAAAAACAAAAGACCGAAAAAGCGACCGAAAATCTGCCACGGTCTTTCCACCTCGCCATTTCACAAAATCCTTATATTTTTTGCACGGCACAGGACGGAGTAGGTCGTCGAGCATGTACAGCAACAAAGTAAAAAAGCTTGACGAAAACTATGCCACAGGAAATATAGTGTCTGGAAGAATATAAGAATCACGAATAGAAAGACGCAGAACAATATAAAAGAGACCGGTACGCGCTGAGGCCTAGATTTGTAATCACGATGCTACGATGAGGGTTACTATTTTTGTGTCGCGCATACCATCGGGGAAAGCAGGGGGCCCCCGCCTCCCGCCCTCTCGCCCGCTGCGTATCCCGCTTGCAGGGGGCCCCCGCCCTTCCGCCTGCCGCCTCCACAGGGGGCCCCCGCTCCTCACCGGGGCCGCCCGCCTGGTGAAACAGGGGGCCCCCGCCCCCCGCCCTCTCACCCGCTGCGTATCCCGCCTCCGCAGGGGGCCCCCGCCCTTCCACCTCCGCAGGGGGCCCCCGCTCCTTTCCCGGGTCGCCCGCCGGAGGCCACAGGGGGCCTCCGTCCTTCTCCGCGGTAAGTCTCTCTCGCCCGCAGGGGGCCCCCCACCTCCACCTTTGGTGCCCTAGGGGGCCCCGCGCCTTTCTCTCCCGCGCGCAGGGGGCCCCCGCCCCTGACTCCTGGAGTCCGCCTGTGGTGCCCAAGGGGGCCCCCCGCCTTTCTCTCCTGCCCACAGGGGGCCCCCGCCCCTCACTCCTGGTGTTCGAGGGGGTCCCCCGCCTTCCTTTCCCACTCGCAAGGGCTCCTGTCAAGTACATCGCTCCGCGCCCGCAATAGGGGAAACGCAGCGGGGCCCCGCCCCGCATTCACCCCCGTTGCCGCAGGCCGGGAGCTCGCGCTGGCGCCCTGCCCTCCCAAGAAGTGGCAACACATTCATGGGCCCCGCGCGGCTGAAGTACATAACCAGTAGCGACGCCTAGGCCTCTGCGCGGGGCCAACCGCAAATACGCGGCTGGGCCAACCAGTAGCGCCGCGTGGGCCTCTGCGCGGGGTCAACCGCAAGTACGCGGCTGGAGCAGGGCAGACGTACGCAAAGGCCCGCGCATAGCGCCTGAACACACGGCGACGGCGACGTGGGACGGCGGGCACAGAGTTGGACAAGCTGACTGTGGCCGCCGACGTGGGAACGCTCGCACGCTGGCCGCGCGTGCCGAGGTGATCGGCAGGGGCGGCCTGCGCGAGCGGGGGGCCTCTGCAAGAATTAGGGGCAGCAGCCCTGTTGGGCTGTCACTGGTGTCCATGTTGTTTAGGAAGGCCGCAGGACTTTTGTGCTCGTTGGGTGTCAATGCGCCGCATTGACAACGAACCAGAGCAGTGCGTTGGGGAATACTGCCCACATGCGCCGGCACACGCACTACGCGCGCGGGAAAATATTGCCCCCAAGCGTTGGCGCCAACATGTGCCAGGGCACGGACGCAGTGCGCCGAGCAGCCGGAGCCATGCTGTTAGGGCGTGCGGATTCTGACCCGCGCCGGCAAGGGCCACCACGGAAAAAAGTAGACACGCGCCCGGGCGCGCAACGGAAATATTGCCCACATGCGCCGCGGTGCGGGCTAGCGCGATGCCAGGCAGCCGCAAGCCTGGCGCGGAGCGTTGCAAGAGGAGGCGCTCCGTGAAACAGGGCCCACACCGTCGCGACCCCAACGCGCGACGGTCGCGACAAACCACGGAAACCAACTCCGGACGCTGGCGCCATACCATTGGGGTTCGAGAGAAAGTCGCCGCGCTTGTTCCGATTTGTGTCACGGCGAGACACATCGTGAAAAAAGGACCCTGCCCTCGTGATTCGGCTGCGCGGCTTTCGCGAAATATCGCGGAAAAGCAGAAAAAACCAATGCCGCAAACAGGGCCCGTAGCATCGCGATTCGCGACGCAAGCGGTAATTTTTTGCACGATTTTTTGCACGGTGCAAATACTCGTGCAACAGAGGCCCTACCATCGCGATTAGCATAGAAAACACAGCAACTTTTGCACGATTTTCACCAGTTTCACGACAAATCCCGGGACTCGGGAAATCCCGGGATTCCGGAAAGACGTGAGTAAAAGACAAAAGCAAAAACCAGAAGACTCCGAAGGGCCAACCCGCATGGTATGGCGCGCGTAGGCCAATAAAGTCCTTACGTTTTCGTAATGTAAAAAAAAGCCGCTTCACGAGGGCACCACGCCCGGGTATATACGCAAGGTTTGACCCCAATCACGATGCTAGTGCGAATAATTCTGGGCCTCAGCGCGTACCGTTCTGATATAAAAACAATCCTCACCTACACAGACATTCGATTTCTTCATCTTGATGGTGAAGTAGTATTCTTGAATGAACAGATATGAGCTTCTCAAAGTAAAAGAGTTTCAGTTCGGATGTTCTTCGTGTGAAGTTGCTTCGCGGAATTTTTATGATTATACCCGCTAAGCGGTACACCCACACAGTCACAGACACACACATCAATGAACATTGCTTATCTACTTTAGTAGAGGCAAAAATAGAAAATAACCGTTGTCTTTTTGTTTTCGGTTTGGAGGAAGTAGAACGAGGAATAAGATGTACCGAGCTAAACTGGAGATCAATTCTTCGGACCCCACGCGGGGCCGGATCGAGGTGCAACACCAGCACGTGAACGCAGGGCACCTGATCCAGAAGACCACGATGCCCGACAAGCAGGCCGCGAGCAAGAAGCCGGAGAAGGTGAACTCCGAGTCCCTGAAGCAGTCCATCGCGCAGTGGCGCGCCGAGTTGAAAGCCAAGGAGAGCAACGTGGAGCAGCGGGTCACCACCCTGGACCTGATCGACCTGTCCGGGCAGGAGATCGGCACCGCGGGCTTCGACGCGCTGATGGCGTTTCTGCGGGAGTTCGACCTTGGATTCTCCATCCTGAAGGTGTACAAGAACCACCTCGGCAACGAAGCGGTGAAGGCCCTGGCCGTGTACCTGAAGGCGCAGCGGCGACCGGTGCACGAAATCCACCTCTCCGACAACTACATCACGGAGGAAGGCATCCGGATCCTGTTGCGGTCCATCGGGAGCTTGCCCCGGTACCCGGCGGTGAACATGAAGACCACGGCGAACGGCAGTCTGGAACTGCACCTGCAGAGTCTGTACGTGCGGGTGGACAGCAACATGATCAAGCAGAAGACCATCACCGATCCGGCCTTCCACGACGAGCTGCGGACGATCCGCAACCAAACGCAGAGCAACTGGTCGGTGAAGACGTCACGCAGGGGGGAGGCGAAGTCGGGCAAGAAGGCCAACGTGTTCGAGTGCGTGGAGGACAAAAACGTCTCCCTGGGGTTGGACAAAAGGAAATACCGACTGCAGGACATCGGGTTCGTGGGCCGCGAGCCCTTCAGCTACCCGACGCTGCTGGAGGCGCTGCCGCAGGAGATTCCCATGGTCATCCTGTTCAAACTCGGCATGCAGTGGGACCGCTCCAGCGTAAACCCGAGCTCGATCCCCGCCGGCGTGCACGAGCCGAGGACCTTGATGCTCTTGCCGCAGCAGGTGGGTAGTACTTCGAGCGGGGCGGGCGGTGGTCCGCTGACCAACGTGTTTTCCCCGGCACAGCACGAAAAAGGAGCGATAGCTGGCCCCGGGGCAGCGGCAAGCAGTTCGGCGGCCCCGTCGAACGCACCGTGGGCAGCAGGAGCAGACTCGAAATTGTCGAATGGCAGCAGCTCGTCGTCAGTGGCGGAACCCCCGGGGGGAAAAAAGATGACCGACCTGGAGCGCGCCGAACAGCTTTTAGGGCCGGAAAAACTGGACTTGCCGATCTCCCTCAAACAGCACATGCGAAAACGAATATTCGCGGCGCAAACAGTGGGGCGCCTGGACATTGATCCGGAAGAGAGAAAAATAGAGGAAATTCGTCCTCCTGGCGGCTGTGCATTTCCAGAGCCCGTGGTCCGGACAGTGTTTGCACCGAGAGGAAATGGGGCGGTATTTTTGAGTTGTATCATCTTTTTTTGGAGGACAAAAAAGTAGTGATAGGGACAATCATGAGTCGCACTCGCGAACGCGATCTACTGCATGTTGTTGCACTTAGACTTAGATAATGAGCGGCATTGCATATTGGGCTCACGCTCACACAAACACAGGGAGCATGATCGTGCGTCGAATTTGTCAAAATAAGGCTGTGAAATACAACAAAGTAAATTATCCGACAAAACAGACAAGTTCGTCCGCCGGATCTTCCTCAGGCGGCGGGAACCGCGTCAACGGCACTACAACTGAAGCGACACTTCCGGCTTCCATAGCAGCGACAAGTCCTCATGTCCCAGCAGTCACAAGCCGGACCCCAACGTCGCGTCAGGCCCCGCTGTCAAACGGAGTAGGAACCAGTACGACAACGGCGTGGCCCGCCGCGGCTGCAACTAATGCTTCACAAGGCAGAGAGATACGAGCGAACTCCCAGGCGTCGGCACCTTCCTCGCAGGCACCGACGTCCCGCGCTTCCAGGGCCGAACTCACCGCACCGCACCCAGACGCGACAACGCTCGGAGAGACGCTGCTGGACCAGCTCCTCGACGCGGGGGATTCACCGGAGGACCAAAACGCGGGCGCCGGAACTGTCTCTCCACCTGATGAATCTCCCGCGACAGACGTGGATGTGACCCCAGGTAAGTAGTAATTATGTATAGTACTCACGTAGATCATGACCTGATTTCCCGACGCCATCATACAATCATTGGTCCTTGCTGCAGCTTCAAAGAAACCGACGAAAGTGAACGCGCTAGCGAGCTGCAAGTAAGTCTTGCAGTTGCATGTTGCTTTTCATCAGGGCCTCCTTCGTGTGTGATAAGTGATATCCAAGAACCCAGAGGTAGAGGAATGAGTCATATTCGTGATTATGACACAACGTCTGTCATGAAGAAGAAGAATATTTCGTATTGATTTAGTCCAACTCTATCACATCATCTTCAATATCAGACATGGCGCAGCCGAACCAGAGCCCGCCCATCCTGCCGGCCAAGTGGGTGGCTGAAGGCGGCAACATGCCGGACGAGTTACTGTTTACTTTCATCCAGTGTCTCCAGACTGATCTGCAGGGCTACTTCCGTGAAGCCCATTCGGCCAGCACGTTTGCCCCGCCACCTGACAACTTTATCCGGGAAGCCGTGCTGTATTTTGGACCGGAAAAACACGAAGAGATTCTGGACTACGTGCGTCATTGCGTCGAGGACTTGAAGTCCGACCTGAGCCGATTCTTGTGAGAACCACGGTTCTAGTTGTACCTATGCATCTGGGGCGATGCTCACATATATCCAGAACAACGTCAACAGCACGGGCGTGCTGGCGAGCGTGTTTGTTATACTCATGGCTGAACCTGCACCTCCTGCGGCCGGGCTGTCGCAACGTTTGTGCCACTTCTACTTGCCTCGCAGATTGTGACGATCCATTAATTTTGCGGCGCTCTTGTGGGCTCTACTTACGCGCTCAAAGCCCTTCGAGACAGAAACAACGCGGATCCGCTACAGGAGCCGGCTGTGCTTTGTCGCTGTTTTTAGAAGTGTCCCGCTATCAATCCATCATTCATATCTTTGGTTCAAAAGCTGGCGAGCGCACGGCCACAAGTAGTTTTTCAATGGAGTAAGTACTTACCTCTAAGGTGCCGAACTGCCAAGCACGAGGACACCGGTCGATCGGGGGTGGTGCTTCAGCATCAGAAGACGCATTCGCGCCTCTTCTTCTGTCTGTCGTGCGTCGCCCCCTGCTGAGGCCGTTGGAGTCCATCTCGCTTTTGCGTTAAATTGTCTTTACTTACTTTTCTAGCGACTACAATGCGACACTCATGTTCATCATGACCCTAACATAGACATAGGACGACTTTTTTCCAAGAATAAAGAAAAAGAACGAACCGCGTTGACGATTATTCCGGCCATTTCCACCACACAGACTGCCGTCTATCGAGGAAAGATGGCACGATGTCCTGCCGGCAAGAAAGTTCAAAGCGTTTTCCACACGTAAAAGGGGACCTGCACCCCGTTCCCGTCATAGTGAATTGGATAATGCCGTGGGATCTATTTTCATGAACAAGCGAAGGTGAGGCTCGGTCCTTCGCACGTCTACTCACGGATGAAAAACTGTACCTGTAAGAGATCGAAATCAGATTTCACTTTTTGTCATACGGCACTAATATACTGAATATCACATCGGTTTTATGCATTGTATTCGTTTTCTCGTTCGTCCTTGTACTACTCTTATTCCCTCTTTTCTCCGTTCGTGGTGTCCGTTCGTGGTGTACGGGGAATGGGCGCGACAGTGCAGTCGTCTCATCGTTTTCGCCATTGCTAGTTTCACGGAAGTATTAACACCCACCCGTCTCATCTTCGTCACGGGGACAAAAGAATTCTGATTGTGTCGCTTTGTTGCACATGTGTGGAACCACAACTACCTCGCGAGACCGATTATATGGTGTCCATTTATTCTCCTCTCATTAGGTTTTTTTCAATATGCTTTTGAGACGAGTATCGATATGCGAGCAAACTTGACGTTTGGCGACGCTTTCATCTGAAACAGGCGAGGCAGGGAACGAACACGAGGAATCCGAAGAGAGTCACCTTGCCATCTCAAGATGACGGCGCACGAACAAGCGACCGATGCCAAAAAGACCGGCGATGATAACGCTCCCGGATCAACAAGCACATACTCGAATGACGAAGCGGAAGAGGAAATCACCCGGAGTGAGTGTGAGGATTGCAGTCTAAATACGACCTTTTCATCTTCCAGAAACAGCGGCACCGAAGTAGACGGGCAGGGGTCAGATTCGGGCTCAGATGAAGATGTAGAGGACGGAGATGAAGACGATTACTACAGTGAGGGGAATCTTCCCACGTCCTTTTTTCCGAGCTTAGCCCAGGACTATGACGAGATGTTTTTTCACCGGTTCCGGCCGCTTGCGAACCGACGCGAGTATCCGACTCTGCTGGACACAGAAATTTTCGCCGGGGAGAGCACTACCGAAAGTGCTGGTCTCTACGATGAGAAATCTCCCTTCGGTTCGGACGAACCCAAGCTAATCATGAGATTGCGCGAAGCGTTGCAGATGTGTGAGCAGTTGCGAAACCGGATACCCAAATTCGGCAAGGCATTTTTCCTCGCGCACCTTGTCGAGATGATCCTGTTCCTCTTCTGCTGCAAGACGACAAGGGCGAGCTTCACAGACCTGTGCTTCTCCGAAGCCTTCAACCTGAACTTTCAAGGAGCGGTCTTCGCGCTGCTCGGCATCGTGTTCGGAACGATCGGGTTTTGCAGATTTTCCGGGCCCGTGCGGCTCACGTTCGAAATCGTGGGGTTCAGCGCCGCCTTTCTGCACATCCTCGTCGTCGCGCTCTACCACACGTGCCGGTTTTTTCTAGCCGCCTCGACCGACGCGCTGCTGGACTCGATTGTGGATACCAAAATCTGGCACAGCTGGATATCCGTCGCGGTTGCGTTTCTGAGTGGCTTCGCGGCGCCAGTGTTTCACGAGGCGTTGATAGACATAACCTCGGACAAAACGAATCCCGAGGAGGAGGACGTCAGCGACCTCGTGTGGGAATTGTTCTACGTTTCTTGAAAATTATTCTGATGTAAATTAATTGGAGCCAAAAGAATTCAAATTTTCGAAGAACAGGAGCAGGTTGCAGCAGCAACGGCTTCTATATGGTATTTTGTTTCTCGTCTCGCTCTCACTCGCACATCCATGGACATGTAAGACTTTTTAGTGTATCCTTGGCATTGGACAGATTGATTGCGTCGACCTTCATGTGCCCACTGAACTTGTACCCGTAGCGATATCAACAACATCTCCTCATGCTGTATCCAGATTTTGACCTAATATTTTGAAAACGAATCATTTTTTTTGTTCGGATTGGATTCGAGTACTATGTATGTGCAAGCTTCTCTAGTATGCCTGTGGTACTAGTTGCGTTCTAGTTGTCGTTTCTTTATTTTGCCCGCGGACTCCGAAGCGAGATAGAGAGTGAATTATCGTCTATGCCACCACCTCTGAGATCTGATGTCCTGTACTCTTGGAATCGCATCAATCGCAACATTTTCGTCTGGTCGTCATCGTGCATTGTTTTCGCTTTCGCTACTTTCCTGCCTCGTGGTTTCTTATTCGAATGCAACGATGATCGTCAAGGAAAGGCAGCAGGCTTGCAGATCCAGATGAGGAACACGATCGATCATGAGAAACACTTGAATTTTTTGATTTCCATGATTCCCTGTGCTTTTTGTTATTCGCACGCGCACTCGCATTTGTAGAAGTTTATGGTTTTTTCAACATCAGAAATAAAGCGAACACGTTGAAAAGCACCCTCGGCCGAGATGTCGTCGGAACAGCCAGCGGAGGATGAGGTAACCGAGCAACTAAACGTTAACGCCACAGCAGAGCATGAGCAGGATAAGGACGAGATCGGTAGTGTGGACGCTTCGGAGGACGGCGGGAGTGAGGAGTCGTACTTCGTCCGGCCGCGACGCAGATTTTATCCGAGTCTTTCGCAAGAACTGGGAGACTTCTATCTGCCGCAGTTGGTGAACCGTCAGCAGTTTCCGACGCTGCTCGATGCGGAGCGTTTTGACGATGAGGAGATCGCGGAAATTGCAATGTTTGACGAAGCAACACCGTTCGGTACAGAGGACGACTTTTCGTTGCGACGGCGCGCGCTGCAGGAAGCTCTGCGTGCGTTGGAAGAATCGAAGGAAAAGCTTCGCGAGGCAGTTGAGGATGCCAACCAACTTGGAGACGAAGCATACGAGCTCGCCCAAGAGTATACCAGGATGTTGAGCCGAGTGTGGAACTTCTTGATGCTATTCAACGTCGGAGCACTGGTCGTCTTGGGAATGATGTCGCTGTTGTTCTTCGCGGGATTTTGGCGCGGTGGAATTTGTCGCCAGCTCGGGCACGCTTTTGCATACCTACTGATTACTCCGTTGTGTCGTGCAGCGCATGAGCAGCACCGGCCAGTTCGCATCTCGGCGCGTACGCGACTAGACATCGACCTGTTGTGCGTCGCCGTTTCGGCCGGGTTTACTGCCTCTGCGGGTTTGACGTGCGCGGTCTTGTACGGGCACGCTGAAAGCTGGGAGGATCTCGTCTACCTTGCGGTCAACTTTCGGCTCTCGACCGGCACTTTCGCTGTGTTCCCTGTTAGCTTCTTTCTCGCTGTGGCAATCTACCGTGTTTATAGAAGTTGGAAGTACACCACCCTGGACAAAGCGAATGCGGCGAGTGAGACCGAAGGACAAAACGGTGAGTTCTCATCGTTCTCGCTGTACGAAGTATTTTACAGCGCAGTAAACCCCGTTCCTCTGGCGCAAATCACCGAGGACGGCCGGCGGGTGGTCTACGTTCCGCGCGACCACGACCCGTCAAGCTCTTCTTGAGCGAACGCGAATCTACTGATCAACCTGTAACCGACCGCGAATTTTTCGCGTTAGTGGAGTTATGAACGCTTTTATTTTCAAGGATTTGTCGTAATATATTTAGGTGAAGTTTCTATGCATGAAGCCTTATTGATCACGACTTCGCACATTATGATAACTAAAGAGGACCAGAATATAGAAAAGCACGGGGGCTGGGGCTCTGAGCAGGTAGACATGCGTCCAATGGCAATGCATGGAGTTTGTTTTTGCGCGTTTGGTTTTGAGTTTCCTTCCGCCCCCAAACCGTAGATCCGTACAGAGATGTGTTTCAGCGCGTATGATGTTTTGTTGTTATCACTGAAATTAGCAAAAAATTCGAAAAATTGTACAAGATCAAAAAGATTGTCCGATGGAAAGGAGTGCGAAAATGTATTGAAACGTATTGATGGTATGTGGACGACGAAAATGTCAGTGAAGCCATGGTAGCTGCAGAAAATAGAATTCGATCGTGGGGAAGCTACGTGGAAAGAATCCTACGGCAAGTGTTGCACTGACGAAGATGGCACGAAATAGATACTTGTCCACGCAGCGGCGTTATCGGCTACACTACGAGTACGGTTGGACGAGGCTGCTTCTGCTCCGCCCTCTGTGAACAGCAGATGGCTTTTCCTTTCCTGCTACGTCCTGAAGTTGGAAGATCGTTTTCGAGGATTAATGAGGCAAATTACTTCGAACTGAGAGCCGCATGAGAATGATCGTTTTTTTCGCACCAGTAGATGCAGAGTCGTAACAAGGAGCGTGAAGTAATGTATGAGTTTTCACAAGCAGACTTGTGCTTGTTGTTCTTGGCTTCGCTCGCTCCTGTCCCTGCCCTCGAGACGCGGGCGTTGTTGTTCGTTTTGTTGCTCGTCCTTCCAAGAGAGACACTGCTAATATCGGTATTCCCATGAGCATCTACGCAATGCTCCGACGTTTTTGTGTTGCAGAACTGCGCTTCAAAATATTGAGATCAATCGCCCGAAGCTGCAGCTGCTAGGCTAGTTTTCTAACTCTGCCGAGGAAGTAAGTACACCGGAAGTGCAAACGCTTCAAAGTCACGCAACGACAGTAGACAGTAGGTACTCGGCCTTGCAAAATGGTGGTGAGACCGACGAGAGCGCAGAGACACCGCCACGGCAGGGAGGTGACGCGGCTCGCGGCACGTGTCGCGCACCGGGACACCATTAAGAACCGAGTGCACGCCGCAAGCGAAACCGAACTGCAGGAGATCAATGAAGAGAACAAGAAGCACTTTGAAGAGGCGAAAAAGCGGCGGAAGCAGATAAACGAAGGCAACTGGAAGTTGTTTGTGCTGCACCTAGGAGCCATGTCGCTGTACCTGCTGCGGTGCTTCTCCTGCTATGTTTTCGGCGATGATCCTAACCTCCTTCCGCTGGCGAAAGTTCTCACCGCGGACGCATTTCACACGCACTTGCACGGGCTCGGCTACCAAGCACTCTGGCGCGTGTGCGGAACTCTGGGGTACTTCCCGTGGAAGCGCTCGGCCATGCGGTACATCTTCGAGTTGGAGTGCTGGGCGGCCTCATACGGACTCTTTCTTTCGGGAGTCTGGCACAATGCGTTAGCCCTGGTGGTGGCGTCCGACGCAGACTTCGCGGCGATCAATGTCGCTGCGCCATCTGCAGCGTCGTGGCACAACGTGATTGTCGCACTCGTCAGCATTTTGCTGTCGCATTCGCTCTATGTGTGCGCAAATGTGTGCGCCGGCGTGAATCCGTTTGATCATCTAATAAGCTGTTTCACGACGGCGTCGCCCACGAGATTCGATGAGTTCTGTCCGGGAGACTCAGTGCTTTACAAGGCGTACTACGTCGACGTAAGTCCGTTTCCCGTTTTTTCCTTGGAAAAAGATGGCGACGGACACGCACGTGTCATCTCTGCCCCAGTGCGCGTCGACGCGGCCGGCGATTCGAAGAACGAAGGTGATGGCGCAGCAGTCGACGTGAACTAGAAGAGCACCCGGTCGACCTTTTAACGATGCGACCTTGTGCTAAAAAAATAACGGTGCCCGTGTCGGTCTCACGAAGACAATAACCACTAAAGGCCTGCTTCTTCTGAGGGCTAGTATGCTTCAATGAAATGAAATTGAAAACTGTTTCTGCTATCGGTACTGATTAGTGATAATGAATGTGCAAATATGTCCGCCGTATGACTATGATCTTGACCTCGTTTTTGTTGATAAGCATCCAAAGACACTTCCACTTGAGACTTTTTCCAATTCTTGCATAGATGAATATGTACACCACAGGTTGACTCAAAATATAATTGCACAGACAGAGCATTGTGGACTATTCGTATTGTTGAGATTATCCAGGACTTCTTTCATTCGTAGAAATTAAAAGAAAATCACGCTCGTGGCCCGAGGAGTTTCTTTCCGTGCATACAAAAGAAAAATGACGTCCTAGCTACTCACCGTGCATTTCGCATTATTCGTGCAGACGAGTATCTGAACAACGTAGAACTCTATCGTAACGGGTATGAATAACACGAAAAGAAACGACAAAAGTAGCAACATCACTTGAAAAATCCGTACAACTACATCGCATCGTCCTGCAATGACACAATTAACGCAATCGGTCGTACGCGTGTGTCTAGTATTAAAAGTAAAGTCCGTGAAAAAGTCGTGTTCGCACAAGAAGACTGCAGTGAGAGATAGAATAGCATCGAAAAGGAAAACAAGCACACCTAGTGTAACGATTTATTGGGGGAAAAGAATTTTGTCAAACATCCGTGACAGCGAGGAACAACTCGATTTGTGAGGCTTATGAGCAAACTTTGATCTGATCCTATTGATTTTCAAACGTACAGGACAACTTCTGAGTTTGAGAAGACAGTACAGCCAAAGCTGCTACTTTTTTTCGAAGATTCAGTCGATTTTTTTTATGGTCCGAGGGAGAGTTCTTTCTTTGGAAAAAATAGAAACAGCAAAAACCATGCCCATGCAGTTACTGTTAAGAGGTCAGACAGAAGTCGAAAAAACCATCCATTGTTTCGTTTTCATTCAATCAAAAACTCACATCGTCCCACCTGTGTGCGATAACCCCCCTCCCGATTCGTTGTTGCACCCGTCTTGAAAAATTTCCACGAATCAAAAAATTTAGGTCTTTTACTAAATATTTAAGGCACTATAGAAGTTTTTCGGAAATACAAGATAAATATCTATATTTTTTTACCTATTTTTATTACTAGTTCAATATTACTTCAATAGCTCCTGATTATTCTTGTTTTAGTTTTTACTTCGCAAATCACACACTATTTGTTAGTTTATACTTATCAAAATCATCCAATTATTCTTGTTTTTAGTTTTTACTTTCGAATCACAATTTTTAGACTATATCTAGCTTTTTCCTGTTTAGATTTTTTCCTGGATTCTAGTAGTTAGAGAATTTTCTTCTTGATTACTTACTATTCGGAAACTATCTAAATCTTGCATGTCCTTTTTTTTCTTCTATTCTGATTGCAATTCTTAAACACTAATTTACTATTTCACAATTGTCCAATTACATTTCTTTACCTAATATTTACCTAATTACATTTCGCACTGATTTATTGCTAAACTTTACGCTCATTTATTCAAAGTTTCTATTCAGGTTCCAAAACTCAAATGTCCTCTTGCGTTCTTCTTGCAGTCCTTGAACCTTTTTCGACGACCATGTTTCTCAACGACCACCCGAAGTTCATGCTGCAGATGGCGGCCAACTACAGCGTTCACGGAACGAAGCGGTTGGCATGTCGCATCTAGAGGGCCCGGTGAATAACTCCGCTCCCGACAGGCCTTTGTGCCTGTTGGTGGGCGCCAGTGCATCCTGCTCTTCCTCATCGCGATGGCGAACCTTGGAAGCCCCGCGGGCTTGGGTCGGCGACGCCACTCGTTCGACCCCGGTCTCCTGTCGGGCTACGGGCACGGCTCCGTCCAGGGTACAATCGTCTTCGAATTTTGCAGAAACGGAAACCACAACGACCACTGAAAGAACGGGTTTACTCAGCTGCAAAAACGATGAAGGGCAACAGGAAATAAAACAGAAAATCAACATAAAGCTTCAGAGCAGACGAAGATCTCTTCACTTCCGCCGCGCCCGCCAAGCACGTGCGGAGGAGAAGTTTTCTGTCGCTGGAGGAGAGGGTGAAAATGGACACAACGTCGAAAACGGAAATCCATCGTCATCAACTTCTTCCAGTCGAACTCGAAGCGCCTGTTGCAGCAGGATAAGAGAAGGAAATCATGCTGATAAAAATAGTTGTTCTTCACAGTTCGCCAACAGCAGACGAACAGAAGATGATATCTTGTCGCACAGTAGTTCTTGTACGCGTACGGGAGCAACTACTACAACTAGCAGCAAGTCGTCCTCCGCAAGGAGAACGGAGCAGACGGCTGGTGGTGCTTCCTACGACCTGCCTTGGGGCGCCACACCCTTGGTAGCGTCGTGTTTGACGATTATGTCCTACTTGCGCCTGTTCGTCGAGGTGTTGCTGCGCTTTCTGTCCAGGAAGAAACGGAGAAGAAGGAGACCGCGAGGCATCGAGCAGTTTTTATCTCTTCCCACGTCCTCTTCCAGAACAGAATCCCGCAGTACTAGGAATAAAACCTCAACAACACTAGTATCAGTGCCTTCTCTAGAAAGTAAAAGTTGTTGCTTCTCGCAGCAACCACCAGAAGCAAGATATATCAAGACCAGCAAGCTGGCACGTCGCACGAGCACTTCATCAAGAAGTTGTGCAGCTGCCGACGTAGTAGACGAAGCGGAAGTCGCGGGGAATAATTGCACTTCTAGCCAAACCTACGACTACGCGTGTGATCCCGAGGCGCTGGCGCTTCTCGCAGACTACACGCGCAGCGCGGAAGAGCCCGCGTGGTGCGGCAGTTGGAACAACTTCCGGATTCTACCGGAGAGGTTCATGATCTCGTGTCCTCCTCGGCGAAAGAGCAGTCTGACCGAACAGTCGACAACATCATGGACAGCCGCAGCAAGACATTTCTGCTCCGGAACAAGCTCCACGTTGTTCACAAGCCCCGAGGGAACCCCGAGCAGCAAGACGCCACTCTTGCACAGCCTCGGGCGGCTGTTTTTGTTCTTTTTGATGCTGTTCATCACGACGGACGGTTTCGTGCAGGTGAGCAAGAACGGTCAGATTTCCCTGTTGGGTCCGATCAACATCGACCCGCAGTGCGAGGACAACAACCCGCAGAACTGCTTCAGTCCGCAGATCCGTTTCCGGAACAACGGAACCATCCAGTGGGTCGCGACCACGTTCGACTTCTACACGAACTCACTCGTGAACAACGGAAACACGGACTTCCTGCTGATGACAGGCACCCAGTTTTCCGACTGGTTGCTGAGCGACAAGAATCCGCAGGCCCCCGGCGGCTGGCTGGAGTACGGCAGCGAGGGCCGCGGCACCTTTCTGATCACCAGCGACCGGAAGGTGTACCTGAACACCACTTTGTCCGTGTTCAAGGCGGTGGAGATGGGCAGCAGTTTGTCTGTGCGCGGCTTCGTCAAGATGGACAAGCGCCTGTCCGTGGACGACAAGACCTACTTTGGCGCGGAACTTTTCATCGGCGACCCGTCGAAGTCCGGCTCTCGGTCGCAGACCAGGTTCGGGCGCGGTAACCCGGCCGGGTTTCCGCCCGTTTTGAAGATAGACACGCAGCCGGACTCGCCGAACCGGTACAAAACCAGTATCGCGGACCAGGCGATCTTCGGCGACTCGCTGGACATAAGGAACAGCACGAACCTGGGGAGCTGTCTTTCCGTGCAGTCGTTCGCACGGCTGTACAACACGCTCTCCGTGAACAGCTACGTGCGGATCGGGCAGTACCTGTCCGTGAAGTCCTACACGCGCATCGGGTCCACGCTCTCCGTGTACAGCCTCGTGCGGATCGGGTCGCACAGCGGTGCGACCTTTTCCATTGGCGGGGTGCACTCGATTTGGGGCTCCGCGACCTTCGGGTCCTCTTTATCGATCCGGAGGGCGATGAAGCTCGGCGGACGGTCCAAGGAAGCGGGCAGTCTGCGGTGCGCGCTGTCGCTGTTCGGGCAGATGCGGTACGGGCGGAAGATGTTTTCCGTCGCGGACTTCACGCTGCTAGGCTCGATGTTGTCGTTGCGAAGCTACGCGCGCCTTGGATCCAGCATCTCGCTGTACGGGATGGCGCGGCTCGGATCCAGTTTTTCCGTGCTCGATCTGGGGCATCTGGGTTCGAGTTTCTCGCTGACGTCATTCGCACGGTGCGCCAGTTCGTTCTCCGTCTTCGGCGTGGCAAGACTGGGTTCCGCGATGTCGTTACTGGACTTCATCAGCTTGGGGACCGGAATTTCCGTGCGCGGATTCGGGCGTTTGGGAAGTAGTCTGTCGGTCTTCGGGATTGCGAAGGTGGCCTCCGCCTTCTCGCTGCTCGATTTCTCCAGCTACAGCAGCACCCTGTCGATCCGGAAGTTCAGCCGGCTCGGGTCTAGCTTTTCCGTCTACGGCATGATACGGATCGGGAGTTCGTTGTCGGCCCTGGACTTCGTGTCCCTGGGCAGCTCGCTCTCCTGCCGGACCATCGCGTGCTGCGGTTCCGCGCTATCTGTGTACGGAATTTCCAAGCTGGGTTCCAGTTTGTCGGTGCTCGACATGGTCACCATAGGCTCTGCGATGAGCGTCCGGTGTTTCGCGAGGTTAGGTTCAAGCTTATCGCTCTTCGGGCTCGCCAGACTCGGGTCGACCCTGTCCATCCTGGACAGCGTGCATATTGGGTCCGCCATCTCAATACGGACGTACGCGCGACTAGGCAGTAGCTTGTCGTTGTTCGGAATCTCCAGAATCGGGAGCTCGTTATCCATTCTGGACGTTTTGAACGTAGGCAGTGCGATGTCGGTCCGTACCTTATTCCGGATGGGAAGCGCCTTCTCCGTGTACGGCGTGTCAAGACTAGCCAGTGGACTCAGTCTCCTAGACTGCCTGCACATCGGGTCGGCGTTGAGCGTGCGAAATTTCGCCAGGTTAGGCAGTGCCACGAGCGTGTTCGGTATCACGAGACTAGCGAGTACGTTGAGCTTACTGGACTTCATGACGATGGGCAGCAGCTACTCTCTCCGGACCTGCTTGCGACTAGGCTCCGCGACTAGCGTGTACGGTATGATGCGACTGGGGTCGATCTTCTCGATCCTGGACTTCGTGTCGCTCGCGTCCAGCTTCTCCCTCCGGAACCTGGCGCGGTTTGGTAGTTCCCTCTCCGTATACGGTTGCAGCAGACTCGGATCCGGGCTGTCGGTGCTCGATTTTGTGCACGTCGGCTCCGCCATGTCCATCCGCAAGTTCGCCAGGCTAGGGTCGAGTTACAGCGTCTTCGGCATCCTGAAGTGCGGGTCGAACCTGTCGATTCTGGATTTCGTCACGGTCGGATCCGCGATCTCGCTGCGAACGATGAGCCGACTGGGAAGCAGTCTGTCGGTGTATGGCTTAAGCAAGTTTGGCAGCAGCCTTTCGGCGCTAGACATGCTGAACCTCGGCAGCGCTCTGTCGTTGAGGACCTTTGCACGCTTCGGGAGTAACTTCTCGGTGCTGAGCAGTTGGTGGATGGGCAGCAACTTGAGCGTCGCGGACTTCGTCGTGTTCGGCAGCAGCTTATCACAGTGAAAAATGCCCCCCACCCCTGAAATTGCAAGAATTTGTGATGCGAAGTTTCCAAATGAAAGCTTTGTTTTTGTCATGCATGAAAGGAGTACGAATCTTTCTGATGCAGATTCTAGTCGTGTTTCGCATCGCTTGCATGACAAGCACCGCTCTTGCTGGGATCTATTGCAATACAAATTTTTGCTATTCACGATAAGAAATCTGTGATGCTGATACCCCACTTGGGTCTGTGCAACATCGTATTTTTTCCTTAGCGGCTGGTGCTGGACGATAAGGCGAGTTGCCAAGTAGCGGTGAGCATGCACCCACGGTGCGCTACTTGTGGACCACAACTCGTTTTATGTGAGCACCCCTTCCTGACCCCCAGGCGTTTCTTTTTACCATTGGTCTGGTAATCCTGTTCTCGGTCTGTTGGGGACCCCGTGTGGCTGTAGTCCGCTCTCCCATGCCGCTTGCCGTAGGTTCGTATCGTTCGTCTGTTAGGTCGTATTTACGTGGAACTTCGTGCGATTGCTCTCGGCCCTGTATTTCTTTTCTCTAGCCTCATACTTATCTTTTCGATTACTTATTTCCTTCTCTCTGATATTTTGCTTGTTGTTTTCTGTGTACTTACGTAAAGTTTTATTGGTTTACGTAACCGGGGGGCGGCTTGATGTCTGCGGCGGATGATGACAGTGTGCACATTCCTACAAATACATGGCTGCCGGGGTGCTTCCCGGTTGGTCTAGTGTCGAAAATTCATTTTGGCACTGATCCGCTAAACACCTTGCTGCCAACCCCGCCCGCTCGGGGAGTAATTATCTCTAGACAGGGCACCATCTGCGGTTGTCCTTTAGGGCGTTCGAGTCTAGATAGTGACTACCATGCGTAAATCTTCAATTTTGCGTGGGCTCCTGGTGGCTGCTTCCACCGTCGGGGAGTATAAACACACTAAACATAAGCCATTGACCACTGGGTCGCCGTGGTGCCGTGCCTGCATGCACCATCAGAAGTGCAACGAGGTGCCAATCGTGTTTCCACATGTGCCATCAGAAGTGCATCGATTCGCGAGGGTCGTGAATGAATGAATGAATACTTTTTATTGGTTTTAGTAGGGCATGATGCCAAAAGGGACGAACAGCCCGTAGACCTCCGATGTGATGCTGATACACGCAAGAGGGCGAATGTTTCTGTTGGAAAGGTTTGCAATACAAATGCTCCCAAGTTCGGGGGTGGGGGCGTTTTTCATTGTGATACAGCTACTCGATCCGCAGCTTCTCGCGGTTTGGGTCCAGTATGAGCGTCTACGGAATCTCGAGGCTGGGCTCCACGCTGTCCGTGCTGGACGGCGTCTTCTTCGGAAGTTCGCTGTCTCTGCGCGGGTTCGTGCGCATCGGTAGCTCCACGAGTCTATACGGGATCGGAAGGATAGGCAGCGCGATAAGCGTCCTGGATCGGCTGTACTTCGGCTCCGCAGTGTCCATCCGGAACTACGCGCGACTCGGATCCACCATGTCCATCTACGGCCTGGCGCGCATCGGCTCGGCCATGAGCGTGCTGGATTTCACGTCGATGGGCAGTAGCTTGTCACTGCGGTCGATCTGCCGGCTGGGCAGCAGCATCTCCGTGTTCGGGCTAACCCGGTTGGCGTCGACGATCTCCATTCTGGACGCCAGCAGCTTTGGCTCGTCGCTGTCTCTGCGATCTTTCCTGAGGCTTGCGTCGAACTTTAGCGTGTACGGAATGGGATATCTCGGAAGTTGCATGTCGACCATCGACTACTGCCACCTGGGATCGTCCATGTCGCTGCGGGGGTTTAGCAGAATCGCCGGCTCGAGCTCGGTGTACGGCATGGGGCGCGTCGGGTTGTCGATGTCCATCCTGGACACCGTCGGTGCCGGCTCCATGCTGTCGCTCCGCAACTTCGCCCGGTACAGCAGCACCCTCAGTCTGTACGGATTCACCAAGCTAGGCTCGTCTCTTTCCGTCCTGGACTACGTGAAGTGCGGGAGTACGTTGTCCTTGCGCAACTTCCTGAGAACCGGTAGCTCGATGTCCGTCTACGGTGCGTTCCTGCTCAGCTCTTCGCTTTCCGTGCTGGACTACGTCACGCTCAGCTCGTCGCTGACCATCCGCGGTTTCGGCCGCTTTGGCGACAGGCTTAGCGTGTACGGCATGACGAAGTTGGGTAGTTCGCTCTCCATTTGGGACTGCATGCTGGCCGGAAGCAGTCTGAGTCTGCGCAGCTACAGCCGATTAGGATCGGTGCTGAGTCTCTACAGCTGCGGCCGGTTGGGATCCTTCATGTCGGTTTTGGATTTTGTCCACATCGGCTCCTCGCTGTCAGTCCGCTCGTTCACGCGACTGGGCTACGAAATCGCGGATTTCGCCGAGGAATTCGAGGAGTACGAAATGGTGGAGGAGGACATCTTAAACAGCCTGTACGGCAACGGAACGGACATGAACAGCACGAACTCGACGGACGACAACTCGACCAACTACGTGAACCAGTCGAGCTCCTACATCGTGGTGAATCGCGACCGAAGGAAGATGAGCCGCACCTTCAGCCTGTACGGGGTGAGTAGATTAGGCTCCTCCCTCAGTCTGCTCGACTTCGTCTCGCTCTCGTCCAGCAGCAGTTTGCGATCTTTAGTTCGCATGGGAAGCGCGTTGTCGATCTACGGCATCACACGAATCGCGAGCAGCTTCTCCATGTTGGACTTCATCGCACTGGGGTCGAATTTGTCCTGCAGGGGGTACATGAGGTTATATCCAACAAAAAAACTGTGTTAGTGTAACTATCTTTGGCTGGCAGCTTCACAAATTTGCTCTACATGACAGAGAAAATCTGTCATGCATGGTTTGTAAGGGAAAACACACATGAAAAGAGGACTTCATGGGTGTCTGGCATGACAGGTGTAACTCTGTTGCATGTTCTGCATTACAGAGTTACACTTACACAGTTTTTTTCTTGGATAGGTCAGGCTCCAGCTGCAGTGTGTACGGGATGACGCGGTTCGGAAGTTTATCCTGTGTAAAAACGTCCCCACCCCAGAGTTGTCATGCAAATCTGCATGCCAAAAAAGTTTCTCATGTGGAGCCCCATGAGAAGCATTTTCTAGTCGTGTTTTGGAATTTGTGATGCTATAATCAGCATGATATGCTAGATCTGTGATGCTTCTGAACTACCTCGACAGGATTGCACTACGAGGACAAACTTGTCATGCGAAACAACCAAAGCTGGCTAATTTGTCTAGCAGATTCCCCATCTTGACTCTGCTGTGGGGACGTTTTTACACAGGATAAAGTTCGTGCAGTCTGCTGGACACCATCGGCCTGTCGAGTTCTCTCTCCCTGCGGTACTTTTCGCGGTTGGGGAGCAGCGTCTCGATTTTCGGGCTTCTGAGGATGGCGAGCTCCATGTCCTTGCTGGACTTCTGCTCGATGGGAAGCGCTTTATCCCTGCGGTCCTACGCGCGGCTGGGAAGTTCCATGTCGGTGTACGGGATCACGTTCTTCGGGTCTTCTGCATCTTTATTGGACTTTTTCAGCTTGGGTTCGTCCGTGTCACTGCGAAACCTCGGTCGCCTTGCCTCGGGCTGCAGCGTCTATGGCATAAGTAGACTCGGATCCGTGATGAGCATTCTGGACGGGTTGTCGCTCGGCAGCTCGCTTTCTGTGCGCGGCTTCACGCGGATGGGAATCGCACTGTCGATCTATGGGATGAGCCGACTGGGCAGCGTGATGAGCGTGAACGAGTACGCGTTCTTCGGCAGTTCGTTTTCATTACGCAGCTACAGCCGGCTCGGTTCCGGCGTCTCCGTCTACGGTTTCGCCAGGCTGGGGAGCAACATGTCCGTTTTGGATTGGGTGCACGCGAGCTCGACGCTGTCACTGCGCAGCTTCAACCGGTTCGGCTCCAGCATGAGCGTGTTCGGGCTGGCCCGGTTCGGATCCAGCCTGTCGCTGCTGGACAACTTCCAGCTCGGCAGCTCGCTGTCGGTCCGGACGTTCGCCCGGTTCGGAAGTTCGCTGTCCGTGTATGGAGTGTCAAAATTTGGGTCCAGTTTATCAACGCTCGACTTCTTCAACATGGGGATCCAGATGAGCGTGAGGAACCTGGTGCGGTCCGGTTGCGCGTCCAGCAGTCTGTTCGGAATTTGCCGCATGGGGAGCTTCATGTCGATTTTGGACTTCATGAGCATAGGATCCTCCCTTTCCGTGCGCTACATGCTCAGGTTCGGCACGAGCCTGTCCGTCTACGGCATGACCCGGTTTGGCTCCTGCATGTCCGCGTTGGACTACATGCACCTGGGAAGCTCCTTCTCGACGAGAAGTTTTGTCCGACTGGGCTCCGTATGAAATGCAAAAGGTCTGGGTCTGGATGAGCGGCACACAACTGCGTTTTTACAAAATGTTTTGGAAATATTTTGAAAATATTGTGAAAATATTCCGAAAATATTTTGAAAATAGAAAAAATATTTTGAAAATATTTCCAACATATTTTGAACATACTTCGAAAATATTTTGAACATATTTTGAAAATATTTTGGCAATATTTTGAAAATAGTTTTCCATGATGTGGATGTTCGAAAGGAAAGTGAGTGCCTTGCGCCGCTCATCCAGACCCAGGCATATTTGCATTGGATACTCCGCGATGTCGTTGTACAAAACGATGGAAATCGGTAGGAACTTCTCGGTCCTGGACTACACCCATCTCGGCTCGGCCTTCAGTATTCGGTCCTGCGCGAGACTAGGGTCGGCGCTCTCGGTCTACGGCATGACAAGACTAGGCACGGCGATGTCGACACTGGATTACTGCTGCCTCGGCTCCTCAATGAGCTTGCGCGCACTCGTCCGCCTGGGATCCGCGATGAGCATCTATGGCATGGCGAGACTAGGCAGCGGAATGTCGGTCTTGGACCAGCTGTCCATCGGGTCGAGTTTGTCGCTCCGGACCTTCCTCCGACTGGGTAGTGGTGGCGGATTTTCCGTGTACGGGATGGCCCGCTTCGGCAGTGCGTTGTCGATGCTGTGCTGCACCTACATCGGAAGTTCCATTTCCGTCAGGAATTTCGCCAGAGCGGGCGGGATCGTTTCCTCCGTGTATGGGATCACGCGCCTGGGCAGCTGCATGTCGATTTTGGATTTCGCTTGCCACGGATCAACCTTGTCCTTTCGCGGATTCAGCCGACTCGGAAGCAGCTTGTCGGTCTTCGGAGTCAGCACCTTGGGGAGCAGCATGTCGTTGTTGGATCTGGCGCACATCGGGTCCTCTTTGTCGCTGCGGGGGTACAAGAGGATAGGCAGCTCGTGTTCCATGTTTGGGCTGACCTATCTCGGCTCGCAGGTGTCCATGTTAGACATGTTCCAGCTCGGGTCCAGCCTGTCGATCCGCGGGTTTCTGCGGTGCGGCAGCAGCATCTCTGTCTACGGAATTGCGCGCTTCGGCAGTATGCTGTCTGTTTTGGACATGAGCATTATGAGCTCCTCGATGTCGGTGCGGAACATTAGCCGCCTCGGGTCCGGTTGCAGTGTGTACGGTTTGGCAAAGCTCGGCAGCTGCCTTTCCGTGTTGGATTGGCTGAGCATAGGTTCCAGCTTGTCCATGCGGTCCTTCGCCCGCATGGGAAGCGCGATGTCCGTGCACAAGGGCGTGGTGATGCGCGCGCCGGACAGAACGCACCTGGTCAGCGTCTACGGGATGGTGTTCATGGGTTCATCCATGAGCATGCGCAGCTACACCAGACTCGGCTCGTCCATCTCGATCTTCGGGATTGTGCGCCTGGGGTCCGCGCAGTCGGTGCTGGACGCGGTGGCGATCGGTTCCTCCCTGTCAGTCCGGTCCTTCTCCCGCCTGGGCTCATCGCTGTCCATCTTCGGATGCGGACATTTGGGGTCAGGAATCTCGATGCTCGACTTCGCACACCTAGGTTCCGCACTCTCCATCCGGGACTACGTGCGCGCGTTCGCCACCTCCGCCTACAGCTACGTGAAGCTGGCGTCGAGTTTGTCACTGCGCGGCCACGCGAGGATCGGAGTGACGCTGAGTCTGTTCAGCCAGTGCCAGCAGGGAAAAGCCATGTCGCTACTCGGGTGCAGTAACCTCGGTTCCAGCTTGAGTTTGCGGACGTTTTCCCGGATCGGATCCACTTTCTCCATCTACGGGCTGGCAAGATGTGGGAGTGCAATTTCCATGCTGGATTTCACGGTCGTGAGCAGCAGCGTGTCTTTGAGGACGTTTGCGCGGTACGGCTCGACGATTTCTGTCTACGGGTTCAGTCGACTCTCGTCCAGTCTGTCCTTGCTCGACATTGCGCAGTTGAACATCGGAATTTCGCTGCGAAGCGTGACGAGGTTCGGCTCCAGCTTGTCCGCCTACGGTATGACGCGGTTCGGTTCGGGGGTCAGTCTTTTGGACCTGATCCACATCGGAAGCGCGTTCTCCGTTCGCGGCCTCGTCCGACTGGGAAGTTCGATGTCGCTGTATGGGCTGAACCGCATGAAATCCAGCTTCTCGATCGTGGACTTCGTCAGGATAGGCTCCAGTTGCAGCATGCGCGCCCTCGCGCGCCTCGGCTCCGCGCTTTCCGTGTTCGGCATCTCGAGATTGGGATCGGCGATCTCTGTGCTCGACTTCGCGTCGATCGGCAGCTCGTTCAGCATGCGGAGTTTCGGGCGATTCGGCTCCAGTTTGAGTCTGTACGGCTGCGCGCAGATCCAGCACAGCATGTCCGCCCTGGATTACATGCACCTCGGGTCGGCGCTGTCCGTCCGGAGCTTCATGCGCATCGGGTCCACGACGAGCATCTACAGCACGGTGCGTTTTGGCTCCGCGGTGTCCCAGCTGGACTTTATCACGCTGGGTTCTGCTTACAGTCTGCGCAGCTTCGCGATCTTGATGACCAACATGAGCGTCTATGGCCTGTCGAAGATGGGATCGTCGCTTTCCGCGCTCGACATGCTGTCGCTGGGGTCCGCCTTGAGTCTCAGGTCGTTGTCCCGGTTCGGCGTCGGTATTTCGGTGTACGGGATTTCGCGGCTGTCGTCCTCGTTCAGTTTGATGGACTGCCTCAACCTGGGTTCGACGTTCTCCGTCCGAGCGCTCTCGCGCATGGGCGTAGACCTGTCGTGCTACGGGGTCCAGACGCTCGGTTCCAGCTTGTCCCTGCTTGACTACATGTCCTTGGGGTCGACGCTTTCCTGTCGCTTCCTCGCGAGGTCGGGATCAAGTGTGTCCATCTACGGATTTGCGAAACTGGGATCTAGTATGTCCATCCTGGATTACGTGCAGGTTGGTTCCAGTCTGTCCTGCCGCGTGTTGGGCAGAATGGGATCTGCCCTGTCCGTGTTCGGGTTGATGCGGCTGGGGAGCAGTTTCTCCGTGCTCGACTCTGTCAGTCTGGGCAGCGCGTTCTCAGTGCGGTCCTTCAGCCGGTTGGGTAGCAGTATGAGTGTGTTCGGCATTTCAAGATCCGCGTCCAGCCTTTCCATCCTGGATTTCACGCTGATCGGGTCGATGGCCAGTTTGCGCAGCTTCGCCCGCTTAGGCTCGACGCTCTCCGTCTACGGGTGCAGCAAGATCGGCTCTGCGTTCTCCATCCTCGACACCCTGCAGCTCGGCTCGAACCTGAGCACGCGGAGTTTCGCCCGAATGGGATCGTCCTTGAGCTTATACGGGATTGGCACCACGGGCGCACTGCTATCTGTGCTCGACTACATCTCATGCGGCAGCGCCACCTCGCTGCGAAGCTTCGCCATGTTCGGCAGCTCTTGCAGTCTGTACGGGACCGCGAGACTAGGGATCCAGACCAGCGTGCTGGACTTCACCGGGATGAATTCCGCATTGTCGATCCGGTCGTATTGCCGGTTCGGCTCCAGCATGTCGCTGTACGGATTTGGCCGTCTGGGATCCAGTCTGTCGATTCTCGACCTGTTTCACGTCCGCTCGAGTCTCTCGCTTCGTTCCTTCGCCCGCCTCGGATCCAGTCTGAGCTTGTACGGGTGCAGTTACTGCGGAAGCACGCTGTCCATCCTCGACTGCTTCAATCTAGGGAGCAGTTTATCCCTCCGGAATTTCTGCCGCCTGGGATCGAGCATCTCCCTCTACGGAGTGAGCGGGCTGGGTTCCGGCATGTCGTGCCTGGACCTCTGCTTCCTAGGATCATCGCTCTCTTTAAGGACGTTCTCGCGGTTCCCCGCGAGGATGGAGCTGTTCGGGGTGAACCGACTGGGATCGGCCGTCTCCGTACTCAGCTTTCTCTCGCTCGGCTCGACCTTCTCCGTCAGAAGCATGATGCGCCTCGGTAGTGGGCTCTCCATCTACGGGACGCAGTACCTCGGCTCTAGCGCCTCGGTCCTCGACTGCATGTCTCTGGGCAGTACCATGTCGGTGCGCTCACTATTCCGGATGGGCAGCTCCATGTCGCTGTTCGGGCTGCTGCGGCTCGGCTCCAGCTTGTCGCTGGTAGACACGATCATGTGCGCGAGCAGCATCAGCTTGCGAACGCTCTCCAGGTTGGGTAGCTCGTTCAGTATCTTCGGGCTGGTGTCTTTAGGTTCCAGCTTGTCGATTCTGGATTCGGTCTACTTTTCCAGCACTCTGTCAGTGCGTGGTCTCAGCCGACTTGGAAGCAGCATGAGCGTTTATGGAATCAGCCGCGTGGCCTCCTCCTGCAGCCTGCTCGACGCGTTTTCCCTCGGCTCTGCGCTGTCCTGCCGCACGTTCGCACGCATGGGGTCCGCCAACAGTCTCTACGGCTACGGAAGACTGAGTTCCGCCTGCAGCGTTTTGGACTTCGTGAACGTCGGGTCGTCTCTGTCTTGCCGCACACTGGCCAGGCTGTCGTCTTCCATTTCCTTGTACGGGATCGGGAAATTCGGCGGGGCTTTGTCCATTCTGGACACGGTTTCTCTTGGGTCGACGATGTCTATGCGCAGCATCAGCCGCATCGGCTCCGCGGTAAGTGTCTACGGGCTCGCGACCCTCGGCGGCGGATTGTCGATCCTCGACCAGATGTCGCTCGGCAGTAGCCTTTCGGTCCGCGGGTGCAACCGACTCGGGAGCGCTTTGTCCGTCTACGGGATGAGCAGATTAGGCTCCAGTTTGTCCATGATTGACTACTTCATCATGGGCATGAGCTGCTCGCTGCGGAATTTCCTGCGCGCGTCCGACGCCTGCTCAGTGTACGGTATGTACCGCATGGGATCGCAGATGTCGACGCTGGACTGCATGTACCTCGGTTCTATGCTGTCCATCCGCAACTGCAGCCGGCTGGGTTCCGCATTGTCGTGCTACGGGATCGCACGGTTAGGGTCCGGCTTGTCAGCCTTCGACTACTACCACCTGGGGTCGATGCTGTCGCTTCGGTCGTTCCTGCGGATCGGGTCCAGTTTGTCGATCAACACACTGCACGAGCACTACAACAGCTTCGACTCCGCGTGCCACATTTGCGGCGCGGCGCGCGTGATGAGCAGTTTGTCGGTGCGGTCCTTCGTGCGGCTCGGGTCCAGTATGAGTTGCTACGGGACGGCGCGGTTGGGCAGTGCGATGTCGATTTTGGATTTCATCGCCATGTCCAGCTCGATTTCCGTCCGGAACGCGGGCAGGTTAGGCAGTTCCATGTCGGTGTACGGCGTGACGCGACTGAGTTCTTCATGCTCCGTGCTCGACCAGGTCCAGATTGGGAGTTCCCTGTCGCTCCGCGCTTTCCTGCGCATGGGCAGCTCGCTTTCCGTGTACGGTTTCACGAAGATCGGGAACGGGGGTTGCAGCATGCTGGACATGCTTTCCATCGGATCCAGTTTGTCGCTTCGCGGCTACGCGCGGTGCGGAAGTTCGCTGTCCATTTACGGGCTGAGTTTCTTGAGCAGTTCCATGTCGGTCCTCGGCATGGTGACTGTTGGAAGTTCTCTGTCCCTCCGCAACTTCGCGCGCCTGGGAAGCAGTCAATCACTCTACGGAATCTGCCGCTTCAGCTCCAGCATGTCAGTGTTGGATACGAACCTGTTTGGCTCGGGGATTTCCCTGCGGTCCTTCGCAAGGCTAGGGTCCGCGGCGTCCCTCTACGGGGTCAGCAGATTCGGCGGCAGTATGTCGGTCCTCGACTTCTTCACCGCCGGGTCGTCGCTCTCCCTGCGCAGTTACGCCCGCGTGGGCTCGCAATTGTCGGTGGTCAAGATCTTCAAAAACAGCGGGAACAACAGCGTGATGGACTACGTCTTCATGGGTTCCACGTGTTCCGTTCGCGGATTCGCGAGACTAGGTGTTACCACATCGGTCTATGGCATGTTCCGGTGCGGCAGCAGATTTTCGATCATCGATTATCTGCAAGCGGGATCGGCATTGTCTCTGCGAAGCTTTTACCAGGGGGGATCCGCTTTGTCGATCTACAACCTGGTCAGGTTCGGAAGCCGCTGCTCCGTTTTGGACTTCTTCAATCTCGCCGCCGCGCACAGCACCCGCAGGTTTGGCCGGTGCGGAAGCTCGTTGAGCATCTACGGGATGTTTCGCATCGGCAGCTCGCTCTCGACGCTCGACTGCTTCCACATGGGCAGCACGTTGTCCGTGCGCAACTATGCGAGGTTGGGATCCGCGCTGAGCATTTTTGGAATGACCAGGCTGGGATCGCAGCTTTCCGTACTTGACGCGATCTCCTTCGGCTCCTCCATGTCGTTGCGGAACTTCCTGCGACTGGGCTCCAGCTTGAGTGTGTATGGCATCTCGCGCATGAGCAGCTGCTGCTCCTTGCTGGATGCGATCAGCATCGGCTCGGGCATGTCGATTCGGCACTTCGGGCGCCTCGGGAGCAGCTTGTCTGTCTACGGAGCGGCACGGTTTGGATCTGGACTCTCTCTGCTGGACGCATTTGCCCTCGGCTCGAGTTTGTCCTGCCGCACGTTTTTGCGTGTGGGCTCCGCATTCTCGGTGTACGGAATGTCGAGACTGGGTTCGCAGCTGTCCGTGCTGGATCAGGTGCAGATGGGAAGCTCCATGAGCGTGCGAACCTTCGTTCGGATCGGGTACGAGACCAGCATCTATGGCATGTCTCGCATGATGTCACAAATGAGCGTGTTGGATTTCGTGCAAGTCGGGTCGGGCATGAGTTTGCGACAGTGCGCCCGCTTGGGATCCGCAACCTCCGTGTACGGGCTGTCTCGGTTCGGCAGCTGCCTGAGCATTCTGGACTCGATCAGTTTGTCGAGCAGCTTCTCCGCCCGAACGTTTTGCCGCTTGGGAAGTGCACTCAGCGTCTATGGCACCAGCAGGATGGGAAGCTGTTTGAGTCTGCTCGACTTTCTGCAGCTCGGAAGCGGCCTTTCCGTGCGAAACTTTGCCAGACTCGGGTCCAGCTGCAGCCTGTTTGGCATCTGCAGAATGAGCAGTTGCCTCTCTGTGCTGGATTTCATGAACATGGGAAGCGGATTGTCGGCGCGAAACTTCGCAAGACTCGGCAGCTCCATGAGCGCGTACGGCATTTCTCGCATGGGATCCTGTCTCTCCATGCTGGACTTTCTGCACATGGGGTCGAGCATGAGTGTGCGAGCGTGGGCAAGGCTCGGATCGAGCTGCAGCTTGTTCGGGATGGCGAGGCTTGGCAGCTACATGTCAGTCTTGGACTTCATCACCTTCGGTTCCACGATGTCGCTGCGGTGCGCCTGCAGGCTGGGTTCCGCGATGTCCGTCTACGGCGTGGCAAGACTCGGGTCGTCCTTGTCCCACCTGGATTTCTTCCACCTGGGTAGCGGCATGAGTCTGCGAAACTTTGCGCGACTCGGATCATCGCTGTCACTGTACGGCATGGCGATTGGCGGGTCGGCCATGAGCTTGCTGGATTTCCTGCACATCGGAAGCTCGCTGAGTATCCGACAGCTCGGAAGATTAGGAAGCTCGCTTTCGATCTTCGGGATCACGCACATCGGATCGCAGTGCAGCTTACTGGACTTCATGAACATCGGGAGCTGCATGAGTGTACGCACGCTCGCACGACTCGGATCTGGGTTGAGCGTTTACGGTCTGGGAAGGTTCGGCAGTTCTATGTCGGTCCTCGACTACGTCTGCCTTTCCTCCAGCTTGTCGCTCCGAACGATTGCGCGACTCGGCAGCTCGCAGTCCGTGTACGGTCTGGTGCGGATCGGAAGCAGCATTTCGCTGCTGGATTTTTGCCACATCGGCTCCAGCCTATCGGCCCGGATGTTCGCGCGACTTGGATCTAGCCTGTCGATTTACGGCTGCGCCCGCCTGGGGTCACGGATTTCAATCCTCGACTTCATCACCTTCGGCAGCTCCGTCTCAGTGCGCAGCTTCGCCAGGATGGGTTCCAGCTTAAGTTGTTACGGGATCGCGCACCTGGGCAGCAACCTGTCTGTCCTTGACAGCAGCTTCCTCGGGAGTTCGTTTTCCGTCCGCAATTTCGCGCGGTTCGGCTCTGCGTTGTCCGTTTACGGGTGCAGTAGGCTAAGCAGCTACATGAGCGTGCTGGACATTTTGCACATCGGCAGCAATCTTTCCGCTCGGGGCTACGCGCGGTTTGGTTCCTGCATGAGCGTGTACGGCATGGCAAGATTCGCGAGTACCATCTCGTGCCTGGACATGTTGCACATCGGCTCGGGCTTCAGCCTGCGATCCTTCGTGAGGCTGGGTTCTGCGCTGTCTGTGTACGGAACCAGTAGGCTGGGAAGCAACCTGTCCGTGCTCGACTTCGTGTCCCTCGGCTCCGGCATTTCGCTTCGCAACTTCGGCCGGTTAGGCAGCAGTCTTTCCGTGTTCGGGATTGTGAAGATGGGCAGCGCTTGCAGTTTGCTTGACGCGATCCAACTGGGCTCCTGCGTCTCCATGCGTTCCTTTGCCAGACTGGGATCCAGCATGTCGATTTTTGGGCTCGGCCGGTTCGCGAGCAACTGCAGCATCCTCGACTGCCTGCACGTGGGATCCACAACCTCGATCCGCTCATTCGTCCGGCTCGGCAGCACTCTGTCCGTCTTTGCCATGGCACGATTGGGAACCTCGATGAGCATCTTGGACTTTGTACACTTGGGCTCCTGCTTGAGTGTGCGGAGCTTCAGCCGCTTCGGGTCCGCGCTGTCCGTCTACGGGATCACGAAAATTGGGAGTTCGTTTTCCGCACTCGACTTCGTGAACATCGGTAGCAGCATGTCGGTCCGCTGCCTGGCGCGGTTAGGGAGCACGCTCTCTGTCTTCGGTGTCTCCATGATCGGCAGTTCGCTCTCCGTCTTGGACACCATGCTGCTGGGCTCCTCCCTCTCCTTCCGGTCCTACGTGCGTCTGTCTAGCACTTGCAGCGTGTACGGTTTCGCGAAGATCGGCTCCGCCTTCTCGGTGCTCGATTTCATCACGTTCGGGTCGGCGCTGTCCCTTCGCTCCGTCGTGCGCCTCGGTAGCTCGGCCTCTGTCTACGGCATAAGTCGACTGGGATCGGCCATGTCGGTGCTCGACATTTTGCACCTCGGCAGTTCCCTGAGTTGCCGTTCCTTCGTGCGCTTCGGAAGTTCCGTCAGCTGCTTCGGGCTCGCCCGGTTCGGCTCGCAGATGTCCGTTCTCGACTGGCTGCAGCTGGGAAGCTCTTTGTCCGTGCGGAAGTACGCGCGACTGGGATCGACTGTCAGCGTCTACGGCATGACCCGGTTCGGGTCCGGGGTCTCTGTCCTCGACATGTTGCAGCTTTCCTCATCGTTCTCTCTGCGCGCGTTCTCCCGGATGGGAAGCTCGATGTCCGTGTTCGGGATGAGCAGATTAGGCTCCAGTCTATCCGTGCTTGACTTCATGCACGTGTCGTCCAGCTTGAGTCTCCGCAGCTACTCGCGACTGGGCTCCAGCTTGTCCGTGTACGGGTGCTCGAGCTTCGGGTCCAGCCTCTCCCTCCTGGATTTTAGCCAGTGCGGATCCGCGGTGAGCCTGCGCACGATCGGCAGACTCGGCAGTGCGCTCTCGGTCTACGGGATGGCGAGATTTGGCAGCGCTTTGTCGATGCTGGACAACATCATGATTGGCAGCAACATCAGCGTCCGACACATGGGCCGGCTTGGCAGCTCGCTCAGTATTTTCGGCATCGTCCGCATGGCCTCGTGCTGCTCGATGTTCGATTTCGCGTGCGTCGGGTCCGCGTTCAGTGTCAGGCAGCTCGCGCGATTGGGATCTTCCCTGTCGGTCTACGGTGTATCGAGGCTTGGCTCCTCGTTATCCGTGCTGGATTTTGTGTCCGTCACGTCCTCGATCTCCGTCCGCAGCATGTCCCGACTCGGATCCTCCGTGTCCATCTACGGGCTGCTCCGGTGCATGAGCAGCATGTCGCTCTTGGACGCGGCGAACATCGGCTCCGCCGTGTCTATTCGCACGTGCGCCCGGCTGGGTTCCGCTCTCAGCGTGTACGGCATGTTGCGGCTGAGCAGTGCCATGTCGGTCCTCGACGTGACACACATCGGAAGCTCCATCTCCGTTCGCACCTACGCCAGGTTAGGGTCAGCGCTATCTCTCTACGGGATGTCGCGGTTCGGCTCCAGCTTTTCCATCTTGGACGCCGTCACGCTCAGCTCCACCCTATCCGTGAGAAATTTTGCGCGCTTCGGATCTAGTTTGTCCGTCTACGGCATGTGTTTGTGCTCGAGCTACCTCTCGGCGCTCGACTTCTTCCATATCGGCAGCTCGCTCTCGGTCCGGAACTTCTGCCGACTCGGATCGTCGCTTTCCGTTTTTGGACTTGCAAGACTCGGGAGTAACTTGTCGATGCTGGACAGCTGCCAGGTCGGGTCGGGAATTTCCGTGCGGTATTTCACCCGCTTCGGGTCCGCCTGCTCGATTTACGGCATGGTCCGCATGGGGAGTCAAATGTCGGTGTTGGACTTCACGACGTTCGGTAGCAGCGTCAGTGTGCGCTGTCTGGGGCGACTCGGGAGCGCGCTCTCGCTGTACGGTGTGAGCAAGTGCGGCAGCATGCTGTCGTTGCTGGATGCGGTCAGCCTCGGGTCGAGTCTGTCCGTTCGGGGCTTCGCGCGCTGCGGATCGAGCATGTCCGTGTTCGGTTTAGTTCGGCTGTCCTCCAACCTCAGCATCCTCGACGCAAGCATGATTGGCTCGGCGGTATCGTTGCGTTCCGTGGCCCGATTCGGTTCCAGTGCCTCGGTCTTCGGCCTAGCGCGACTGGGTTCCGCGATGTCCGCACTCGACTACATCTGCTTGGCCTCCGCCCTTTCGATCAGGTCCTACGCGCGCATCAGCAGCTCCTGCTCGGTGTTTGGGATAGCCAGACTCGGGTCGTCACTGAGTTTGCTGGAGAGCTGCATCATGTGCAGTTCTTTGTCCTTGCGGTCATTCGCGCGAATGGGCCGCTACCAGGACGGCCGTGTGGGCACCAGCATCTACGGACTGACCCAGTTCGGTTCTAGCATGAGCATCCTGGGCCTGCTGCACCTCGGCTCTAGCCTGAGCATCCGATCGCTGTGCCGTCTGGGATCCGCACTCTCGCTGTACGGATTTTCGCAACTAGGCAGCAGTGTTTCTGTCCTTGATGTGACGCACTTGGGCAGCTCCCTGAGCTTGCGCCACTGCGCCCGCCTCGGATCCGGAATGTCGGTTTACGCCACGATCCAGCTCGGCAGCAGTCTGTCGGTGCTCGACTACCTGCAACTCGGAAGCTCCATGTCGACCAGAAATCTCTGCCGACTCGGATCAAGTCTTTCCCTTTTCGGTATGGCCAGACTGAGTTCCGCAATGTCCATCCTGGATATCTGCCACCTGGGTAGCAGCATGTCGATCCGAAACTACGGCAGGCTTGGCAGCACACTTTCCGTGTTCGGAATCGCGCAGTTTGCCTCGGCGATGTCGATACTTGACATTTTCGAGCTCGGATCCTCGCTCTCCCTGCGCGGATTGGTTCGCATGGGCAGCTCCAGCAGCGTATTCGGGCTGACCAGGCTCGGCAGCAGTTTCAGCTGCTTGGACTTCTGCAGCTTGGGGTCGACGCTCAGCTGCCGGTCGTTCTTGCGGTTGGGCTCCAGCTTGAGCGTGTTCGGCTTGGCGAAACTGGGCAGCAATCTTTCGGCCCTCGACACGGTCTCACTCGCGAGTGCCCTCAGCCTGCGGTACTACACGCGGTTCGGGTCCAGTGTCTCCGTGTACGGGGTCATGAAGATGGGATCCGCCTTGTCGATCCTCGACGCCGTCCACCTCGGCAGTGCGATCAGCATCCGGTCCTTCAGCCGGTTAGGATCCAGTTTGTCCGCCTTCGGCGTCGCCAGGCTGGGGTCCAACCTGTCCGTTCTCGACTTCGTGTCGGCCGCGAGCGCGTTCTCGTGCAGGACCTACAGCAGATTGGGGAGCACGCTCTCCGTGTACGGGATGGGCAGAATGGGAAGCTCCTTGAGTTTGCTCGACTATATGACGCTGGGCAGTTCCGTTTCCATTCGCAACATGGCGCGGGTTGGATCTTCCCTTTCCGTGTACGGACTGGTTTCCTTCGGCAGCAACATTTCGGTCCTCGATTTCATGTTGCTGGGCAGCACGATTTCCGCGAGGAGCTTTGCCCGCCTCGGATCTGCAGTTTCAGTGTACGGCATGAGTCAGTGCGGCTCCAGCATGTCGCTACTCGACTTCTCGGCCTTCGGCAGTGCAATGTCCCTGCGCGGATTCGCACGGTTTGGAAGCTCTTTATCAGTCTACGGAATGTGCCGCGCGGGGAGCAGTTTATCGGTGCTGGACTTTCTGTGCATCGGTAGTCAACTCTCGTTGCGGAGCTACAGCCGGTGCGGAAGTTCCTTCAGCATCTATGGCTTCAGCAACTTCGGGTCGAGCCTCTCAGTCCTCGATTTCTTCACTATCGGCAGCAGCACCTCGATCCGGTCCTTCATCCGGCTCGGCAGCTCATTGAGCGTGTTTGGCGTGATGCAACTGGGCTCTTCCGTTTCCGTCCTCGACGTTCTGCACCTGGGCTCGAACCTGAGTCTCCGGACTCTGAGCCGACTCGGAAGCTCCTTGTCCGTTTTCGGGATCGGGAAGCTCGGCAGTGCGATGAGCATTTTGGACTTCACGGTCTTGGGCTCCGGTCTCTCGATGCGCACGTTCACCCGGCTGGGTTCCTCCGCGTCAATGTTCGGTATTGCGCGCTTGAGCAGCGGCTTGTCGATCTTGGATGCGGTGTCCCTCGGGTCCAGCTTCTCGGTGCGAGCGGTCGCACGCCTGGGATCCAGCCTGAGTGTCTTTGGGATGGCGCGGCTCGGCTCCATGTTGTCGATTCTCGACGAGGTGCAGCTGGCGTCGTCCTGCAGTCTCCGTCATTGCGTGCGGTTCGGATCCAGTTTGTCCGTCTTCGGAATGACGAAACTCGGGAGCTCGTTGTCGATTCTGGATTTCGTGACGATTGGAAGTTGCATGTCCGTACGCGGGTTCAACCGCTTCGGATCCAGTCTTTCCGTTTTCGGCATCACCCGACTCTCCAGCCAGATGAGCGTACTGGACTGCATGCAACTCGGATCCAGTCTTTCGATTCGCAGCTGCGTGCGGCTAGGAAGCAGCGTGTCTGTCTTCGGGACGCTGTACATGGCGAGCAGTTTGTCGTTATGAAATGCAAAATTGTCTGGGTCTGAATGAGCGGCACACAACTGCGTTTTTGCAAAATGTTTTGAAAGTATTTTGAAGATATTTTGAAAATATTTGAAGCATATTTGGAAAAATATTTTGGCACAAAGTTTTGAAAATATTTTGCAGGTATTTTGAAAATACCTTCGAAAATATTTGGGCGATACTAAGGCAATAGTTTCCTATGTAGATGTTCGAAAGTAAAGTAATTTCCTTGCGCCGCTCATCCAGACCCAGACATTTTTGCATTGGATAGTCGTTGCTGGATTTTGTGCAGCTGGGATCCACTTTGAGCGCGCGGTCCTTCGCCCGGATTGGTAGCCGATTGTCGGTGTACGGCTTGTCTCGCATCGGCGGCGGCGTTTCCATTTTGGATGCCATGTGGTTCGGATCAACTTGCTCGATCCGCAGCATGGGCCGCCTCGGCTCTGCCATGTCCCTGTACGGGATTGCGAAGATGGGAAGCAGTTTGTCCATCCTGGCTGGCGTGGAGATCGGGTCGGCGATGTCATTGCGAAGTTTTGCGAGGTTCGGGTCCGCCCTCTCGCTCTACGGGTTTTCGCGCTTGGCGTCTGGCTGCTCCGTGTTGGATCACTTCCACCTGGGGTCGGCCCTGTCGGTCCGGACTTTCGCGCGGCTCGGATCCAGCTTGAGTCTCTTCGGCATCGCGCGGGTAGGAAGTTGCGTTTCCATCCTGGACTTCGCCAACTTGGCCAGTGCGCAGAGTGTGCGAAACTTCGCGCGACTCGGCAGCAGTCTTTCGATGTTCGGGATTTTCCGCCTTGGGACGCAACTTTCCGTTCTGGACTTCATCACGTTCGGGTCCTCGTTATCGTTGCGGTACACGACGAGACTCGGCAGCACGACCAGCATCTACGGGCTGGCAAGGCTTGGAAGTTTGGTTTCTGTCCTCGACACCGCCCATGTTGGGAGCAGTCTCTCGATGCGGTACTACGCCCGCATGGGAAGCACCTGCTCCGCGTACGGACTGATGCGCTTCGGATCCTCTTGCTCAATCGTGGACATGCTGACCCTGGGGTCCAGTTTCTCCACGCGCGCGCTCTGCCGCCTGTCGAGCACGATGTCAGTCTACGGAATGACCAAAATTGGCTCCAGTCTGTCCATCTTGGACACGCTGTCTCTCGGCTCGGCGTTGTCCCTGCGGTCCTTCGCCCGCTTTGGGTCAAACGTCAGTTTGTACGGGGCTGCCAGACTGGGCTCGTCCCTCAGCGTCTGCGACTTGTCCACGCTGGGGTCGACTCTTAGTTTCCGCAGTATCTGCCGCTTGGGATCGGTGATTTCCGTGTTCGGATTTTCCAACTTCGGTTCCAGCTTTTCCGTGCTCGACATGCTAACCCTCGGTTCAGCAATGTCGCTAAGGTCGATCGCCCGGCTCGGAAGTTCCTGCTCAGTGTTCGGATTTTCGCACCTGGGCAGTTCCATGTCAATGCTGGACACGGTGCAACTCGGGTCTGCGTTGAGTGTCCGCTCGTTCGCACGATTCGGCTCCAGCATGTCAATCTTCAACACGATGCGACTGGGCAGTTGCTTTTCCGTGACGGATTTCCTCACGCTGGGATCCGCGATGAGCATCCGGTCGTGCGGCCGGTTCGGAAGTTCGTTGTCCTTGTTCGGCTGCGCCACGATGGGATCCGCTATGAGTGTTCTGGATTGCTGCATGCTGGGCTCCACGTTCAGCGTACGCTCGTTCGCCCGGTTTGGCAGCGCAGTGTCCGTTTTCGGCCTCGCAACACTTGGAAGCAGCTTTTCCGTGCTGGATTTCGCCAACATGGGATCCACCCTTTCCCTCCGAAGTTACAGCCGCATGGGAAGCGCCATTTCCGTCTACGGTTTCGCAAAACTCGGCTCCACCGTCTCGGTTCTCGATGCCGTCAGCCTCGGCAGCGTTCTGTCCGTCCGCTCGTTTGCGCGACTCGGAAGCACGTTGTCCTTGTTCGGGTTCGGCACCCTGGGCTCGGCTCTGTCCGTTCTCGACACGCTTTCGCTCGGTAGCTCGATGAGCATCCGGTCGATGGCTCGGTTCGGCAGCTCCATTTCCGTGTTCGGGTTGAACCGACTGGGATCCTCGATGTCTCTGCTGGACGTGGTGCAACTCGGCTCCAGTTTGTCGGTACGCAGCTTTTCGCGGATGGGATCCTCCCTCAGCGTCTTCGGCGTAGCGCACCTGCACAGCGGAACCTCACTTTTGGACTTCATGGTGCTCGGAAGCGCAATGAGCCTGCGGACCGCGACGAGGCTGGGAAGCTCGCTTTCCATGTTCGGGGTAACCAGGCTGGGCAGCAGCGTCTCTGTCCTGGACTTCCTGGTGTTGGGCAGTGTCCTCTCCACCCGATCCCTCGCGAGACTCGGCAGTGCCTTATCCGTTTTCGGAATCGTGAAGCTTGGGAGCAGAATGTCTATTCTCGACACGTTGCACATGGGATCCACGTTGTC